CCGCTTCCACCCTGACAGGGTAGTTTGTTGTTCACCCTATACACCGCTTCCACCCTGACAGGGTAGTTTGTTGTTCACCCTATACACCGCTTCCACCCTGACAGGGTAGTTCGTTGTTCACCCTATTAGCTGCTTCCACCCTGACATGGTAGTTCGTTGTTCACCCTATACACCGCTTCCACCTTGACAGGGTAGTTCGTTGTTCACCAATTTACCGCTTCCACCCTGACAGGGTAGTTTGTTGTTCACCCTATACACCGCTTCCACCCTGACAGGGTAGTTTGTTGATCACCCTATACACCGCTTCCACCCTGACAGGGTAGTTTGTTGTTCACCCTATACACCGCTTCCACCCTGACAGGGTAGTTCGTTGTTCACCCTATTTACTGCTTCCACCCTGACAGGGTAGTTTGTTGTTCACCCTATACACCGCTTCCACCCTGACATGGTAGTTCGTTGTTCACCCTATTAGCCGCTTCCACCCTGACAGGGTAGTTTGTTGTTCACCCTATACACCGCTTCCACCCCTGACAGGGTAGTTCGTTGTTCACCCTATTAGCTGCTTCCCACCCCTGACATGGTAGTTCGTTGTTCACCCTATTGACCGCTTCCACCCTGACAGGGTAGTTTGTTGTTCACCCTATACACCGCTTCCACCCTGACAGGGTAGTTTGTTGTTCACCCTATACACCGCTTCCACCCTGACAGGGTAGTTCGTTGTTCACCCTATTGACCGCTTCCACCCTGACAGGGTAGTTCGTTGTTCACCCTATTGACCACTTCCACCCTGACAGGGTAGTTCGTTGTTCACCCTATACCCGCTTCCACCCCCTGACAGGGTAGTTTGTTGTTCACCCTATACACCGCTTCCTCCACCCTGACAGGGTAGTTTGTTGTTCACCCTATACACCGCTTCCACCCTGACAGGGTAGTTCGTTGTTCACCCTATTGGGAGCTGCTTCCACCCTGACATGGTAGTTCGTTGTTCACCCTATTGACCGCTTTCCACCCTGACAGGGTAGTTTGTTGTTCACCCTATACACCGCCTCCACCCTGACAGGGTAGTTTGTTGTTCACCCTATACACCGCTTCCACCCCTGACAGGGTAGTTTGTTGTTCACCCTATACACCGCTTCCACCCTGACAGGGTAGTTCGTTGTTCACCCTATTACTGCTTCCACCCTGACAGGGTAGTTCGTTGTTCACCCTATACACCGCCTCCACCCTGACAGGGTAGTTCGTTGTTCACCTGACATTTCCACCTGTTCACCCTATTCCACCCTGACAGGGTAGTTTGTTGTTCACCCTATACACCGCCTTCCACCCTGACAGGGTAGTTTTGTTGATCACCCTATTTCCACCCTGACAGGGTAGTTCGTTGTTCACCCTATTGGACCGCTTCCACCCTGACAGGGTAGTTTGTTGTTCACCCTATACACCGCCTCCACCCCTGACAGGGTAGTTCGTTGTTCACCCTATACACCGCTTCCACCCTGACAGGGTAGGTCGTTTTTCACCCTATTGATCGCTTCCACCCTGACAGGGTAGTTCGTTGTTCACCCTATTGACCGCTTCCACCCTGACAGGGTAGTTCGTTGTTCACCCTATACACCGCTTCCACCCTGACAGGGTAGTTTGTTGTTCACCCTATACACCGCTTCCACCCTGACAGGGTAGTTCGTTGTTCACCCTATTGACCGCTTCCACCCTGACAGGGTAGTTTGTTGTTCACCCTATACACCGCTTCCACCCTGACAGGGTAGTTCTGTTGTTCACCCTATTGACCGCTTCCACCCTGACAGGGTAGTTTGTTGTTCACCCTATACACCGCTTCCACCCTGACAGGGTAGTTCGTTGTTCACCCTATTTACTGCTTCCACCCTGACAGGGTAGTTTGTTGTTCACCCTATACACCGCTTCCACCCTGACAGGGTAGTTCGTTGTTCACCCTATTAGCTGCTTCCACCCTGACATGGTAGTTCGTTGTTCACCCTATTGACCGCTTCCACCCTGACAGGGTAGTTTGTTGTTCACCCTATACACCGCTTCCACCCTGACAGGGTAGTTCGTTTTCCACCCTATTGATCGCTTCCACCCTGACAGGGTAGTTCGTTGTTCACCCTATTGACCACTTCCACCCTGACAGGGTAGTTCGTTGTTCACCCTATACTCCCCTTCCACCCTGACAGGGTAGTTTGTTGTTCACCCTATACACCGCTTCCACCCTGACAGGGTAGTTCGTTGTTCACCCTATTAGCTGCTTCCACCCTGACATGGTAGTTCGTTGTTCACCCTATTGACCGCTTCCACCCTGACAGGGTAGTTTGTTGTTCACCCTATACACCGCTTCCACCCTGACAGGGTAGTTCGTTGTTCACCCTATTTACTGCTTCCACCCTGACAGGGTAGTTTGTTGTTCACCCTATACACCGCTTCCACCCTGACAAGGTAGTTCGTTGTTCACCCTAATAGCTGCTTCCACCCTGACATGGTAGTTCGTTGTTCACCCTATTGACCGCTTCCACCCTGACAGGGCAGTTTGTTGTTCACCCTATACACCGCTTCCACCCTGTCAGGGTAGTTCGTTGTTCACCCTATACACCGCGTCCACCCTGACAGGGCAGTTCGTTGTTCACCCTATTGACCGCTTCCACCCTGACAGGGTAGTTCGTTGTTCACCCTATACTCCGCTTCCACCCTGACAGGGCAGTTCGTTGTTCACCCTATTGACCGCTTCCACCCTGACGGGGTAGTTCGACCACTTCCACGCTGACAAGGTAGTTCGTTGTTCACCCTATTGACCGCTTCCACCCTGACATGGTAGTTCGTTGTTCACCCTATTGACCGCTTTCACCCTGACAAGGTAGTTCGACCATTTCCACCCTGACATGGTAGTTCGTTGTTCACCCTATTGACCGCTTCCACCCTGACATGGTAGTTCGTTGTTCACCCTATTGACCGCTTCCACCCTGACATGGTAGTTCGTTGTTCACCCTATTGACCGCTTCCACCCTGACAAGGTAGTTCGTTGTTCACCCTATTAGCTGCTTCCACCCTAACAGGGTAGTTTGTTGTTCACCCTATACACCGCTTCCACCCTGACAGGGTAGTTCGTTGTTCACCCTATACACCGCGTCCACCCTGACAGGGCAGTTCGTTGTTCACCCTATTGACCGCTTCCACCCTGACAGGGTAGTTCGTTTTCCACCCTATTGACCGCGTCCACCCTGACAGGGCAGTTCGTTTTCCACCCTATTGACCGCTTCCACCCTGACAGGGCATTTCGTTTTCCACCCTATTGACCGCTTCCACCCTGACAGGGCAGTTTGTTGTTCACCCTATACACCGCTTCCACCCTGACAAAGCAGTTCGTTGTTCACCCTATACACCGCTTCCACCCTGACAGGGCAGTTCGTTTTCCACCCTATTGACCGCTTCCACCCTGTCAGGGCAGTTCGTTGTTCACCCTATACACCGCGTCCACCCTGACAGGGCAGTTCGTTTTCCACCCTATTGACCGCTTCCACCCTGACAGGGTAGTTCGTTGTTCATCCTATACTCCGCTTCCACCCTGACAGGGCAGTTCGTTGTTCACCCTATACTCCGCTTCCACCCTGACAGGGTAGTTCGTTGTTCACCCTATACACCGCGTCCACCCTGACAGGGCAGTTCGTTTTCCACCCTATTGACCGCTTCCACCCTGACAGGGTAGTTCGACCACTTCCACCCTGACAAGGTAGTTCGTTGTTCACCCTATTGACCGCTTCCACCCTGACAGGGTAGTTCGTTGTTCACCCTATTGACCGCCTACACCCTGACAGGGCAGTTCGTTGTTCACCCTATACACCGCTTCCACCCTGTCAGGGCAGTTCGTTGTTCACCCTATACACCGCTTCCACCCTGACAGGGTAGTTCGTTGTTCACCCTATACACCGCTTCCACCCTGACATGGTAGTTCGTTGTTCACCCTATTGACCGCTTCCACCCTGACAAAGTAGTTCGACCACTTCCACCCTGACAGGACAGTTCGTTTTTGACCCTATAGACTGCTTCTATCCTGACAAGGAGATCATTTCTCCTATTTGTCTTCACTCTATCGACCAGGCCAAAAGGGTGCTGTTCTATAGTTCTCTTCGACCAACTCCGCGCTGTATTTCCGCGAGACCTGGTTGTCTGCTGTTCGGCCCCCGACCGCGACACAGCAAAAGAAGTACTAAGATAGCACTTGTACTTTGCTTAGCGTTCGGCGTTCGGCATTCTCACGGAGTCAGCATACTGTGTCTGATATCCATGTTAAATTGGGGTATTGTATTTCAGTAGGTCAACACTGTGACACTGGCATCAGTTCATACCAGTTCTAGTATTACCAGCTACACACACACACATGTCGCTATATTGCTGCAATAATCTTAAAATCGCCATTAATCCTATATTCCTTTGGGGGTTACTCGATTCTTATTGGATTAGTGACCACGATCGCATTCGGCTTTAAATAACCTTCACCGGCCTTTGAAGCAACCAGTTATGTCCAGGATCCCGATCCACAAAGCGTTCGTAACGTTTACGACCTGTCGTAACTCTATACTTTACCACAGGGTTACGAATGGTATATTGCTAGGAACGTTTTGAAGATTGGGTCCCAGGGCTCGGGGACAGGATTTGGTTTGGGATCAACATTTATATTATTTGTTTTATGTTTCTAACTTTATGCTTAATTATTTTGATTTTAACACATAACAGCTGTTTTCTTTGAATACGCGCCAGCAAGAAAATGTCAAGCTATATATTTGTCCTACTATGCGAGGCATATGTTATTTCTTGTCATATTTCAAAAGATGGGCTTAAACATTTTAACACCCTCATGTCTTTAACACCCTGATATTATTATTAAATGGTTTCTTGCTTATGGTTCGTGCTCTGTTAATCTTAACTTGTCAGTATGTAATATTCGGAATCTACCATATTTAGGGCAAGTTTGTAATACCTCTTTCTACTTGCAGAAACAACACCATGCACTGCATCGTCTGCAACAACTACACATTTGACATCGTGGCAACCGAGTGACCAACACACACGTGGATGATGAACACGATAAGCGACCAGCCTGCAGTGAGCGCCAACCCACGTGGTCGCAATGCCTACGTCACCGACACGTCATCCATGGCATCATCAGTGTACGACAAGGTATAGTAGCGTTGTAATGTAGCGTTCCCTCGAGGTGGACTATGTTTCAGCCCTGAATGATAATTCAGCAGGTCGATCGTGACATTTAAGTTCAACGACGAAGATTCAGAAGCGAAACAGAGTATCCATAATTTACATATGTCACGTGTAATACCAGATCAATATGAGACCAGCATGTCTCAAAATGAGCATTAACATGTTTATTGGGGGGAGATGAAAGTCAACTTTATTATCATATGGGAAAATTTGTTACCAACATTATAGATATACGGATATTAGATATTTATCATGCCTTACATTTGAAATCGACCGTCAAAAAACAAACTTCAAAATTAAAAACGAAATTCAATATCTGTTCACAAATTATTTTGCGCCGATTCTTATAACATTGTTTGTAATAAATGGTGAATAATGCATATGATAATTTTCATTTTGAGGACAACAAATTAACTTTTATCTTTCGGTATCGTAATTGTACATTTGCTGTTTATTCAATTACAGCATTTTTTCAAACTTTCGACTATCTACATCGAAATTTAAACCCCCAAAAATGTTAAACAACAAGTCATCCCTCACCTCCTTTTCCCTACAGGACACCCCAAAGACGCTGTCGGTGAAGTCAGGGGTGTCATCCGAGACCATGGAGCCGAGAATCGTGTATGGCGTTGACGAGAACGAGGAACGGGGTAACTGGAGCGGGCGGATGGACTTCGTGTTGTCCATGCTGGGGTACGCCGTGGGGCTGGGCAATATCTGGCGCTTCCCTTACCTGTGTTACAGGAACGGAGGGGGGTGCCTTCCTCATCCCATTTATCCTCATGTTGGCTATAGTCGGCATGCCGCTGTTCTTTATGGAGGTGTGTCTAGGACAGTTCACCAGCTGCGGACCTACTACCTGCTGGAACTTTGCGCCTCTGTTTAAGGGTAGGTGGGAGGTTATTGTTTGTGTGTTGTTTTACGCAGCACTCAGCGGTATTCCAGCTATATAGCGGCGGTCTGTAAATAATCGAGTCTGGACCAGACATTCCAGTGATCAGTTGCATCAGCTTCGATCTACATCTACGCAATTGGGATACAATGACATGTGAAAACCAAGGCAGCGAACCATACCATCCGATCCTGTTAGTTGCCTCTTACGGCATTGGTTGCTGAAGATCAATTCTAACCAGGATCTTCACAGGTCGGGACGTTGGTGGGTGGTAGGTGGGATGTTAATGGAGGGATAGATTGTAGATAGGACGTTGATGGAGGGTAGATGAAGCGTTGATGGAGGGTAGATGAAGCGTTGATGGAGGGTAGGTGGGACGTTGATGGAGGGTAGATGAAGCTTTGATGGAGGGTAGGTGGAACGTTGATAGAGGGTAGATAAAGCGTTGATAGAGGGTAGATGAAGCGTTGATGGAGGGTAGGTGGAACGTTGATGGAGGGTAGATGAAGCGATGATGGAGGGTAGATGAAGCGTTGATGGAGGGTAGATGGGATGTTGATGAAAGGTAGATGAAGCGTTGATGGAGGGTAGATGGGATGTTGATGAAAGGTAGATGAAGCGTTGATGAAGAGTTGATGGAGGGTAGATGAAGCGTTGATGGAGGGTGGATGAAGCGTTGATGAAGGGTAGGTGGAACGTTGATAGAGGGTAGATGAAGCGTTGATGGAGGGTAGATGAAGCATTGATGGAGGGTAGATGGAACGTTGATAGAGGTTAGATGAAGCGTTGATGGAGGTTAGGTGAAGCGTTGATGGAGGTTACATGAAGCGTTGATGGAGGATAGATAACGCGTTGATGGAGGGTAGGTCGAACGTTAATAGAGGGTAGATGAAGCGTTAATGGAGGGTAGGTGGAGCGTTGATGGAGTTTAGATGTAGCGTTGATGGAGGTTAGATGAAGCGTTGATGGAGGTTAGATGAAGCGTTGATGGAGGTTAGATGAAGCGTTGATGGAGGGTAGATGAAGCGTTGATAGAGGGTAGGTGGAGCGTTGATGGAGTTTAGATGTAGCGTTGATGGAGGTTAGATGAAGCGTTGATGGAGGTTAGATGAAGCGTTGATGGAGGGTAGATAAAGCGTTGATGGAGGGAAGATGAAGCGTTGATGGAGGGTAGATTCATCATCAGGAAATTACCATTACAACACACCAGCTTTGGATGTTATTTTCCTCTTCCCACCTGACATACTTCATGGTCTAAATGTAATTATATGAGATAAATGTCTTAATTCCCTAACGGGTGGGTGGTAACGGAGATTTCACTCTTATTTTTACGCATGGGATTTTTTTCATGTGTTGAGATATGTTATGCAGGGGGATGTTCTGAGCCCCAAATAATGACAAACACCATTAATTTAAACATAAACTGTATTCATTTAAAGTGAATGAGTAAGATTATGATTTGTTTTACACATGTACATGTCAAGCTGGAAATCGATCACGGACATTTCTTCAAAACTGGCGACATGGCATTAAACTGAAATTATTTATCTCAGATAGAACTCAGTGGCTTAACAGTTTTCAAAAAGGATACTTTTGACCGATGTTATATCCTAATGTACTAATATCCGGCTATTTGTACACCAAATTACAGTGAATTAAACTGCAAGGTGGGGAATAGTTACCGTAACGAACATTTTAAATTGACCGATTATCGAAGCTATAACAAGTATACGTTTAAGTATATTGGACTGTTTATGCATGATGTATGTAGGCCACGGTAGTACCATTATTCAGCCGTACTGATAATAACATTTGCTAATTAAGTTTAAGAGAAGCACGGCGACGACAGCATTTGCACCCAGTTATCAATTGAGAACGAGTGATATTTTCTTTACGTAGAATTGTGTTAGTAGGTAGCGTCATAAACTGCAAATATCGCCAATATACACGGTCAGGTGAAAAGACAGGCATTGTAATGTACCGGTCACAGTGAAGGTGAGGTAGGGCTAGTCGCGTATTTCACAGTAATCGTCAATTCAGACAAAAAGAATAAAATACTTCCTTTTTCCCTTTCAGGTGTTGGTTTCGGCATGTTGATCTGCTCCGGTCTTGTCAGCATCTACTACAACGTCATCCTCACCTACTCCTTCTTCTACCTGTTTGCGTCATTCACGAGTAGTCTCCCTTGGACAAGCTGCGGGAACGACTGGAACACTGGCGGTAAGGGGATGCGGATTCATACGTCACAGAGAAAGTGATAGTGGTAGATGAAGTCGCAGCTGATCACGGTGGCGTGTAAATAATGTAGTCAGATCACGACATACATGGGTCATGCATGGTATCACCCGATCCACATTCTCGCCAGCTACGTAAGGGTTACTGAAGACAATTGTACCTGTGAATCCACGCTGTTGGCTAGGTGGCCATGGTGGTGTTTGTAACCATGAACAAGCGGGTTTGTTTCCCGACATGGGCTGACCATGTTTAGTTCATTCTTGTTGTTTATTGACGTGACTGAAATACATGGATAATGTTTGTTTGACTATTCAAACCGAATATATCATAGGGTTCAGTCGTCATAGAAACTTCAATTCGTTTTGCAGAGTTGCCTCCCTTTGGTGAGTCATATCCCAATGAACATACTAGGTTCGAATCCACGCCGTGAAATTTTTGATTTAAGAAACTCACTCTCCCAACTGTATTCCAGCTGTATCAGGACGGCCTGTAAATTATCGAACTGGTCAAACCAGTGGCAGATAGTGTGAGCACCGTCCCATGCTGTCATCTCCTCACTACCTGGTTGTAGGTGTAATACGTGTCATGCAAATACAATGTATTGGGGCCCGGGATCGATTCCCCACATGGGTACTATGTGTGAAGCCCATACCTGGGGGGCCCCGCTGTGATATCGCTAAAACCGGCGTACAAGTAAACTCACTCACACATACAGAGACAGACAAGCTGCGTTTCTGTGCAAATTACGCAAATATTTATGTGAAAACTCAATTCCTAGTCTATTGCGCACACGTACGCTTGAAGTTTTGTAAATACTAAATAACTTTCATGATACATGCGTACACACAAAAATGTCAAATATTAGCATGCGTACTGTAGCATTCAGCAAACCTACCAGAATTTGAAGTAAGCAGATCCATGTGCTACAGATGGAGGTTACTGAGGATAGATAGAATAACTGAGGTATATTGTGAGGTTCTATGTCAGCACATCAACTTGGCAACTTGCAGTCTTTCTTTTCTCATCTTTTCTCATATAACAGATCAAATATAAATAACACACACGTAAACCAACATTTAAACTTAATTCTATTTTCACAAATAATAAAAAATGGCAAAATACCCATTGAGTTTGAGTGAGAAGGGTATAATTTATTTGGTTACTCAAAGGAATATTAGGATACCCAATTGAGTTGAACACAAGTGAGTACATAACTCAATGACCTAAAAAGTTATTTTTAGCTCTGCACATGCCTATATTGCAGACTGCAGCCTGAACCACCCCTTGACGTCCTGCAAGGAGCCGGAGACACGATACAGCAACGGCACCTGCTACACTGACGGCGCCTACAGCGGCGTGTGGAACAACTCATTGTTCACCGACGCCGGTCTCAAAAGAACCTCACCGTCGGAGGAATACTGGAAGTAAGAATTCAGTGAGGCTTTGTACTCCCATCACACACACACACACACACACACATTTTGTAAACGAAACGTTGGAATTATCCTGTACCATTTATTGTCATAAAAAAAGATAAATGAATAAATAAAAACATTTATAAATACATTCTTTCACTTTTCTTTACTTTTCTATAATTAATTTGTTATAATTCCTCAACATCTATAAAAAACGAAATATTTCATCTGTGCCATTGATGTTCATTTCTTCACCGATCTCAAGAATGACAGCGAAATATTTAGAACAAATATATATGGATCACAACTTCTTTTATTCTTTGTGCTCTAGAATAAAAGAAGTTGTCATCCATATATACTAGTTCTATCTGACTTCCAACTTCTAAGATGCCACTCAAAGAGGCGAAACATTTAATCTAATCCAATGAATATCATTTACGTTCCTTAGGTACAACATTTATTATCGTGAATTGTTTTGAGCGTTGCACATGGAAGACCTTGGCTAAAAAATACCATATTATTTGAACTGTCCTTTATGTGACTCCTTTGTTCGCAGCAACTACGTCTTGGGTTTAAGCAGTGGGGTTGACGACCTTGGCAGTCCACGATGGGCGTTGACCTTGACCTTGTTATTAGCTTGGATCGTTGTTTTTCTCTGTCTCATCAAGGGCATCAAGACCACTGGTAAGGTAGGTAACTCTTCATAAGGCAGTGATCATGAGGTTGACGACCTTATCAGTCCAAATGGTAGTTGACCTTGACCTTGCTATTAGCTTGGATCATTGTTTTTCTATATTTTTCTCATGAAGAGCATCAAGACCACTGGTAAGGTGGGTAACTCGTTATAAGGTACAGATCGTGCACACTGGTACCACCAGAGTAAAATAATTGGATGTAGACAATGCTATTGGCCCTGGTCAGTGTTCTGTATGCATGGCGATAAATCCGGCGTTTGTTGCGACCAGGTGGTGTACTTCACGGCTCTCTTCCCCTATGTCGTCCTGATCATCCTGTTCTTCCGAGGAGTGACGTTGGAGAACGCGTGGGAGGGCATCTACTTCTACATTGTACCCCGCTGGGAGAGGCTAGCTGACGGTAAGGTGAGTCAGGGGAGAGGACGTTTAGGAGGAGGAGTTTTCAGGACTTTCTTTCAGGAGATGCTGTCCATCCGCAGAGGGGCGGGATGAACTAGGGGGTGTTGGAGGTTGTCCAGGAGATTTCTTGATTCAGGATATGAGAGTGAGTATCAAGGGAGTAATTCTTCATATAGGAGATAAAGTATGCAAAAAGTATATGCAAAAAGTATTCGTCACTTAACGTAATTTCCTTAAACTTACATGTTAATTTAGTGTAGCCCAAATAATTTTCATGAATTTTCAAATTTTGCACATTTGTGAGGAATCACCTTACCTACAATCACATAATTTCTGTGTAATTTTCCGTTGCATATTTATCGAATGGTAACAATTTAATCAACATATATACAGTGCCGCAAACTCCTCTAACATGGCGGCCTATGGGATTGCGCATTGTGGAACCATACGCAAGTTGATAAATGTGATGTCATTAGTTAAATAGTGGTCTGAAAATTGAACTGAAATTATGTGCGCAGAGCAGAGATGATTTCAAATTTGCCTGTCAAAATTTACAAAGATCCATCCTGAACTCACTTCATGAAAATTATTTATGCTACACTGAAATAACATGTAAGTCTATGGAAATTACGTCAAGTGTCCGAATACTTTGTAGATGAGAAAACGTTTTCCGGGAATGGGACATGACAGAGGGATAGAGTGTGCAGAGAGAAGGGGACAGATTGAAACCTCGATGACATGGTGTGTTGGTGTGATGGTTTTTGTAGGAATTATTGACGGCGATGGGGAAAGGGTGTTTATGATTTCCTAGGATGCTATAATCTAACCCAAGAAATGCTCTGATAGCGTTGAAATAGTTTTGAAATCACGGCTTACATAGTACGAAATTAACACACAGCAAATACACGACGGGTCTGAAGTTCGAGAATAATCCTTTTCCACCAGTGGAAGTGATGTTCACAATTCAGAAGTTCTTCATGCAGAATTTCTGTCACTTATATGTTTGCAGGTATGGCGAGATGCGGCCGTCCAAATCTTCTACTCGATGGGGCCCGGCTGGGGTGGTCTCATTGCGCTGTCCAGTTACAACAGGTTCCATAACAACGCGCTCACGTAGGTGGATGTCGCTAAATAGTTTTTCCTTCTAATCTCAGAATCTAAAACGAATATCATAAGTATCTGCATCTTTTTTTTTACTGTTTTCAGTATTGATCTTATTTCGCCTTGCATAATTCATGATTGCTGCATTAATTGTAATGAGTCGTAATGTCAGTCATATCATATTGCCTCCCTGTGTATATTTTCAGCGACTCTCTGATCGTATCACTGGGGGACAGTCTCACAAGTATATTCGGAGGTTTTGTTATATTTTCGTATCTGGGATACATGGCCGGGAAACTGAACGTCAGCATTGAAAATGTCGTGAAAAGCGGTAGGTTTGTTACTGACTGTAGACAACAAGTTGCTAGTATCTGATCAAGATGTGAATTAATATTCTTATCGTGAATACACAATACAGTGCGAGCTACACCTGTTTCACGCAGCAGTATTTCAGTGATATTACAGCGCGTCAACTTGAATGACGGAGTGAGTATGGTTTTATGCCGCTTTTAGCAATATTCCAGCAATGTCATGGCGGGGGACATGAGAAATGGGCTTCAAGCATTGTACCCATGTGGGTAATTGAACCTGGGTCTTTAACCACTATGCTACCCCTCCTTGCTGACGTGAGACAAAAGATAGACATCATGTTTAATAATAACAGATCGATTTTTATGTTCCTATCCACAATCAGCTTATCTTATTGTCACAATTAAGGGACGGAATTCTGCACTGCAAGTTTGTGGCACCTCAATACAGATCTCAAGCATAAAGTGTGTATCCATGTTTCAGTGGTTGAGGGCAATATGTTCCTAACGTATTTTCCTGGAAGGCCACTGGCAACCAAATATCCAGTTTTTAGCCGTTGTGGCGCTTTTTATTAAACATAACGGGCACGAAAGAGGTTTGTCTATTGAGTACCATTATAAGAAATAGTATCTCTAATACAACTACTTTACACTTCCTGATATGTTAAGCTGGGCAACTACAAGTATACATTTTGTTCTTCAGGGGCTGGCCTTGCATTCATAGTGTACCCGGAAGCAGTTGCGTCACTTCCGGCTCCACCTTTGTGGGCCATTTTGTTCTTCTGCATGCTCATCACCCTGGGACTTGACAGTCAGGCGAGTTCTGTCCTTCCTCGAGTATATCGCAACATCATTTAGGAAATATAATGGCTTTCGTGTATATGTGTAAGAGAAGGTCATAGATGTATTAAATTTAACGTTTGGCTGGATTGATAAAGGTACTTCCTTCTGCATCGGGGGCTAAAAATAAATGAAAATATGTTAAAATTTGGTTAACGGTCATAGTCATTTATCTGTTGTTTATACGCTCCAGGTGTACTTCAACTTTGCTTTCACGTTTTCAGTTTGCTCAGGTGGAGACAGTTCTGACAGGGACACTGGATCTATTCCCTCATCTGAGAGCCCGCAAGACGTTCGTCATTCTCACTATTTGTAGCATCATGTTCTTCCTTGGACTTCCGCTTGTTACTCCTGTAAGTATTGCGTGACTTCCGCTTGTTACTCCTGTAAGTATTGCGTGACTTCCGCTTGTTACTCCTGTAAGTATTGCGTGACTTCCGCTTGTTACTCCTGTAAGTATTGCGTGACTTCCGCTTGTTACTCCTGTAAGTATTGCGTGACTTTCGCTTGTCAGACCAGCAAGTGTTGTGGAACGGTTGCTTGTGACGTCAGCCTAAAACTGGTCGGGAGTCTGTAACATACTGGTCGCGGTAATATTAGTCTCTTCAAAATCATAGAAACAACAATCTGAGAACATTCTATTAGCGGTCAGGTCAGTCCGATTTTCAACTGATCAGTCAAAGTGTAGCTTACCAGATCAGGAAAGTGAATGTCGGAACATGTCATTTGTTTATTTTTGAATCAGTACGTTCCAAAGTGCCTGAAAGACTAGTGGCCATTGTGAAACTCAAGAAGACTGCTTTCTGACTGTTTTCGCTGATCGATAAAAGTTCGGGAAAGGTCTTTTTGTCATGACCTGTAATGGAATGTCTTCAGATCTTCTTTGCCGCAGTAGAACTAAGATCTGATTTTAATCGGATTGGCGTCTGGTAATATTTTATATTGTGGTGTACAGAGTCATTCATATACAATTTTCGACATTTTTACCTTGACCTTGACCTACAGGGCGGGATGTACTGGCTGCAGCTGATGGATCACTACGCCGCATCCTGGTCACTGTTGGTGATCTGCCTCACCGAGAATATCGCCATCGTCTATATCTACGGTTCGTTAAAACACTAGTCATTCCCGCTTTCGTCAACACCTTTCATTGACTTTCTTACAATACTACATGTACAAATGAGGTGGGTAACTTAGTGGTTAAAGCGTCGGCTCGTCACCATTTTTGGTGCACCTTATTAATATTGCCGAATATTGATAATAGAATTTTCTCACAATAATAATGGCGAAAGGTTGTCTACATGTGCACATGATACAATTCATGACTTGTGCCAGTATGTAACAGTGGTTTGAGTAAAATGTAGCGTCGCATCGGTGCTATTTCAGCCATACAGCGACCTAATACTTTACAATATAATAGAGGCACACCATATGTCATGAGTTAAAGAAATGGGTCTCTTTTTCCCCCTGAACACAACAAAATGCCAAACCATAACACATCGGGAAACAGCACGGTGCACTGTCTGACTGTTTTATGTTTTATGTTATGACTTAAAGAAACAGAAACAAATGTCTTGTAAGGAGTCCGAAAAACAAAGGATGAGGTGCAGTGATGACTCCGGCAACGTATACAGCTGTCATTATACTCTCTTAGGTATCAACCGGTTTTACAAGGACCTTGAGATCATGATGGGAAAGCCGCCCTCTATTTGGTGGAAGATCTGCTGGCTCGGCCTCAGTCCAGGGGCCATTGTGGTAAGCAGACGACACCGTGTGTTGCAGCAGACGACTTTTCGATGTGATATTCCTATGGCTATACAGTTTGCGAATTAGTCAGATGTTGTATTAATAATATTTAACAAGTACTGAATTAGTACAACACCTCCTGTATGTAAGTGAGTTCTGTGACATTAAACAGGATATACACAAGGTCATTAATCAAGCACCACTCACTTCTTATATGATACGAAAACGATCATGTTACTTGTATAAGCATTGAAAACCAAATCATGCGCATATTCAACTCTGATTAAAACAGACACAAAATTGAGATTTGCTAACAACATGTTTGCAATCTGAGAAGAATAAAACAAAAACGTGAATATAAAAAATGCGGGGGTCAGACTCCGACTCTCCAGTGCAAGCGCAGTTCTTTAGCATGGGTCATGGGATTGCCTGACGAATTAGGAATCGGTCATCAGGGTCATTTGTCTTCTCCAGGTCTGCGACCATCCTTCACTTCACCAGTGGCCACGCCTTCCCTCACAAGACGACCAATAACCGTGTGGTTAATGTTCAAGTTAGCACAGATGTTGTTTCAGGACGCCTCTGCGCCATGCGTATCAATAGCTTGTATTTTCACGTGGTTCTGTTTCAGTTCATCTTCATATTTTCCCTGATTGAGTACAGCCCGGCGAGATACGACGCCTACACCTACCCGGCGTGGGCTGAGGCGCTGGGGTGGATGATGGCCCTGCTGTCCATCCTTATTATCCCGGTCGTGATGATCTACAAGATCAACAAGGAGGACGAGGAAGACTCCCTGATAGAGGTAGATATACTGTCTACACCGAAACCTCGGGTATATGCGCCAGTTTCCGTCCACATTGAAGTGTCCAATCAAAGGGTGTATCATGCCATGTTGTTCAGTGTTGATTTACTGTATGCATGTTGGAAGTGTATCATATCATGAAGTTAAAACAATCAATCAATTATAACAATCAATTTTGGTGACCGAGGCACTCAGTAAATAATGAATTTGGGTTGGTGAGCTTTTCAGTTCGGCGGAGAAGCCTGGTTGTTAGAGCGGGTTCCGTTGGGTACAATGTGTGAGAGAACTCTCTCTCTCTCTCTCTCTCTCTCTCTCTCTCTCTCTCTCTCTCTCTCTCTCTCTCTCTCTCTCTCTCTCTCTCTCTCTCTCTCTCTCTCTCTCTCTCTCTCTCTCTATATATATATATATATGTACATAAGCATGTTCGGATCACGTCTTCACATGATTGAGGTGATTGATGGAGCTAAATTAGTACGATTGCGCTGATGCTATTTTCACATATAGCAGGTACGTTATCCCATTGGTACAGTGAGTGATATTTGATATGCTGGGATAAGTAATACAATACTCAAACATTTCAGAAGCTGAAGTTGTTGGTCATACCCACACGTTCGTGGGGTCCAGCGTTGGTCAAACATCGAAAACTGATCAAGCACGTCCAGGGTTTCGTCATCGATCCAATGGCGGAGAAGGCCAAACTTGGCTTCGAGAATCCGGGCTTTGACTCGAGCTCCCGGACAAACAGCATGTCCAGGGTAAGTCCCCCTCTCTGTTAGGACAGTATGTTGGCTATCTTAAAAATCTAATGTCAACTCCTGGAAACCACTTAGCCAGTTTACCATAACGGGTCTTTAAATTCAATACATTGCGCAAGTTTCAATATTAGACATGTCATGGTAACATGTGAAACTCGTCCGTCGGTTGTACGTCGATTATCATTATAATAAATCCATTTGATTGGCCAGTAAGCATCACGAATACCGACATGACGTCATATTTTACCTGTGTCGTTATTTGCTTGTCACGTTACAATTGACCTAGTTCGTACCTAGTGTTAAGGTAATAAGGCCATGAGTGTTGGTTGAGTTGGGGGTTGGCATGTATTGTTAGATTTAAAGCCCGTAGATGGAGGTTGGTGGGTTAGAAGGTTAAAATGTATAAAAATTTCAAATTCAAATTTAATTATTTCCCCCACATTTTATGAAGTTAAGAAAAGCATGCGTTTGTGTTTTTACGATACGTTTCACTAGGTTTTAATATAATTAATTTAAATGATTTTTTTTTATGAAAATAGCAATGGTATTTGAGTTTTCTTTATATTTTACTTATATCAAGTTGACTGAGTGTAAAACAAAGATTAAGCCCGGCTTTTCAAATTTAAGGGTATGTTTTCACAATTCAGTTTTTAGTCCGTGTAATTCTAAACCAAAGAGAGCATAGCCTAGATAACTAGTAGTGCTAACAAGCGAACAGACATGTTACACCTGCGAAACATAGTCCCGGGTCAGTCTATCCAGCTCAAGGGGCCGTGGGGTAACATCGTGGTTAAAGCGTTCGCTCGTCACGCTGAAGACCGGGTTCGATTCCCCACATGGGTACAATGTGTGAAGCCCATTTCTGGGGTCCCCCGCCGTGATTTTGCTGGAATATTGCTAAAAGCGGCGTAAACCCATACACACTCACTCACTCACACACTCATTATCCAGCTCTAGCACTACGAGTGTATTCAAGTTCAAACATCTTTTTTGTTTCAGATGAGCGCTGGAGCTTCTCTAGGAAACCTGTCACGCAGCACAGCTCACTCCAATGTGTCAAATGTGTCACATGTGTCCTTCGAATCTTCTGTTTAACTGCATTTTATCCCACATTTAACGCTGGATGGTAGGAAGATATTTGGGTATATCACCTAGACAAACTATTTCGTTGCACATACATCATTTGGAATTGTTCGGTTGTTACAAGATGCAACAGGATAGATTGAAAAATGGTATTGTTTAGGAAATTGGAATTTAATCAATGCTTAACCATCACAAAACCGCCCTAAATATTGATATTCGAGTTACGTTGACAACAGCACAAAGAAAATACGTGTATCCGTGTGTACTGATGTATGTCAATGTGTACGGATGTATGTCAATGTGTACGGATGTATGTCAATGTGTATCACTTTAACCTTGTGGTTATGGCAGAGGTTTAATTGTTCAACTCTCGCGTCAATACAACCGGTTGCAAAGGAACCATGTTCTTCGCAGAAAACACAACGAACGGGTGTAAATGAATGCTACTACTTATTTTTATACTTGTACTGTTTACATAAGGCATAAGCATTCAAATGTGTTGTGCACTTTGAGCTGATACATGTCCTGTGTTTTGGTCCATATACAGTCAGGAGAAGATAACTCATGAACCTGTATATTTATCATAGCGAGACTGGCAGTCACGGTTATGTATACTGTATCTAGCCAGAACCGGACATAAGTTTTTTTAACTATGTTTTAAAGATTTCATGTCTAAATTTTTTTTAATGTGGATATTTTAAATTTAACTTTGCAAGCAAATGTGGTGTTTCGACTACACGAAATAACTAGTTTTATGGGTTTTTTCCCATTCGGGACGAGAGTGTGATAGGAAAAATCAAACTGAGATGTGTCTAAACTATATCAGGAAGCCGTCTTCTTTCCGCTCTCAGTAGCAAACCTCCCTTTCGGGCCAGCTCTGAGGTGTGGAACAAGAGCTACCCAATGTGTCATCTAGGGCCAGACATTGTCAACAGTCCGTTAGTTCGAGGTAGTAACAATCTAGAAAGTTGTTTTATACCCACATCTATTATTTCTCACTATCCGAAATGACTTGACATGATGTCTCTACATTACACTTGAATACTATAAGAACTGCTCTTGCAAACTGTCCACTAGAGTAGGTTAGTTGTTCTGGAAACGTTCTTAGGGCTACGAACGTTTCGAGAATAGCTACCCTGATGTCGACTACAGTCAATGTACGTAGAAGGAACTGGAAGCAATACAAGGTGACTGGTCCGCCATGTACATAGTCAGGGTTAGACCTGTGTTGTTCTTAACCGCAGTCCTCAATGTTCAGTCGTCACGTCCAACTTCTCTTGGACACCCGGTGGTCTGTGTAACTTTGTAATGATTCTTCTAGGCAGGACTGTGAAATCTTGCCTCGATCGTTCCTCGTGAACTATTACCACGTTCTACAAACCGGTCTCAGTAGCCTGGACTTTCGGACAACATACGAATCTCTGGAAACTAAACAGACATCTACTCACTGTTTTTCTGCCTGTAGTTAGGTGTGTCAATGAGCTATGTCGTTTTTGACAATTTTCAAGCAATATTGGGTAACAGGGGAGGATGAGGGGACAACAGAAATCTATTTTACAAAATGTGACCGTGCGGGAAATCACGAGACTTCGGCGTGAGGAGCAAACGCTTGATCTACTTGACTAAAGAAAAGAGCAACGCACACTGGTATACACACTCGTATTAACATTTGCAGTCGAGTTTGTAGAGAACTTTTGTCACATACATTATAAAAGTAAATCAAATAGCGTAACGTACGTAACCAAAGTTGTATAGATTGCCACAGAAAGCAATTTTAACAGTGTTTTTGACATTTTATTTTTAAAGCTTTTGTTTCAAATTCCACACTACTGCCTAAATGACAGCATGCATTTACCGTTTTGCCCATTGTATATTTTGTTCTACCAAAAAGCTGTGTCGCATTTGCATCAAAGAATAAAGTCCATATTTTGGCCAGCCGAGAGTGTTTGTATCCTTATTGTCCTCCGTGTGTCGCCCTGCACACATACAAAGAAACCAGTACCGGGCAACCCTGCCACTTAAACCTTATCCTCGGGAGAGAAGATTCACAGGCCATGTGGCACGATACTTCATAAATTAACTTCCTACAGTGGCAATTACATGTCATTGCCCCAGAGAACCACGAAACACGATGTTTCTGAAAGGAATACATATTTAGTAATCAAACAGTTATTCAACCCCTGTGATTGAGGCATTCAGTGAGTATTTGTCTAGGTTCGCCCTGGGTTCGAGGCGTGTGTTCACTATAGACTGTTAGCGTAAGGCCAACACGGCAGCTAATAGTGTGTATTGCAGGCTTGGATAAGTCAAAGGTGCTCTGAGCAGTCACCATATACGATGACGCTACATGGGTGCTGTGTAGTGAGGGTGTGAACGGTAGTCTCTAGAGATAAACCAGAAGGTAAGTTGCATATGAAGTCTGGTTAAAATAGCGTGTTCATATTACTTGAATACATCAAAATTAAGCACTGGCTGTGTTTTATGTTTCCCAAATTGCAGTTGGTAAAATACAAAAAGTCACGTGTCGTGGGATATCAACTCTAAACTGCTTTAATCTTACGCGGGAGCTAACACTGTCAATGTTGCCAAATGTAACTGGAACGTGACTGGGACGGCCAGGGTTGCTATGAGAGGGGGCCACATGATCAACTGTCCGGTATCACCGAGCGGATGAAAGCAGAACTGGTATAACTTAGCGGATGAAACCACTTGATCAACTGTCGATTATAACTTGGCGGATCAAACCACTTTATCAACTGTCGATCATAACTTGGCAGATCAAACCACCTGATCAGCTGTCGGGTATATTCGAGCTGATCAAACCACCTGATCAGCTGTCGGGTATATTCGAGCTGATCAAACCACCTGATCAGCTGTCGTGTATATTCGTGCTGATCAAACCACATGATCAGCTGTCGGGTTTAACCTAGCGGATCAAACCACATGATCAACTGTCGGGTATAATCTGGCGTATCAGCTGTCGGGTATAATCTAGCGGATCAAACCACTTGATCAACTGTCGGGTATAAACTGGCAGATCAAACCATCTGATCAACTGTCGGGTATAACCCAGCGGACCAAACCACCTGATCAGCTGTCGTGTATAAACTCGCAGATCAAGCCACCTGATCAACTGTCGGGTATAATCTAGAAGATCAAACCACTTGATCAACTGTCGGGTATAATCTAGCAGATCAAACCACTTGATCAACTGTCGGGTATAATCTAGCGGATCAAACCTCGTGATCGACTGTCGGGTATAAACTGGCAGATCAAATCACCTGATCAGCTGTCGGGTACAACCTAGCGGATCAAACCACTTTATCAACTGTGGGGTACAACCTAGCGGATCAAACCACCTGATCAACTGTCGGGTATATACTGGCAGATCAAACCACCTGGTCAGCTGTCAGGGTACAACCTGGCGGATCAAACCACCTGATCAACTGTCGAGTATAACCTGGCGGATCAGTTGTCGGCTATAATCTAGCGGATCAAACCTCGTGATCGACTGTCGTGTATAAACTGGCAGATCAAATCACCTGATCAGCTGTCGGGTACAACCTCGCGGATCAAACCACCTGGTCAACTGTCGGGTACAACCTTGCGGATCAAACCCTTTGATCAACTGTCGGGTATAATCTAGCAGATCAAACCACCTGATCAACTGTCGGGTATAATCTAGCAGCTCAAACCACCTGATCAACTGTCGGGTATAAACTAGCAGATCAAACCACTTGATCAACTGTCGGGTATAATCTAGCGGATCAAACCTCGTGATCGACTGTCGGGTATAAACTGGCAGATCAAATCACCTGATCAGCTGTCGGGTACAACCTAGCGGATCAAACCACCTGATCAACTGTCGGGTATAAACTGGCAGATCAAATCATCTGATCAGCTGTCGGGTACAACCTAGCGGATCAAACCACTTGATCAACTGTGGGGTACAACCTGGCGGATCAAACCACCTGATCAACTGTCGGGTATAAACTGGCAGATCAAACCACCTGATCAGCTGTCAGGTACAACCTGGCGGATCAAACCACTTGATCAACTGTCGGGTACAACCTAGCGGATCAAACCACCTGATCAAAAACTGTCTGATCAAATGTTGGGTATAAACTGGTAGATCAAACCACCCTCATATAACCTGGCGGATCAAACCACCTGATCAACTGTCGAGTATAACCTGGCGGATCAGTTGTCGGCTATAATCTAGCGGATCAAACCTCGTGATCGACTGTCATGTATAAACTGGCAGATCAAATCACCTGATCAGCTGTCGGGTATAACCTCGCGGATCAAACCACCTGATCAACAGTCGGGTATAACCTAGCGGATGAAACCACCTGGTCAACTGTCGGGTACAACCTTGCGGATCAAACCCTTTGATCAACTGTCGGGTATAAACTGGCAGATCAAACCACTTCATCAACTGTCGGGTATAACCTGGCAGATAAAACCACCTGATCAACTGCCGGGTATAAACTAGCAGATCAAACCACTTGATCAACTGTCGGGTATAAACTAGCAGATCAAACCACCTGATCAACTGTCGGGTATAAACTAGCAGATCAAACCACTTGATCAACTGTCGGGTATAATCTAGCGGATCAAACCTCGTGATCGACTGTCGGGTATAAACTGGCAGATCAAATCACCTGATCAACTGTCGGGTACAACCTAGCGGATCAAACCACCTGATCAACTGTCGGGTATAAACTGGCAGATCAAACCACCTGATCAACTGTCGGGTACAACCTAGCGGATCAAACCACCTGATCAACTGTCGGGTATAACCTGGCGGATCAAACCACCTGATCAACTGTCGGGTCAACCTTGTATAAACCTGGCTTTGATCAAATGTTGATAAACTGGCAGATCAAACCACCTGATCAACTGTCGGGTATAACCTAGCGGATGAAACCACCTGGCAGATCAAACCACCCCTGATCAACTGTCGGGTATAAAATCAACTGTCAGCAGATCAAACCACCTGATCAACTGTCGGGTATAACCTGGCAGATCAAACCACCTGATCAACTGTATAAACTAGGATCAAACCACTTGATATAAACTAGCAGATCAAACCACTGATCAACTGTCGGGTATAATCTAGCGGATCAAACCACGTGATCGACTGTCGGGTATAAACTGGCAGATCAAATCACCTGATCAACTGTCGGGTATAACCTTATCAGCGGATCAAACCACCTGATCAACTGTCGGGTATAAACTGGCAGATCAAACCACCTGATCAACTGTCGGGTATAACCTGGCGGATCAAACCACCTGATCAACTGTCGGGTATAACCTGGCGGATCAGTTTGTCGGCTATAATCTGGATCAGATCAAACCACCTGATCAACTGTCGGGTATAACCTGGCGGATCAAACCACCTGATCAACTGTCGGGTATAAACTGGCAGATCAAACCACCTGATCAACTGTCGGGTATAACCTGGCGGATCAAACCACCTTATCAACTGTCGGGGTATAACCTAGCGGATCAAACCACCTGATCAACTGTCGGGTATAAACTGGCGGATCAAACCACCTGATCAACTGTCGGGGTATAAACTGGCGGATCAAACCACCTGATCAACTGTCGGGTATAACCTGGCGGATCAAACCACCTGATCAACTGTCGGGTATAAACTGGCAGATCAAACCACCTGATCAACTGTCGGGTATAACCTGGCGGATCAAACCACCTGATCAACTGTCGGGTATAACCTGGCGGATGAAACCACCTGATCAACTGTCGGGTATAACCTGGCGGATCAAACCACCTGATCAACTGTCGGGTATAAACTGGCGGATCAAACCACCTGATCAACTGTCGGGTATAACCTGGCGGATGAAAACCACCTGATCAACTGTCGGGTATAAACTGGCAGATCAAACCACCTGATCAACTGTCGGGTATAACCTGGCGGATCAAACCACCTGATCAACTGTCGGGTATAACCTGGCGGATGAAACCATCCACCTGATCAACTGTCGGGTATAACCTGGCGGATGAAACCACCTGATCAACTGTCGTGTATAAACTCGCAGATCAAGCCACCTGATCAACTGTCGGGTATAAACTCGCAGATCAAACCACCTGATCAACTGTCGGGTATAAACTAGCAGATCAAACCACTTGATCAACTGTCGGGTATAATCTAGCGGATCAAACCTCGTGATCGACTGTCGGGTATAAACTGGCAGATCAAATCACCTGATCAGCTGTCGGGTACAACCTAGCGGATCAAACCACTTGATCAACTGTGGGGTACAACCTAGCGGATCAAACCACCTGATCAACTGTCGGGTATATACTGGAAGATCAAATCACCTGATCAGCTGTCGGGTACAACCTAGCGGATCAAACCACTTGATCAACTGTGGGGTACAACCTAGCGGATCAAACCACCTGATCAACTGTCGGGTATAAACTGGCAGATCAAATCACCTGATCACCTGTCGGGTACAACCTAGCGGATCAAACCACTTTATCAACTGTGGGGTACAACCTAGCGGATCAAACCACCTGATCAACTGTCGGGTATATACTGGCAGATCAAACCACCTGGTCAGCTGTCAGGGTACAACCTGGCGGATCAAACCACCTGATCAACTGTCGAGTATAACCTGGCGGATCAGTTGTCGGCTATAATCTAGCGGATCAAACCTCGTGATCGACTGTCGTGTATAAACTGGCAGATCAAATTACCTGATCAGCTGTCGGGTATAACCTCGCGGATCAAACCACCTGATCAACAGTCGGGTATAACCTAGCGGATGAAACCACCTGGTCAACTGTCGGGTACAACCTTGCGGATCAAACCCTTTGATCAAATGTTGGGTATAAACGGGTAGATCAAACCACTTCATCAACTGTCGGGTATAACCTGGCGGATCAAACCACCTGATCAACTGCCGGGTATAAACTACCAGATCAAACCACTTCATCAACTGTCGGGTATAAACTGGCAGATAAAACGACCTGATCAACTGCCGGGTATAAACTAGCAGATCAAACCACTTGATCAACTGTCGGGTATAAACTGGCAGATAAAACCACTTGATCAACTGTCGGGTATAAACTGGCAGATCAAACCATCTGATCAACTGTCGGGTATAAACTGGCAGATAAAACCAGATAAAACCACTTGATCAACTGTCGGGTATAAACTGGCAGATCAAACCACCTGATCAACTGTCGGGTATGACTAGGACCAAACAACCGCAAATGTTGATTACAATACATAGGATCACCTCCGTTGTCTTCTCGATAGTACGTATTGTCACAGAGACCGGAATGTCGGTCGTTTGATCCCTGGCGGTCTCAAAACAAAAGACGTTTCAAGATGGTATTTGCTGTTACCTTGCCTTGCCCTCGGCATTCAAGGAATGAAACAAGACCTGGTCGGCTCGGAGTCAGCAGAGTATATCAGAAAGGGATATCAATGTTAAACTGCGACGTAGCACTGTAGTACAGGCACAGAATTGAGTTGTGCAAACAACTTCACACATGTACATGCACGCAAGTACGTAATTCAACCATATTTATAAACCAATGGCTGTTTCTTAGTACTAGCCAAATGTGGTGCCGTGGGGCAAGTAACAGGGAAACCAAACCCAGACACAAAACACTGACAAAGCCGAGCGGTCTTGGTTTCATTCCCTATGCCAAGCGCCATGCAGAGTAACAACAAGTATCATCTGCTAACTACTTATGACGCGACCAGGGGATCCAACCACCACCAACTTTCGCCTCTCCGGGCAGGCCCTTTATGTATTACACCACGTGGGGTCCTGGCTCCTTGAGCATGGTAAACGGCTATACTAGGTAAATGGACGTCATCGTTTCCTAGTGGTGACGATTAATGCTCATGGTGTCAATCACTGGATTGTATGATCCGCAATCGATTTTTACAATATTACAGTCCGATGTCAGATATATGGAGTGAATATAGTTTCGCGCCGCTTTTAGTAATATTCCAACAATATCACGGCAGGGGGCACCAGAAATGGCTTCACAAATTGGACCCATGTGAGGAACCGAACCCGGGCCTTCGCCGTGACGAGCTAACGCTTAAACCACTAGGCTACCCCACCACCCTCTCAGATATCTGGAACATTGCTGAATACGACTGTAAACAGTGAGAGAAACCTACCCGTATTTATCACTTGTATCCGAGCTTGTGGTCACTGAAAGCACCCTCTATTTTCCCAAAAGCTGTGTACGTCTGTCCCCACTCTTTAAGACTTACATGGGATTTGCTTATCTGGCTGGCATTACTTCTGCGCGTCTCCCGGGTTGCAGTTCCCTGTCTTGATGTTTTACTCTTGAGACTTCTTGTGTATGTACTCAGATGAATATATTTACACGCCAAGTTTTATCAGCGAAACCAAGAGCCGTAAATCCTCAAAGCACTTTGTCAGCTCCATCGTTATTACAATCTATTGATACGATGATATATGAGTGCCAGGTTTGAAACACTCATCGAACGCAGGGGGCAGTTCACACTTCCCGACTTGGCCGCAACCTAGCTACCGCCGGATTGCGCATGACAGAACGGCGGCCATGCAGCACGTGCACTCAACAGTGAGCGTGCAACTTGGCTCCGTCTACTGATCTCAATATCATGCTTTTGTCAACGGTAGGATTTAAGAGATATGAAGAAGGTTGCACTTACAGAACTTACATTTGTCGAGCACAGGAACAAAGAGTCCGATATCTGAGTACACATAAGTACCTTCATAACAAACTACGAAAGTCCTGTCTGGAAGTTGGATGTACACTGTTTCGTGACGTTAACCTAGCTTGGATATGTGCACTGGATGGTCGGGTAAGTTTGAATACGTTACCTGGATTTCCTCAGATACTTCTAACAGTTTATATGGATATACAGTAAACTATACCGGAACTATACCTACCTGATATAGCGTGGCTCATATCTTATCAACATTCACAGATTTCGCTTTATCAGATATACTCCTTGTCAGCAGACAGTTAACACTGGTGCGAAAGTTTGCATGAAACCCAAGTAATAATTCACTTGCTATTATTACATAAACAATACTTATTGCCACCCAACTTATTGCTTGAATAGTGTGTAAATATAACAGGAAATTCAGTTAATGGGAAGCGTTACTGGCATCTTTCAGAAATGATCTAATGTGGTTAGAGAGGTATCAATATATTAAATTATTGATCAGATAGGTGATAAAAGGATCATTCGTGACTGGCGTTGCTTAACTGGCAATAGCATATAGGTGCGCGTAAAAGACAAGAACTAGTTATTCGTCGACCAGTACTATTGCTATCTGGTGCCACTGACAAACACGATGACGTATACAACCGCGAGCATGATGACAGGTACATGGATGAATGTAGCTCGTACATGCTATATATTTATCTACATAGTTATGTTTTCCCTTGTTCGTGGTGTGTTGCCGTATGTCATTAGTGTGTGTAATGTTTTACTAACATAACATAATATAATATAATATAATATAATATAATATAATATAATATAATATAATATAATATAATATAATATAATATAATATAATATAATATAATATAATATAATATAATATAATATAATATAATATACTACTCATGCAAATAATGGTTGTCACCACTTCAATTTGTTTAATTGGAGAGGTTGGCACCCCCTTGTAAGGTGTGTGGGGGTTGGGGTGGGGAGGGGTGACAACCATTATTGGCATGAGTATATAATATAATATAATATAATATAATATAATATAATATAATATAATATAATATAATATAATATAATATAATATAATATAATATAATATATAGGGATATACGTTTCCACTGTAACCGTATAGTTGAAGTGCATTTTCGGATTACATTTGCTACCATTGCTACTTAAATAACATCACCAGCAGCTAGCATACAGGTTTCATCGCCTGTGGTTCAGGTGCCAGTTGTCTTTCAGCATACACGCTGGTTATCATGGTGGGGATTGAATTCATAACAAAAAAATTCCTAATATGTTTCTAACCATTTGAGAAGTTCAGGAATATCTAAAGAAAGCAAGTTCTCCAAGTGAGTACCCGTGCTGTTATACATGCTGACAAGTCCGCTAAGCACTTAATTAAAGAGAGGCTTTACCTGGGTAGCCGCACAGAACGCGTGTAAGCTGCGGAGTAAACATGTCTTCCCAGCTGCGAGACGGAGTTATGTCAATGACAACATTTACCCTGGAGATCAGGAGGATTTCCTCGTCCTGCCTACCATCGAATAGGGGTGGATAGAACGACATGTGTGCTTTTCCCGCACAGTTACGTGGAGCTACAACCCCATGCCCACTTAATCACTACCCCCATTGGACACGTGTATGTGCTTTGCCAACATATTTACTATCCGTTTTGGTGTGGACACGTACATGTTCTTTGAGTACATATTTACTATCCGTTTTGGTGTGGACACGTGCATGTTCTTTGAGTACATATTTACTATCCGTTTTTGTGTGGACACGTGCATGTTCTGTGATTACATATTCACTACCCGCCTTGTGGAAACGTTCATGTTCTTTGAGTACATATTTACTATCCGTTTTGGTGTGGACACGTGCATGTTCTGTGATTACATATTCACTACCCGCCTTGTGGAAACGTTCATGTTCTTTGAGTACATATTTACTATCCGTTTTGGTGCGGACACTTGCATGTGCTTTGCCAACATATTTGCTATCCGTTTTGATGTGGATACGTGCAAGTTCATTGATTACATATTCACTACCCGCCTGGTTGAGGACACGTGCATGTTCTTTGATTTCGCATTGTTTTGTGGACACGTGCATGTTTAGTGACTGAGATTGTTTAGTGACCACACGCCATACAAACGTTCTTGTTCTCTGGTAAGTAAAACACTACACGCTTTGTTGTGAACAACACGTGTACGTTCGTAAAACTTAAACACTTCACTCATTTTGTGACACGTGCATCTCGCTGTGAAGTGCATGCTCTCTGGAAACTTAAATACTACACGGTTTGTTGTAAACACGTGCATGTTCTCCGATTAATTCATCACTACCCGGCTTGTTGCTGGCACGTGCATCTTCTCTTGTTACTTAAATACTATTACACGGACGACATAAAATAACTAGTCTCGATTATAAACTGAACCAGACCTCCCTGAGCGTAACAAGCAAAACGTTGATGAAAACCGTATGCATGAATCACTGAAAATCAGCAACGACACGAAGTTTTCATGAAGAGAGTAAGCACATTACCACGCTTCAATCCTATACATGTATTAATGAAAATAATGGCCCTCCCAGACTACCAATAAATTAAACTTAAGGGACCCTAGGCCAGGTTGCAGTCCAGTTACTTGAATAAAGTCACCTATATAATACTTTGTTTATCTAAGCTGGGTACAGTATATGGCAGTATATAATAGTACCCTTATTACATAGGTTTCGCACCTGTCACACGGTGTTACGCATAGACCGTTTGGGAATGAACACTGGACTGTATAGTATAACATCTCTTTAATGAGACAAACAGAAATCGGACGGCATCATGACAAGGCAAGTCTCCATACACAATGTACATGCTCAAAAGACACTCGTATTTCGGCCAATGTGCACTGTACTTTCATTCGACTCCCTCGGGAGTATACAACCTAAGTTGCCTTCACAGGTGCGTGGTTAACATGCACAATACCATCTCACCCTGCCGGGTACCCACTTTTCCTGTTAGGTGAACAAGGTCAAATTTTGCCTTAGCCTATGTGTTTATTGTGAGGCAGCTAGGATTCAAGTTGACAATTCATGGTTCCCATCCAGGTATTCTCTGCCACCGATGTTGCTTAGCTTCAGATCTCTTACACACACACACACACACATGCACGCACGCACGCTCGCACGCACGCACGCACGCACACACACACACACACGCACACGTCAATCTCAACGGCACGTAGTATTATCAATCTCAACTCCCTGGGGATCATACAACTCCCTTGTGAGCTGGGGCGGTGGGGTAGCCCAGTGGCTTAAGTGTTTGCTCGTCACGCTGAAGACACAGGTTCGATTCCCCACATAGGTACACTGTGTTAAGCCCGTTTCTGGGGTCCTCCGCCATGATATTGCCCGAACTATGCTAAACCCAACTCACTCACCCACTCTCCTGTGATCTGTTCGCTATGCAAAGGACCATTTGTCACCACGTTCATAAAGCTTGACGTACGTCTGTGTAACTCACACATATCTAAGAGAGCAGTCTTGCACTTCAGATACTATCTGTCGAGTCTGAGAGAACAAATATACTTAACCCAATGAACGTTAAACCACGAACACCGTTCTATTTTGTTCTTAGTCTCTATTTACTCCGAGAGTTAGTTACATTGCTCAGGATATCAAAGATTATTGAATGTTAAGCCGACAAATAGTCTAAGCAGAAACATAAATTGCTACTATGTCAACTCTGGGGAAAATGGACCCTCTAAGAAGCTGAGGGGAAAATGGATTACTGGCGTATTATTGTTCGCTGAACGGGTTTTCATGGTCAAATTGACGTTAACGTTTATTCTACATATTACGTCAGTGTGGACACTATCGTTGCTGTGTTGGTATTTTGAGTTGTTTTTGTCATATAGTTGAAGACGAGAGCTGAGATTTACACACAACGATGTGGACACTACGGCGAGATATCACATCCCTGAAACAACGATTCGGCTTGATCTAGATGAACGGTTCAGCCTGACAGCATGCAAGGTAATGGATTAATTTGGTCAAAGTTTCGGGAAACTTTTTTACGCTACTTATAAGTTTTACTGAAACTTCTTTTACCGGTATAGCGAAAAAATAAATAGCCCAAATCCAAATGTACTTCTGATATAGCGAAATAACATCTTTTTTTAACAATAGGCATTCAATAGACGTGATTGTTAAAAAATAATTTAATACAAGGGTATCCTTGGAGTGACTGCTCGCGCACGTTCAGGACAATAAAGGGGTAAGTGTAGGTATAATACTTACCTGAGCCAGGTCACGGCATCAATAAACTAATTAAGCAGGACTACCTGTGGTAGAGGTATTTATGGGTTACTGTGAGGGTTACCGGGAGTCAGGTCAGGTGGGAACAACGGTCATTGTCAACTGTCAACGGGGCAGTATGATGGATTTATGAATATACGAGCGCTATATATCTTACAGGTAGGTTAGTAGCGTACTTGTCACTATGTTCCTAAGTATTGACAAGTTTGACTAAACTATATGAACTTAATGTTTGCTTATTAGTTACAAGTGAACAAAAACATACTGTATACATCCTAGGGAGCTGAGAATCAGTATGCGCTGACCTGTTGACGGGGTAATAATGTCGTATGCTTTGTGCATGAGTATATGAGAATATATCTGGACAATTATTTTGAAATTTTCATTACTTATATTTTCATTATTGATGAAAGTTTCTTGATGCGATTTGGAAAATACGTTTGCAGTAAGACCACGCTTACGGAACGTTAGCTGTTAAGACTGTCAACATATACACCAAGAATTTATGCTATATCGGTGGTTCTTAATCTGGACAAAATATACACCAAGAATATACTGTATAACGGTGATTCTTTACTTTAACATTTGTTATCCTGAAGGTTTTACAGAAAATTCCATCGTTCTGATTAACAGTCTTTCACCCACTGCAATATGACATGTTAAGTCCATACGGACTCGCTATGTAACTGAACTGACGAAGGTTCCCGGTCTCAGGGACTCCTCGCTCCAGTAGTATAGGTATACTCTGTGCCCTGCTCTCACTGTGATATACTTCATTGTACTCCTTAATCAATTCTCAAACTAACATCCTAAGAAAAAAATGTAGCATTCTATAGTTACCTTTCTTTGAAAGAAAAAAACGATATATTTCGAAACCAGGTGTGCCTGAGCACTGATCTGTTTTACTGAACTTTCTCTTTGTCAGTACAGGTGGCAAGAATTGAAATGACACAATGAGTTTCTCAATACGATTTAGTCATTTTTAATATCCAAATTCATTCAACCCTTAGCTGGTGGCTTAAACTTGTTGTATACTTATGAATAAATAGATATGACTTCACATATTGAAATACGCCCCATTTCTAATTTGCTGAGTTACGTTTGTGTCATATACTCATGGAAACGAATAAGGGAACACATGAAAGTACAGGTGTTCCTTTATTCTTTTCCAGGTTTCTTCACAAGGTATGTATTGCACTGTGGGTGAAATTCTGTAAATAGATACAGGAACACTTGTACTTTCATGTATTCCCTTATTCGTTTCCATGAGTATACTAATACGGTACTTTTTGTATTCAGCTATACGGCGTTATAACGGGAGTCTCCGGGAGAGATCTACCTTGCCTAATATATTGCCATCACATCAACGTTTACGCCGGGAGCTGCATCCAGGTGTGTGATTAAATGGTGGTCATCGTCATACAATAGTTACAGGTGCATCTTACAAGGGGAAGTTATCAAAAGTTATTTCCAGGTGTGTGATGTAGCGATTATCATCAGACGTTAATTACAGGTGTGTGTTGTAGCGGTGGTCATCATCAGACGTTAGTAACAGGTGTGTGATGTAGCGGGGATCATCATCAGGTGTGTGATGTAGCGGGGATCATCATCAGACGTTAGTTACAGGTGTGTGATGTAGCGGGGATCATCATCAGACGTTAGTTACAGGTGTGTGATGTAGCGGGGATCATCATCAGACGTTAGTAACAGGTGTGTGTTGTAGCGATGATCATCAGACGTTTGTAACAGGTGTGTGTTGTAGCGGTGGTCATCATCAGGTGTGTGATGTAGCGGTGGTCATCATCAAACATAGTTCCATGTATATCACTGAGCGGTTATTTTCAACACACGTTACACCTGCAGATAAGGAGGACGAGGACAAACACCGACAGGTGAGCCGGTCAGTGCAACACTCTGCAGTCGGACTGACCATGTCAGGGCAGCAGCTGTCTATCCCCCAGGCGTTACCCCTGAGGAGGGGGTCATCCAGCCAAAGCCTCTCAGGGTCGAGCGTCATCAGTGCGTCTGACTGGAGGGGGGCTGGAGCAACGAGGAGGGGTTCCCGTGGGTCACTGAAAAGAAACTCATTACCCCTCGGGTCGGTTGGAGCGAGGCAGTGGATGAGAAGGCCGCATCCCAGGGACAGACTCACTGAGGCTGAGGAGGCGGAGAGGGCGAAGGTAGGTCGTGGTCGTAGTCGTGGTCGTGGGTGTTGGTGTGGGTGTGGGTGTGGGTGTGGGTGTGGGTGTGGGTGTGGGTGTGGGTGTGGTTAAATGTCATAGTGGCAGGAGCGAGTAAGTTTAGTTTTACGCCGCTTTGAGCAATATTCAAGCAATATCCGAACGCTCTTACCACTAGGCTATCCCAATGAAGAGTCAGACGGACAGACTTAAGACTTAAGTGGTGTTAAAGCTGGGGTTATTCTATGGTCACTGGGTGAATAAAGAGTTTAGTGAGGCACCACATGCATGCATTCACGTCAATGAATAAGTTCAATAACCTTGAACGCTCCGCTTGGCCCTGTTTCACCCTACTTAACTGTGATTGATGTATGAAGATTGCCCAGATCAAGATAACCAATCTTCAACTATCGCTGCTACAGAAGCTGCTTGGAAAGTTCCGGATGTGGGCTCGCGTGGTCCAAGCCTTCTGTAACCTGTTCAGAAGATGCAGTCTCCTAGAGAGGTGGGTACATTCCAAATCATTTTGACACTTCGTCTGTTTGCTTCGTCTGAACAATTCCCTTATGATGGGACTAATAAGACATCTGGTATATAAGAAGTATACTGAATGCACCCTTCTCCTGCAGCAGTGACAGTCCCTACTATGCCCAGCTGGACACCATCGAGAAGACCTCACTGGGCATTGACAAGAATCACTACATTTTCTTTGACCCCGCTGACTATAAGGCCAATACTCAGGTTGGTATATCAATTCTTCTCTTTGCATGATCTCGCATCGGTTCCCCATCTCCGGCACCAGCGACTACACCGCAACGCGACAGCCTGTGTTAAAGGATGATGGACGAACATGGTATATACGAACGATGGTTTGTATGTGGAATAACATTCCATTTTAACACTTGAGACCATATAACCGTGTACATAGGGCCACCTACCAATACAAGGCCTGACTATGGCACTGTAATTAACGTTGTTTTGTCAGATGCGCATGTCCAGGGATGGTCAGAGGATCTTGTCCAAGCCTCCAGACGACAGGACAGAGGAGGAGATACACCATGTAGGTATACTTCAAGTCAAGACTAGATATCCTTACATGGATGTTTCAGCGTGTTATTGGGGGGAGGGGTGTGGTGGAGGAGGGATGCTGTCAGATAAAACTGTTCACGAGTTACATTGAGGACCTGGAACGATTCCCCTCAAGGGTACAATTTGAAAAGATAATTTTTGGTGTTCATCTTTACACATGTTGATGGAATATTGATATAGGCGGTGTAAATCACTACTTACTGCAATAATCTTTTTGTTTGTTTCTTAACGTCACACTCAATGTTTCCAAGCATGTAAACAACAAAGTCTGGACCCGACAATCCAGTGATCATATATTGTGTACAAGCATTATTACGCCGGCTGTCCAGAGATCAATATTGTGACGCCTCGTAAACATCCGTCTGGGGGTAACATGTAGCTCTGGAAGAATATATATGGTGTCATGTCAGTTAGCATGAGCTGCACGGTTACACCTGCTCTGTGCATCCCGTCATCACATAGCAAGGGTGTGTTTCATCCCGTCTGTTATATGGCTCTCTGTCTACAAGCCTGCTGTATAACACATATACCACCCTACGTAGTAGACTCCTCAATCTTCAGGTGATGATAGCACTGCGGGGAATCAGAGCAATAGAAGACCTGCCAATCAGGATGCAGAAACACCTTGCTAGATACAGTACTTTCCAATCGTGAGTTAAATTGTTTTGGACGTTTTACGTCATAGTTTCATAACATATGTTTCATGTCATTTGCAAGACCGTTAGCAGCTTTTTAGAAGTTTACCTATTCTGGGGTTGTACAGGTGATTATTGATTATTATTGATTTGGACACACATTCAAACAAAGTGACCAACTCATAACTTACAGACAAAAATGGAACTTCCGTTGCAAGCATTATTTAACCATTGTGCGTGCAGTGACATAAGGCATAAATTGTGAGAAATTTCATTTTAGACAATTATATTCCATTAATGAGTTCATGTTTGATGCAGTATATTCCTTGTAGATTTGGATCCAAACGGATGATTGTCAAGCAGCATCGACAACCCGAATTCTTCTACTTCCTGCTCCTTGGCACAGGTATAGGGCATGCGTGCATCACACACACGGGTTCTCAAACACAGGTATAGGGCATGTGTGCATCACACACACGGGTTCTCAAACACAGGTATAGGGCATGTGTGCATCATACACACGGGTTCTCAAACACAGGTATAGGGCTTGTGTGCATCACACACACGGGTTCTCAAACACAGGTATAGGGCATGTGTGCATCACACACACGGGTTCTCAAACACCTCATGCATGCACCCGCAGCCAGGTTCTCACACACAGGCATAAAAATGCAGTCGCACCGACATGCACATATATTAACACACAAACATACGATTTCACAAACACTTGGTGTCATCTCTTTAACTTTGCATTTGTATATGTAGGGTCGTTGCTTTGTCTCGCTTGTATGTTTTGGCCTTTTAATGAGATTCAATAATGACCACACCAAAATCGTTTATAACACAATTGTTTTGTGTTTGCCCTTCCCAGTGATGGTAGCCGTGCTGCAGGAGAGTGGATACGCCAAGACGGCAGTGGAACTCACTAGAGGACACAGCTTCGGGGTAGGGGCTCAGACATCAGACATGTCATATCATTCGTGTCAAACAGATTATCTTTAAATGAGCTCAATTCCAGTTCTGACCCTGCGTTTAACACTTCGGAACAAATATAAATGTACAACATCGGTCTTCAATTAAGAAGGGTTCCGATTTCTATGATAATAACTCTTTAGCCCTCCTTCTTTGCCTAAACAATGCATTAAGGTGTGGGAGTTTCGAACAGCGATAGCCAAGTTCGTTTCGGGGAACGAGGTTAGGATGACTTCAATGAAAATGCTTTTTATTAAAATAGTGATATAAATGGTTTGAAATATTCGTTGTCCGTTGTCACGTGTTACGTATGCTTGTGTGTCAGGAACTGGCTATCATGAGTGGCACCACCAGACAATCTTCTATCATCACCAAGACTCACGTGGAGCTCCTTGCGGTCACGGAGGAGGTATGTATTGGGTGGTGTAAGCATCTGTTTGTATTATACAGTTTGTAGCTCGTGTCACGGGAAGTCAGGTTCAAGGATCATTTTATTGTTGCTGACGCAGTTTCACATAGATCTATCTAGCAAATAATTAGTATCCATATTACATTCGTTTAATGTATGCCTTTGTTCTAGTATACTCGCATGTATATTGATTCTACTGTACTTTCTAGTGCGTGTTTTTCAATTGTGTCTTCAGTTGTGTATCTATGTGTACGATCATATTCCGATAACAGAACTACAGACGTATCTTCATGGTGGGAGGCATACGAAACCTTCACGACCCTGACCAGTTGCAGTTCCTGGGGTAAGTGTGATCCCCTGTATCTTCCTATTGGGCGATCGTTGTGCGTCAGACGGTGTAACTCCGGAATATATATAATCCCGTATTTGGAATAACTACTGAACGTGTCACGTCTGCTTATATCCCGATAACACTGAATCACTATCTGCAGCAACAGAAACGTCAGTAGAGACATGAATGTTGGTAAGACTTCCGCCCGTATCCCCGCTAAATTTTAACGATGAGGAAAAAGATATGTATATATTTGTATGATTTGACTAGAAAGGGGGACAAGGACGGAAATCTTTCCTGAATGTTAAGTGTCGTTGAAACATCCACACTTGTATGACAGTAACTTATTTTCAGAAATCTGGCGTTCCTCCAGGACTGGCCATTAGAGCTGCTGACACAGGCAGATGCTAAGCTCGTAACCTTCTGTTACTTCCGGTAATCACCTGTTCCACCAAGAGTAACGTGTACCCCAGGCTGCCTCTGCAGTGCTATCCGTGCAATATGCATCGTAATGTAAACAGATTCCAAAAGAAAAACATATATTTGGCGCTTGTTTGTTTGCTGCTTTCACTTTGGAACCATAATCATGATATTCCTGCACTGAAATGAATGCAATTATCATTACCAACATCGAGATCACCTGTAAACAGATAGTGCAAGCTCAATGTCATGAAATATATATCTCGTGCCGAAGTACACATGAGGGCCGTAAGTAATCTTCACCAAGTGTCACTCCATCAATCTGAAATCTCGTATAATCCCACAATTTCACGCTTCCACCGAAATCAGACATGTGAACGTTTGTTTTGGTGCTACAGGTGCAAGACCGTCATGGTGAAGGACAGCAACGTCTCCGACTGGATAATTGTTGTGAAGTCGGTGAGTAAGCATTCGTGTATTACTAAGCTTACTGGCTTCATTTTATGATAAGCCCAGGTGAATTTTAAAACGACATAGTTGCAGCTGAAAAGTGTGTGTGTGAGCAAGCAAATACAGATATCATTACGTCCTCATAATTTAATCATAGACATCTTCAGCTTTTGCTATTATCAACACTTTCTGCTTATTTCTGATTTGTAACTGGTATAGTAACATGTTTGTGGGTAAAATCGTTTGACGCAGACAATGAAGATCACATAAAACATAACTGTAATTCGTCATTACCGTTAATCATTTTAGTTTGGACATAGTTAGTGTGTCTGTAGCATCTTTGTGGAAGGAAGGCAATGTTTCCGTTCAAATACTCCATGTTAAAGCACAGCGAACACTCTGCCACAAGAGCATGTCCAAGTTGAGGTAATCTTAGCGTCTAGTGATTCACTGTGTATTGTTGATGCAGGGTTCAGTGACTGTGTTGAAGAAACTTGTCAAAGCTCGACCAACCCTGAACAAGAAAACAGGACGGTATCACCAAGTCGCCCACACTAGTGGCTACCTGGCCTTTCAAAGCAACGCCATCGCATACTCCCGTTACCTCGCTTACAACAACAGAACATTGCCATCACCTCTTTCTCTGTCGCTCAACTCAAGTTTTACCTCGGACACTGACGTCACACAATCCAGTGACGTCACTGATGATGTCGACAGATTTCTGCGTCGTGTGACACGAGTCAATCGTCCAATGACATGTTCCCCTCAAAGGAAGCTGGGGGTAGCTGGCGGTCCCCGGATGTCCAAGTCCGCTGTCTATCGGGTACACAAGAGGAAGGTGAGATATGAAGGGGTGTTGAAGTTATTTAGCGGCTTGGATGTAGTTTTTACCTCTTTGGCAATCTTCCAGCAATATATGAAGGACTCTAGAAATAGCCTTCACACATTGTATCTGTGTGGGAAATAGAACAAGGGATTTCGACCTTTTAACCCATCGCCTTCAGTGCAAGAGTTGTATCATGGCGCATGAGCTTAATGTGTTAGTAACACCGAAAATGAACGCCAGAGTTACGTGCCTTGGGTGTGCCGGATCCTATGATGTTCTGTGTGCATCCAAGGTTCGCCCTGGTTATGATTCAAGGTTTGCCTAGGAATTCGCCAAGGTGAGAAACGTGCAATGACCTGCATCATGTCGGGCTTTACTGACATGCCATGCAGACACGCCGTTATATAACTGAATGGACTCAAACCAAGTCCCGGGAATGACATCCTCTGTTTATTTTTTTCAGCCAAGCAGTACCGAGATGACTTCAAACGCATCAACACCGACATCAACCACCACAACAGGTTCGTGGTGATGGAGTCACTAATGTCAAACAATACCTGGACGAATTCCTACTTACGTTTCAGTTCATAATCATTCTAAATTTATAAGCTCCCTTAAACGACAATGAATGTCATTTCTTACGTGAAATCTTACCTAATAATTCATTCTGCAGCCAGAACGTAAAAAGGGAATTAGTGCTACTTTGTGATTTACAAATTAACGCGGTTTAAACCACACATGATATTGTACAGCCTCCAATTGTGAAATAACCTGACACTATCAATGAATAATCAATATATCACATAGCATAATACAGTTGTACGTTTACAAGAAAAAAGAAACAATACAGTCGGTCAAATACGATTCAACAGCAGCAAGTAACAGGTTCTATATCTTTACATGCATTCAGGAAGATTCTGAGTGAATCTGTTCTTGTCTCAAGGATAGTGTCGGCAGCTGTATCCAATGCTTTTCTATTTTTGTGTTGTTGTTTTTGTAATTAGGACGATCTGTGAATAATCAATTCTATACCAGTCAGTCCAGCTTGTCATCAACAGTCCAACAGCATGAACATCGATCTACACAATTGGGATTCGATGACATGTGTCAACCAAGGCAGCGACCCTGACCACCCGATCCCTTTAGTCGGCTTTACGACAAGCATGGACTTGGAAAACGAATTCTAAATCGGAACTTTACAGGTCACAATGTCATGTCATCAAAGATCCACATGTGCTCTTATGTTGGTACAATCAGCCATTTGGAAACAGTCACTTGTACTTCCAGTGACAGAACATTCTCCTACGCTGTAGCGTCTGTGGGTAAAAATCTGCCATGTGTCACAATATTTCAATTACAACGTCTCGACCACTGTCTAGGAATGGACACTATGGATTTTTATACACCATTCCAGGTATATTGCGGAGGTCATTTCATGAGAACATACGTGCTATCGGAGCACAGTGATACGCATCCAAGATCCCCAGACTTATATTTTGACACGTACGTCACGAATAACTCCAATCTATTCTGCCCTAAACGCCAAACGGTTAAAGTCAGGATAGCAGTTGACAATGCAACGATAGTACAAGCAGATACTACACACAATACGTCGGAACACGACGTCATTTTACCTCCCCTCCTGCACCTCATTTGTTGGCCTTTATCACCTGCTCTGCTGAAATATTGGGGTAGAACAAAAGATGACAACATATTGGCACTGGAGTCCCGTAATTTGTTCTTGACCGTGTGCGAACTTCATCAGTGGCCTTTGGTGTCGTTAAATCATCTGAAGGACACGAAACAAGAGGTGATCAATCAGAAAGACTTCAAAGGGGAGTTTTCCAATACCATCTGCCCAAGGAAAAAGCACTTCTTCCCGTGTGTCCACTAGTCTATATCAAAGTCTGGTTTTATGAAAAACGGACTTTGATATAGGCTAATGGACACTTCTGCTCGAGAACATAAGTTAACCATTGTGTGGTCACGTGACAGCGCACACCCGGAGCGAGCAACCATTAAATGGGTGTAATCAAGAGACTGTCGTCGACATATGCAATTTTATCTGCACAGGAACTGCATGTCGTAATGACGACAAAACCCTCCACGACCATTGATTACCTAGAGCACTCGCATGGCTGTCAGACTCGCAGGTGCCTCACCATGACGTCGAGCGAAGGCAGCGACCCAAGAACAGGCGGGGTGGGGTGTGTGTGTTACGTAACACGAGAGTATTACATTGCGTACCTGTGGCTGTGTGCAGCCATTAGAGGGCATGTGCTAAGTGTCGTCTCGCCACAAACCAGGGAGACTATATAACGTTGTAGATAGTTATAATATTTGTAGATTATCCCTGCACAAACGGAGGAAGAGAAACAAGGGAGATACAGTTACAGTGACGGATAGATATAGCAACATACACAATGTATTTAGAAGTTTTAGCAGTTTAGATCATATACTCATAATTAAAAGTAACTGATCATGTTCCCCATTTCCATTTTTTTATTTCATATATTCACACGACTTTTCTCAGATTTATAGTGATTTAGTGCTCAGATATCAAGTTTCTCAATATTTTGTTGTAAATAAGTACAACAAGTTAAATGAGACTCAAATCCTGCACATATAGGTCTTGATGAAATGACTCTATATTTCCAAAGGAATACAGCTCATCGATGGTTGAGAAATGTTGACATGCGAGTATATTTTTGGCCCGTGTGGTCATTTTGACGTCAGCACGTGTAAAAACAGGTTGACATTGCTCTGTATACTGATCGATGAATTAGTAAAACGCTGAAGTCATCATCATCACCATTGATAACTCTCTCAACAAGAAGTTCATATGACCACAGCCACATTTATTTTCCTCTGTATATATCTCAATTATATATTTAAAACCTATTCAAAGTTAAATTGTCCATGGCAACAGAGAGATATGTTAATATTGCGCCCTTCTATAATTTGTTCTCGGTTGTCCAGATGACAGCGGCGTGCCTGGCGCCCACGATGACGGCAACGCCCAGGTCGACAGTCAGAGAGGAAGGATCCGAACCTTCCTGGACGACCTCGATGCTGGAAACTCCTCAAAGGTGAGGCATAGAAGATCAGTCTTAAGTTTAGTCAAACGAATATTCTAGGGGGCAAAATTTGCATGTTTTTGTTTAGTTAGTTATTAATTTATGTTTATTTATTTATGTAATTATCATTATTTGTTTTTCCTCCATTCTCCTTTCTTTCTTTCTTTATCTATTTTATTTATTTCAATGGGGGCATAATAAAAAGCACGTTTGATCTACTTGTAATTCAGTTCTTTGTGGACAAGTATAGTTGATCACCTAACAGTGATGTAACAGATTTATGTGCACACAGATATCCTCACAACCCACGTCTTCATCTCAGCTGTCTTTGTGCTGCCAGTGATCTGTGATACCTACAGATGGAATGTTTCCACAATACATAACACGTCACCATAGTCTGTTGCCCTCTGGGTTCATATACAGGTGCACGGCAACTAAGTTTGTCCAGGGGGCGTCTTACTGGATCGGGCTTAAACTAGTAACCTGTCCTACCATTCGTGCTCATAATATTATTCACGAATTTGTCTGTACCCGAATCACCAAATGCTAGATTATTTCTGACTTAGATTTCACACAAACCAGGAGAGTAAAACTTTATATTGCGTCCACACACTGATTCATCAAACTCATTCCAGTTTCTGCTCTTAACCCTTCTGAAATGGACCACAGTTACTTCAGGTAAAGTGAAGGTGTAAATATTTCAGACATCAGCAGTAACAGAAGCGGATGAGAACCCGGAGTTTGTCCTGGTCCAGACTCTCACCAGGGGGCAGGTGTTTGTGAGTATTTTATTAAACCCCTTCCATAAGGGCTGAATATTGCGGGAACTTACATTTCCAAACACTAAGTGTTATGGACAACTGTTGTTTTACGTAAGTCACGCGGCTCAAGCAGATGAATGGGTATGTCTTGTACCCATATGGGAAATCGAACCCAGGACCTTCATCGGGATGAGAGAAGGCTTGAGCCACCAGGCTACTCGATCGCACCTTTATGTGAGTGAGGGAGCCATGCACATCACACATTATACAGGGGCGGTGGGGTAGCCTAGTGGTTAAGGCGTTCGCTCCTCATGCCAAAGACACGGGTTTGATTCCCCACATGGGTACAATGTCTGAAGCCCATTTCTGGTTTCCCCCGCCGTGATATTGCTGGAATATTGCAAAAAAACGGCGTAACACTAAACTCAGTCACTCACTCACACATTATATCCTTGTATCGAAATAGGACCATCGGCGTGACGAGCCAACGCTTTGACCACTAGGCTAAACACCTGCTTCTGCCTTGGCTGTCGGTCATCTCCCTCCTTCTTGTTGTCATGGGAACTCTATATACAGCAATGTATAGGTAATTTGTTCCCTCGCGACAATTCGGTGTTTCTTAGTTACAAACAGTCCATATCATCGCGTTTTACTATTGCACACAGGGCCTGGAGCAGGTTGTCCTTGGTGACCAACCGAGTCTCAGTCTGGTGAGCAACGGCGTCGAGTGTCTGATGATCAACAAGCGCTTCTACCTTGACCACTGTCCACCAGCGTTGCTCAGGCGACTCAAGACCCAGGTAGGTCAGCTCTCAGTGAAACACAGAACTGAACTGTTCCCCAAAACGATTTTAGCTGTACGACCATAGCACATGTTTAGGTCACTGTGAAAGAGCAAGGAAACCTACCCTGAGCACTCTTTGTAAAGCATGTCCCGAATCGACAAATGACATAAAAAGTAAAGCGTCAACACTGTTGTTGCTAGAGTGAGTGAGTTATTATTAATTTTTTTTATTTCCACTTTTTGGTTACATTTCCATCCATTTTATAACAACAATACATACACGTACATATATATGTGCATATAGATGTACACAGGATTGTGGCTCGTTTAAATGTCATATCTAAGACATTACACTGGCTTGTTGAAAAGTATATGTAGAATCGACCAAAGGTGTCATCGATGTACACGGGCTTGTGGTTCACTTAAATGTCATATCTAAGACATTACACAGGATTGCTGAAAAGCATATGTAGAGACGACCAAAGGCGTCATAGATGTTCACAGGATTGTGATTCATAGTTGTGATTAACATCCAAAATGGGAAAGCAAAGTGACGCATGAACACTGTTATATGTTTCCGTCCTGATTGCGTATTTTCCGGCCAAACGGGGTTTTGCTGTATACAAATATGTTGGGTGCCCCAAGGTGAGCTTCTGTACCCACTATTTGACACACGTCTGTTTGTATGCAGGTGTCTCCTTACCCAAGTGACGAGAGGCTTCAGGGCGACCTGGTAGTGCGCGCGGACTGGGAGGTGTACAAGCAATGTGTAACGGCAGAAGTGTTGGCCAACAGACCCTATTCCATCCATCAACCCCAAGAACGTTCGTCCAGCTTCATCTGACGAGTAGCTATCCCGGTGATGACCGCTACTCGTGTTTAGGGCTTCTGCGTCAAAAGACCTTATTCCCTTTATATCCCGAGGATAGCATCGCACATGTTTTCATCGTGCTAGTTTCATCTAATGGGTAGTTAAAGGGTCGTCTTCGGCCACCTCTCCAACAGGTCCTGTTCCTTAGGTATCCATCGTTCTGTGTCTTCAGAAGGATACTTATCATCTTGATTAAGCTCGTGTTTGTTTTTACACTGACCCCTCACACTGGCCACATCGACATGACGATACAGAGCTGCGCAGTTGGTGGAACATGATTGTGATACACTGTAGACAATCCACGTTTTACATTGTCAAATCTCCTTCATTGAAACAAAAAGTCCATGTTAGAGTCGCAACAACTAGGATAGAATGTTAAAGGGCATGTATATTTTACATGTCAGATCGTGAAAGGATAGAATAACCAACTATGACTGAATGTTGTTTTACATCCCCGTCACTATTTTCCTGTAAATAACAGAATCTGGACCAGGCAATCCAGTGACTGAAAGTGTGAACAAGGATCTACGTCATCGGTGTATGATAACACATAACACATAACCCCATCCTTTGATGGATCTCTCGGTACACGTGGGTACAGTATAGACTGACGCCAAGTTCCAATCACTGTCTGTGGATATGGGTTACACGTCGCTAGGATCCAAAACTGGTGAAACTGTAATGGAGCGCGGGGAAACAGAACGGCTAAAATGAGACCGAGAGATATGCTTCGATTGGGTTTACCTTCGAACCAGTGTTATTCGATTCAGCCACTTTGGCCAACTAATGTATCATTGTGGTATACGCTATGTAGTACATTCTCTTCACAGTAGGATATCCATCAAAGTGAGTGAATATAGCTCAGCGCGATATCATCACTATTGTAGATGTTGCCAGCTGCCGATGGTAGTGGTGTCGTGAACGTGCCAGATTCCTGGGTGTACTGATGGTGTGTACGATATGAATATCTGACCCCCGCCGATGCCATTGACCACCTCTGTATAGTTCACATTCTGCTGCGCCTTAAAATGTATGTGCTCTACAATTTCAGTGCTTATACAGAAATATCCAAACCAAAGTTGTTCCGATTGTTTCTGAGTAGATGTATCCCAATGTCACAATACTTTTCCAGCTGGATGGTCAGAGACCAGTTGTCATTTTCTGATGCCATAAACATCATGTGTTGGCGAATTTCCGGGTGTTATTGAGTATTTGAAGCACTTTCATTTTAACTCCTGGCAGAGAATTTCGTGTACCATTTGATCATCGCGATTAAAGATACAGCTTTTGAAATTCCAATCCCTTCAATGCCTTCTTAATTAAAGATAATCTTGTGCAACATATCAACTTCCATGCATCAGCTGCTTCATTGAAACAGCATCGACAGTGAAGGAGTTGCAATAGTTTAACGTGCCCAACATAACTGCTCCTCTATAGCCATGTGCCAGTACGTGTCTGCCTTCCTACTAGGCCAAATACTTCTCTACAGTGCTTTTCAACTGATATACCATATCATCAGCATATATACAAATACACAATGCCCAGTACAGATGTGGATGGCAGATTGAGTTAAATCGGTGGCTTTGAGAGTGTGGGTTCGAACCCCGGATAGAATTAAACCGCGGAAAGGACCAGAATCTGCACTTTACTGAGAAAGTGTAACCCAAAATGTAACACATGTATACCCTAAATTTAGTCAGACACGTATACTGACCTTTAGTCGACAAGTCTTTGTTTAATCCGAGCGCCAGACAGGGTAATAAGTACCAAGTTTAAGCGTCTTTACGTTTGACGCGGGTGGGATTGAACCACTCACCTTTTCAAACCCTATATCCACTAGACAACTGAGGCGGTCTATAGCAGCAGCAGTAGTGGTTGTAGCTGCAGCCTGTGTAGACATGGTCATAGCCAGTCAGTAAAGGCATTAGCAGCAGTAATGATATATTGCAGCTCCACCTGTAGTATCACCAAGCAGTTTGGTATACAGCAGATATATCTGGCCAAATACGGCAGGACTGCATCCAGTCGGCGGTGGTAACACATCTCAATGTTTGTGTGAATAGTTGAATACCTTATTAACTCCTTTCATCAACCTCTCAAGATCTGGGTAACAATTGGTCTTCAGCAATCCATGCTCGTCTTCAGAGGCGAATAACGGAATTGCTGACTTGGTTGACGCATGTAATCGTATCCCAATTGCATAGATCTATGCTCATGCTGTTGATCACAGGATTGTGTGGTCCATACATCAGGGATGGCAACAGGAGAATCTATTTTCAGCTGAAAACGTAATATTGTGTCATCGAGTTGAAGGTTTCTCAATGGATTTAGACGATTCACAATTGAACATTTTGACAGAAAATCAGCGGAAAATTGCCATCCCTGATACTTAATTATTTCTAGACTGCTGCCAAGCTGTTGAGGGCAGCGTTAAACAAACAAAACAAAACTAACCAAATCTTACCTTATATGGATTTGGTTGTGTTGAGTGTTAGCAGCTGCTCTTATTGTAGCAACTCTCCTTCCACTTGCAACATACAAGACAAACCCTGATTTTGTAGCAATTGATAGTTTTATTTATTTTGGTTGCTATACACTATGAATAAAACAAAATTAAAAGGAGGAAATACACAAGCGTACATCTTATCCCATGTTCCGCTAAAAGTTTTACAAATGCTAAAAGTTGTGTAAAGACGCCTGTGGAGATGAAGTGCCCAGTAGGAGGAGGTCACACTGACTAGCACTGTCCCACGGGTGTCAAAAGTCAAAGATGGAGCATTTGAAAAGACAAGGGTTTTGTATGTATATATATATAAACCAGAAAATGTCGCTTATCTAAAACAATTGTTTCAATATGTACAATTAAATCCTTCAGGATAAAATTATTTTACAACTCTACGTTCCCATAAGTTTAGTGAGATCTTATTTGTATTTTGTGATGAACACCTTTCCATGAGAAACATTCAAATAGACACATAAATGACATTTATCGGAACAAAAGACCCTTTGTTATCAATGACCTTGATTAAAAACACATTTCCATTCTATATATAAAGACTTTTCGAACAAGTCCCCACACCATAAGTAATCAGCATAAAAAGATATCATTATGCCTTTTGGAAAAATAACAAGATGAATAACTTCTATCCTCAAAGGAAGTCTGCAGTACATTAAAGAAATAGGTAGCAGCAACAAATTATCTTCTCATGAAAAAATATATATTTATATGACAAGCAAATAACAACAAAATTGGAACTGAATTCTTCCAAATTTTTACCCATTTCAAATCATGAGTTGCCCTCCACATAATACAAGTATAAGGAAATGGTTTCATCAATCAGTCCATGACAAGAATTCCATCTCCTATTTTGGCCAAACCAAGAATATGTGCCTTAACTAGCTCAGCCATTTAAAAATATCTCAGCTTGGTGAGAATGTTGTGTATGTTTCACTGTTTCTTCTTTGAAAGTTGCAGTATCTCAGCAACAACTTGATTCCATATCTAGACTATGACAGTTTATCAGTAATGAAGTACTACAAACGAAGGCCTGTGAAATAGAGAGATCCATATAAGGTATAGTTGGATGACTGGAAACTATAGTAGTGATTGGTCAACATTGGCATAGATGGGAAAATTGCACCATTTACCAACAAAAATTCTTCTAGACGCTGACTTAATCTGACTATTCCCAAAGTGAATAATACACTGCACCATATCTGCATTGATTCAGAGGCAGTAGTCACAACATAAAGTAATTTTCACATCAAATTACTTAAATAGCATATAACTGTCACCATTATGTGAACAATGATCTTGTAGAAACATGCACAAACCAATCAAACCAAATCTTCCAGAATAAAACCAAACTGATATAATATGAACACATTGTTAACCTGATCCTACACCAGCAGACATAACTAGATATTCCATTATTCAAACAAGATCTGTCTTTATGGCTCACATCATAATCAGAAACAATTTTATTGGTTTTCACTGAATCAGCTGAACACAGTATTACCCTAACTATGACAAAAGGTGATTTCGAGAACGGAACATATTCCACTGGATTTCACAACTCTAATAGTCAAGCTCAAATTAAGAAGGATGAGTATTATTTGAATAAATAATCAACATGATGCTGATCCGGGTACTTGTGGTAACCATGGTGACAGTTAAAGGATAAATAGTCAGCAACATCTGTTCGTTAATATTAAAGAAAATGGTCAAGGCAAGTAGATACGAAAATATATTCCCTGGTCTGCTTTATTATTACTCCTCCCTGCATAACAAGTCTACTTATGATTTAAGACTACGTTATCAAACATCACAGACGTAGCGACTATGTCACAGGTGAGCTTCACAGCTGCAAACAACAACACAAGGCAGGTAAAAACAATCAGTGCAAGCATCAAGCCATAGGAGGGACGCCCAGATGCGACTCCGGCAGCTATATCGACATGTTGCTATTGTACAATACAAATACTGCTGAAGGTTCACACAGATACATGCATTTGCTGTGGAGGATTTGATGTACAACCCACGTATAATGAGGAAATAATGACATGCTGAAGCTATCTAGGGAAATATGGAACAATATTTCCACAAGTCCTATGAAATTATGACATGTCTCAAGCTAATTAATCAATGAATGTTTTTTACGAGATAACAACCTCAAGCATGAGATAACAACCTAATATCCATCAGGAATATCGGAGTAACTGGCTTCTAGAAATATCATGAAATAAACTAGTTATCGTAACATGGCATGTAAGACTATGGTTTTGCTGAAAAGAATTCACAGACATTTCTGAAAATCTAAACTCTGCACAAACTAAAAGAAGTAATTAGTCATTGATTACTTACTGTATAAGTACAATTACAGTACAGATATTGTTACAGGTGATGTGTTTTGACAAAAGTCCAGATATATTTCACTTGATTGTACTAATGGGCTTTGCCCCAAAGACCCCATTCCCCCACGCCGTAACGGTTGGCCTCTCTGGATTTTAAAACTGGTTGTAAAAGAATGAGTATCAATGCATATGACATACAATTCTTGTATAGGATACACACACTATCACAGTGAATAGTCTGTTTTGTCACTCATACTGATCCATACCAGTGAGCAGAGGCGATGTACGTATGTACAATACAGTCACGACATCTGCATGGTCTTTTGCTTTGCAGCTCAATAAATACATATATATATATATATATATACATAACCATTTAGGTGAGCATGGTTGACAGTATGTGATAGTTATGGCAATGTTGCAAACAACGGTTTCACAAGTTTCATGGGGAATTGAACCTACATCTGTAGCATGGGGGGAAAAAAAATTGTTACTGGATAAACAAAATACATTAGTAAATAAAGTCTTCACTCAAAACAAACAACAACTAGTAACAAGTACTCATAAATGCTTCTACACAAATGTATCCTAACAAACTTGTATATGCAACATGTCATATTTATGTTACCTGACTAAATTTGTTTCTTTTTTTCAGGAGTCTGGTTTTCTCACTATTTTGTGTTGCTGAAAATGTTTTATCTTTAATCTTAAGAAAACATGAAAATAACATACTAACTCTGACCACCGGTCATAATGCCCTTAGTAATGCAGCCAGTTTTAAGCATTAACACTAGCCCACTCATGCAACATCGATGATCATATACATCCAGAATGGCAATTAGACATATAATATCCCTGACAAAAAATATATATAAATTGACTTGCCATGTTACATATTTTTAACATTTGTAACATTCTGTATATTTTCTCAGAACAACCCTGTAACATATTCTGTAGCAAACCCTGTATCAGTGTCTGTAACCCTTTTGAAGGTGAGAAATAAGTTGGTGGTGACCTTGACCTACACACATGACGAGGCTGTTCAGGATGATATGAAATGTAAGGCAGCACCTGGCGAGGAAATATTCACTAAGAGCAAGACTTCGCTTGGCGCTACAATATTGCCTCCCATTGACATTGAAGCCATCTAGGCTATACGTTTCAAAATTACATTATCCGCTGAGTATAGATGTTCCATTGAGTGTCACTCCTACGGCCATAACAACGCTACCATCACAATGCACCATGTGTGATTAACAAAACACAAAAGCTAGAGAACAGTGTCATCAAACACCATTGACACTGACAGACCGCTTGTCCCGATGCTTCTGACGAAGCTTTGTCCGAGCCTTGAATGCAGCTGCATTGTACATGTTCTGAAAACACAAGGTACAAGATTTTAACTACTTTCGTCTGTCAATGTGTGTATGCTTTCATCTTGATCTTGAGTGAGTGAGTTTTTAGCAATATTGCAGCAAGATCACGGCAGGGGACACCAGAAATGGACTTCACACATAGTACCCATGTGGGGAATCGAACCGGGTCCGAGGATGCCAACAGCCTACCTGAGTCAGGTAACAAGAGTCTTGTGTTGATTTAAGGGTGTGATCACCCTTGTAAAGAAGTTGAGACTCTGCAGACAAGATTTGTTCAAGCTATTTAGTAGTAGTTCTCTACCATCACTTCAAGAAGGGACAGAGCCTCATGAGTTAATTTCACCGATCCGAGTTTTGAGGGCGTTTGTCAGTAACTGATTAATCTAATTTGTTAGTGAGTGAGTGACTTTTAGCAATATTCCAGAAACATCAAGGTGGGGGACACCAGAAATGGGCTTCACACACTGTACCCATGTGGGGAATCGAACCTGGGTCTTCGGTGTGACGAGCGAACGCTTTAACCACTAGGCTACCCCACCACCCATCTTGATCTAGTAGAAGTAATATGACAAAATTATGCAAGATGCTTATAGGACATTTATGCTAGTGCTAATATCTCACTAAATTGTGTTCATGGGCATAATGATACATGTTACTACATGTATTTACAAATATGTATAACCTATTGACTATGCTTACCCTTTCAAACTTGGTCAGTTTTTGAGAATACATGGCAGGTGCTCCCAGACTAAAGATCTCTCTGATTAATGGTTTTTTAGAATACATGGCAATGGATTAATGTATTCTCTGTAAAGAATAATGCACCTTTAGAATACATGGCAGGTGCTCCCAGACTAAAGATCTCTCTGATTAATGTATTCTCCTGTAAAGAATAATACACCTTTAGAATACATGGCAGGTGCTCCCAGACTAAAGATCTCTCTGATTAATGTATTCTCCTGTAAAGAATAATGCACCTTTTTAATGTATTCTCCAGTAAAGAATAATACATGGCAGGTGCTCCCAGACTAAAGATCTCTCTGATTAATGTATTCTCCTGTAAAGAATAAAGAATACATCAGGTGCTCTAAAGATCTCTCTGATTAATGTATTCTCCTGTAAAGAATAATACACCTGATCCTGTGATTAGACTAAAGATCTCTGCTCCCAGACTGATTAATGTATTCTCCTGTAAAGAATAATACACCTTTAGAATACATGGTATTCTCCTGTAGGGCAGGTGCTCCCAGACTAAAGATCTCTCTGATTAATGTATTCTCCTGTAAATAATGCAATAGAATACACCTTTCTCTCTGATTAATGTATTCTCCTGTAAAGAATAATACATGGCAGGTGCTCCCTCCTGTAGACTTAAATACATGGCAGGTGCTCCCAGACTAATAGTGTATTCAACAAGATCAAGTCCACAAAGGGACAACATAATTGTTTTGTTACATCAATTGATAATTATGTTGTGGTACTTCAACAAGGGCTCGAGTCAAGTTAGGGTTGTTTCCCTCTCTTTTGTGGGTGTTCATTAATGTTACCGCTGAGTTATCTCCCTTTGTACATCGTAAAGCAAAAAGCGTTGCTACCTCTTCCAATATGCAAGGTCTAATCAACGTTTTTCCGTATGCATTAATGGCTCCACCATGATGTAAGTAATCAAATAATGTTTATAACATCATCATTAACGCATTGAAGTATATTTTCTCAATATACCATAGCATTAGGTATGTAATTTATCTACTCTAAATATTGTAAGGCTCAGCTACGGTAGTCACAAGATGGCGAATTGTCGTCTGCTCATCTCACTGTTCATGTATTCAAGGTATTTCAGCTAATATAACGATTCATGTTATCTAGCATTGTTTAAAGCATTCATAAATGCATTGTATTAAGGTATTAGAACTTACCAAGGTTATTTCTCTTTATTATTTCAGTTTTTTAACACATACACTCTACAACAATTCCTGGTACATAACAAACTTCATTGTAAATGAACTGTCAACAGTTATGGATTAAAACATTGGAAGCTTCAAGTTTTTTTTGAACTTTTGGAACTATTTCCAGAGTTTCCTGGTTATACTACCTGTCCTCAGACAGAACAATAAGTTTAGATAAATATGTACACCATCAGACAGTTGCAGTACTAGGCAGTTCTCACACACCTCAACAAGAGTGAGTGAGTTTAGTTTAACACCGGGTTTTGCAATTCCAGCAATATCATGGCTGGGGACACAAGAAATGGGCCTCACACATTGTACCCATGTGGGGATTCGAACCTGGGTCTTTAGAGTGACGAGCGAACGCTTTAACCACTAGGCCACCCCACCAACCCCCATCAACAAGAAGACTGACAGCGCGTGTTAGTGTTACCTGAAGGTGCTGGTAGATTCCTGACCCCAGGAGGTCACAGAAGGTGTCGTACTGCTTTTTCCTGACCCACGTGTCAAGATGTAGTCCTTCAACCCCAAACTTGATGGACACATCAGGGGCATCCCACTCCTGTAACATGGCAACAGATTCTCTTCACACCCATCATTCAGAACAAATATCAGCTTCAGTTCATTCTAGACAATGGCTGTTCATTGATTTGTCTCTTTGATTACGACACAAGAATTATCAACTAACGGTGGCAATTGAGTTGTGGTTTAAATCTCTAAGCCCAACATTATTAGCAAATAGACTGAACACTGCTTGTAACATCAGTATATTGTCCTTTGCTTAGATTTGCTAAACACATCCATAGCACTTTCTAAAAATTATCCATTCTAGTCCATAAAATTCTATGCCTTAAATTCCTTCCCAACTTTACAGTACTAAAGTAGGCGACTTTGGTGACAGGCGCTGCTGCAAAAACCGTTTACCTCAATAGTACGCAGGATGTCACGGAAACTGGATCGTTGCTGGCGGCGATCTTTCTTGGCACGAATTTATTTGAATCTGTAGCCAGCTGTTTTAATAACTCACACAATTCTTGCATTTTTGCTCCTTCAAAGTCCTGTTACAACAAATTAAAACAAGTGATGTATTGAGACCAGATTCTACCAATACACTGTAATAGCAATACCTCATCATGCCATCACACACTGGAATAATTACAACAAAACAACATCTCTTACCAAATATAGCAACTCCTCATTTATAGAAGTCAACATTACAATACTGGACCTAGATTTTCGAAGCTCTCTTTGAGCTAAGACAGTCATAAGCTAATGTTAATGTATGGCACTTACGACTATCTCAGTGCTAAGAGAGCTTCGAAAATCTAGGCCCTGGTGTTGAGTTTATGCATTATTATCCATTCTGAATGGCTTATGCCACAGTCAGCAATAAGGTCTGTAGTCAGTAGATAAATATCTTAACCTGGGCCACTGGTAGACTAAATAAACAAGTCCTCAACACTAGGATACAATGACATGTGATCAGCCAATCTCCAGCTAGATTACTCTTCAGAGGTATGGTTTGAATCTGACATACCTCGTCTTCCTCTCGACTCAGTTCATACATAAGAGCTATGGCCTCCCCTGCTGTGATTCGCAGGTCCACGTCCGAGCTCCGCAAGAGTCCTGTCATGCGATCAAGGTGACTGAAAAAAAGAAACGATCAATTTAACAATGATCTATTTGACTACCAAAAGCCAACAATGGCTGAGAATTGCAGTACTGCGACTACTATGAATAGGTTCATGTTTTAGCCAATAATAATACATCACAGTGGATGGAAACATGCGCTGGCATGTTAGTCCTGAGTCAGCTTGTAATTTTAACTGTATTGTGAGGCTCAGTACAGTTTCAGACATTAAAGGTGGTCTTCTATTTCCTATAACTATTCTTGCTAGTAATATTTGTGTTTAAGCTGCATCCCAGAGCATCTAATCCAAAGGAGCTCACACCAGACAAAGCAGAAATCACTGACTTTATTTGTTGTTGGCTTGTGTAGTGCTGCTGTCAGCAATGTTCCAGCCAAATGTCAGTGGTTGGTAAATATTCTGCATCTGCCCCAGAAGCCCCATATTTAACCCAGATTATCAGAGAGGCATAACATAGGTGTTCCACAACCAACAAATGACACAATAAAACTACGCCATTCCCGTCAGTCACACATTTCTCCCCTTCAGTAGCCACTGTGATGATCTGATACATACTTAGTTAGCTTTCATGGTAAGAATGTTTGGCATCCATCGTGTGCCTAGGAACTTGTATTAGTTCTGACTATGGTTGATACCCTGGTCTAACCACTGTTTTTTGTTTAATGCTGCACTCAGCAATATTCCAGCCATATGGCGACAATCTGTAAATAATCAAGTCTGGACCAGACATTCCAGTGATCAACATGTTCATCGATCTACGCAGATGGGATATGGTTATATGTGTCAGCCAAGTCAGCGAACCTGACCATCCGATCCCATTACTCGCCTCTTACACCAAGCATGGTTGCTGCAGACCAAGTCTAACCTGCATCTTCACGGGTATTCAACCACTGTGTATGAGGATGTACTTTAATGAACACAGCACTGTTATGATCACTCAAAAGTACCTTGAAACCATCTCTGCTACAAGGAAGGACGGTGCAATGGAGAGGAGAAGACACCACCCAGAGAGAGCCTTGGAATGCATCACGCACACCTCGGGAGAGTGAGAGGGTGAGGAGTTATCTCCCTTCACATATGATGCTTTAAAGATGTCCTCTAGAGCTGTCATCACATTACGAACATGCTGAAAACACAGGGCAATATTGTGGTTACAGCATACTTCACTAATACTGTAAAAGTCACGAGATTAGTTTGCTAATAACAGTAACAATGTCTCCTATGAGCAACAATACCACTATATGTTCATAAAACCACTTGTGATCGTGTAAGCCAAAAGTGTTAATAGTATTGCTATGCTATTTCAAAAGGATGAAGTTAGGTAGTTGAAGACCATATGTCTGTGAAACACTCACCTCAAGGTCCTCCCCTGCCAGGAAGTTGCATATCGCCAAGGCTTTGGCACACTACAACAGACAGACAGACTTTTACACAGGGCAATATAGATAATACACAGTCAACATATAACCAGAACACAGACACTCTTACACAGGGCAAGACGGACAATACTGAGACAACATATAACCAGAATATAGACAAATGGGTTTGAGGGTAGATATATTTAATGCTCAAATATTTAACAAATTTAAATTACAAAAATTTATAAAACACTTTAAACACTATATAAGTTTTTGTTCACAGTCTATTTATTCATGAAAACATTGCATTTAAGCATGTTGCCACTAGTGGTGTTCTGATTAATTGAAATAATCGAAGATTGGTCGCAGTGACCAAACGACCAAGCAATCGAAAACATTTTCTCATAATCGAACATAAACGATTTTGGAACTACTGTTTTAGTCTTTGAATACTTGACAATGGAACATATCTTAGAAGTTGTCAGGGCCTGGAAACATGTTTATTTCTTAGAAAACTCACTTCACTAACTGAAAAGTCATGACTGAATATTTCTCTAAGACTCCAGGAAGTTTATGTTCAGGATATATTAGTCATCACTTTAAAGTAACAAGTTGCGTCATGTTATACTTTTCTGCAGTAACAACCAGGATGGGAAAATCTGAAAAATGACGCTAACCAATTTTTTTCGATGATTGTTTGTTGGCAATGAAGCAATCATCGATTGTGAGATTTCAACCAATTCCCAACACTAGTTGCCACACATCTGCTTCACAAACAAATGTTATGATGGTCTTTCATTATTAGAAGAAAAAGAACATCTGCAGAAACTAGGCATACAAGTCTGAATCAAGTGTTTGAGTTAAGTTTGTTTTATGATCAAAATGTTCCACCCTTGGCAAGTAACACCTTCATAGCATGCCTTTATAAGATAAAATGATTTTTAAATTGCATAATGTTGGGATGTGTGCCACTGGCAACTTTCAGAACATATCATTGGAAACAGATCAGGTATGTAAAACAGAACATGTCGCTATGCAAAAGATAGATTCCCTAAATTACTTCACCCACCTTTCCCCTTGCTTTAACGGATGTTGACTTGTCAGCCATGATGGTGAGCATAAAGGGACGTAACTCTACAAACAATGCCTCTGCCTCTTCCCCAAGTTGTGTGATGAGGAGTGCTATACATGAGGCAGCCAGGGCCTGCTCGTCACCCTTGCCCTTTCGTAGACACTTGGTCAGACAGTCAGCAACAGTCTCCTTCCTGTGGAACAACATGGTTACTATCAAGTCATGGACAGCGAGCTGTGATAGGTCAGGAGAAATAGAAATATAAGTAAAGCCTGAATTGAGAAATTCTTTCAGTCATTTTCTAAATTTTTGCTGCATAAAGCTTCACTCAAAAACATTTCAGCTTTATGATGGAGCTGTTTAAAATCAGAACTGGACCAGGCAATTCCGAGATCCACATAGTCAGCAACAATCCACAACCATCGCATATAATGACTACCTCCCTCTAGATCACTTTTCTAACCAGTAGCTGGAGAACCTATTCTATTCCTGAGTAAAAATAAGTAAAAAAACAAGTTACAAAGTTACATAACTGACCTCAGAATAATGTCCCTACCAATAATCTGTGAAGATGCCACTGACTAAGCTACAACATGTGATACAGACTCGTGCAATTATAACTCTTATCCCTCCTTTAAACAGAGCTGCATGATCTGTTATTCCTTGTCTGCATAAAACAGCAACACCCACCTGTCTCCGAGGAAATCCAGGATGTACTTCTTGCTGAAGGATTTTTGAATTCCCTCCAAGCAATTCTTTCTAGTCACAGCACTAAACAGGAAATGACAAAACAGCTCTATTTTAATAAGTTATGGATAACCTCATAAAGAAGAAAAATTCAAATTATTCCATACTATTTGTAAAAAAGAGTAATTTGATATATACTTCAGATCATATATATTAATAAACATGATTGTGTCATAAAACCTAAACCAACTTTGAATACAAGAGCATCTGTCAATGACAGCTTATAGTTAACAAATGTTTCTAGATTCAAACAGATTGGAAACAGTTTTTGACAATTCTGACTATCCTACATTGTGCCCGTGTTTCACTACAATTCAGTAAGCAGTAATGGTTAGAACCAAAGTCCTCCCCCTTTATACTGTTATCTATGAACTCATCATTACAGTTTTGAAATCTTATATCTTGTACATTCCATTAACACTTTTATTTACAATAATAAACATGCTTGAGCTCAACTGACCATGGGAGTGTCTGCACCTACCTCTTAGACAGAGTGCCTTCTATACACTCTTTGAGTTTGTCCTCAAAATCTTCCTGGGTATTGGTGTCTTCTGACTCGACATCTCCACCTGGTGGCACAAATACCAGATTACTCTACACCCCTCTGTACATCAGTTTGTATGTTCTTGAAAATCAAACACTTAAGAGCAATGACTAGAGCTTAAGGTAAAATGATATACGTCTTTTGCATTGGACGAGAGGTCAGTCATATGGCATTTGACCATGACATTTAAGTATGTTCGTTTTTGATTGGCTGTCACTAAAAAATTAGAAGTGAAAAATTTTCAATAACCACTTCTGAGAGCTGAGACTTTTACCATGACATTTAAGCGCGTAGTGTCAAAACACTACGCAAGGGTAATGAGTGCATATTTCAAACGCGTTTTATTCATGGTGCATATGTCATGGTAGAATGGAGATAATCCTATTGTGTTTACATTTTGGAAGTGATTATAGTTGGTTGAACACGGCTAAATGTTTCATTTAGCAGCGTTCAACCAACTATAATCACTTCTCAAATGTAAACACAATAGGATTATCTCCTAATTTGGCATTCACACATTTGTATTTCTAAGACTGTATTCTTGAAATGATATGCACATGGATGGGCCCTTTAAGCTTGAACTCAATGTTTCACCAGAGATTGAGGAAAATCAGAGTTTGACTGCGTGCTTTTCATGAATAGAATAGCTATGGCATCCACGCGAAAAAAATCAATATCTGAAATATCTATATAAACTGTGTCTAGACTGGCACTGATGGTCGACATCAATATATGAATTTCATATCAAAATCTATTTGAAACATCCTCATCATCACATTTCAATGATTTGCAACTTGTAATCGCCACAGGTTCATTAACAAGTTTTGAAATATTCTGACGTCTTACAAGTCAGAAGTGTACCACATCCTGCTTTAACTGTGTCTGACTTGATGAGATAGTTCACAGGCCTTCCCTTTCTAATGGTATCATTGAAAGATGTTAATGTAGAGCAATTTGAGCACACATGCACTTGTGTCACCTCTCCATTTGAGGAACCCAAGTGGGGAACCAAACCCAGGTCTTTCCCGCAAAAAGCGAACACTGTAATCACTATACTACACTAATGCCCCTTTTGCAAAAGAAAGCTGGTAGTAGTATGGCAGTGAAAACATGAACTCGCTTTTACTTAGTGAAGATCTTTTTAGGTACATATGAGTGACATGAAAATTCTAAGAAAAGAACACGATATTCATGCAGTTTGGTCATACTCTGTGCAGGTTACAACTCAAAAGAACACACATGAGGTGAAAGTCTATTCTTAAAAAAACATTTACAACATTTTACGGGCATGGTTACTCTGTAGTGTAAGAAGCTTTCTTTTGCAAAATGGGTTGGTGGGGTAGCCTGATGGTTCAAACATTTGCTTGTCACACAAAACTCCAAGATTCCCTGCTCGAGTACAGTGTGAGCAGCCAATTTCTGGTATGCCGTGATATTACTTAAATATTGCTGAAAGTGGTGTAAAACCTAACTCACTCACTCAAAACATGTACCAAAGGAAATGTGAGAAGCCTTACTCATAACGTTGTCCACTACCATGACAGTTGAATATATGTAACATCAGTTGTTGTCACACCATTACCAGATATTTGGGGAACATTACTAATGTATGTACACATTACATATATGTACAACTAACATCACAATCACTCACAAGGGGCATTGGGGTAGCCTAGTGGTTAAAGCAGTCGCTCATCACGCCGAAGATCTGGGTTCGATTCCCCACATGGGTACATGTGTGAAGCCCATTTTTGGTGTCCCCAGCTGTGATATTGCTGGAATATTGCTAAAAGCGGCGTTAAAACCAAAGTCACTCACTCCCTAACAAATTAGATTAATCAATTACTGACAAATGCCCTCAAAACTCTCGTCGGATCGGTGAAATTAACTCATGTGGCTCTTGCCCTTCTTGAAGTGATGGTAGAGAACTTCTAAGGGTGATCGCACCCTTAAATCAACACAAGACTCTTGTTACCTGACTCAGGTAGGCTGTTGGCATCCTCGGATAGGACACTGGCAGTGCTCCAGTTGTCACCAGTATCACACTCATCATCAGTGGGAGGTCGTGAACCTTGCCGACTCTTATCGGCAACTTTCAAGCCACCTGACAAACAAATCATCATCATTTATTACAGCATATCAACCTTCAGTAAAGATTAGTGGGGTAGTATGCGATGATGAAAAACATTTGTCTGCATTTTGTGAAATAAAATAAAGATAGCAATTGGTAGATGGCAGTAGAGTCATAATTCACTGAAATAATGAAACACTGACCAGTATTTTCAGAAGGTCCAAACATTCAAGAAATCAAATAAAAATTAACTGTGAAGATTGACCTCACATGACCTATTCCTCTCTATAAAGTTCTGAACTGTCCTAAACATTATACAGAAATTGAATTTGAAATGATGTCCATTTTGAATAAATAACATGTAGTTTAATTTATGCTTTATTAAGAATGCAAACTCAGCACAACTATAACATAAGAGGTGAGATCAATATCATAACATATGGATCGACTTCTGAGTAAAGTTAATCCAAATATAACACATAAAGTGTTAACCTTGTTTGTAAAGTTAACTTATTGTTGACATCATCATTCCCCAACAGGTACTTTGACCCACGATGACACTAAATAACCCATGCAGTATGTTTGGGATACACGCCGCTTGGATATTTCCTTTCTCGCTGTGTCATATTGTTTACCAACATGACATGACAGCTGACGGGCCATGTATGGGTGTACAGTGGTATATATTGCAGAATCTACTTATACAGTCCAACACACGAATGTGTAAAACAAGACTGACATTGTAAAACGTGTGAAATGATAAAACGTAACGGATCAAAGGAACATGTTCAATTGTGCCTCACACGCGGTTCACACGTGCCAATTCAACAGGTCTTTTGATTCACTAAGGTTACTCAGGTCGATAATTTCTTTCTCGTAATTCCAACATGAGTGAGTTTGTTAAAATTAGGAGATCAAGATCATTACATGATTTTACTGTGTTTCGAATTGACACAGTCCATTATCAAAAGAATATTTAACATCCGTATGTTACTAATCGCCACGACAGGGCAACCCATGTTTGGATGAATCACATGTCTCTTCCCGCGTACATACATAAGAAGGGCGTTTCGACATCACATACTTACCCTTTTTCTTGTTCTTCGGCATTATTTTCCTATTTTTCTAAACCGCCAATTAGTTCTACGATTACCTATACCCATAAAACGACATATATGAAAATCCAAATGGTAACAGATTGTTGTATCTAGAGAATTTTGACGTGACCACATGGACATTGTCAGATAGCGCAGTGCAATGCGATTGCACTAATAATCTATATATAGTTTTACCTTGTTCCATGACGTCCGGCACACAACCTGAGTGGAAGATACCATTGGACGATGGGATAGATTTTCTAACTTTAGAACCGTGGTAATGTTTGTGACGTCATAGTGTTTGTCTATGTAAACACGTGTTTAATTTACAAATACGTACCTACTAATTTTTCTTTTTCTAATACCATTATACGCTAATTGAATACTGGATAATATAACATTTTGAATATTTTTCATGAATTTCACTTGAGGTCACATGCCACATATGTAACGTTGGGGGAAACTATTGCATACTACATGGGTAGCAACTAATTGGAGATTTCACCACGAAATCACATTCAGTCGGCAGTGTTTCCTCCAAAGTTACAGAAAATAAGAGTGAAGGACAGTTTAAAATACCGATAATTAACTTTTCGTCTGAACATTTGACCTTTTTCGGGTTTAAAGCAGAACCTGTGTAGATCCAGTGTAGGATTATTTCTTCTCAGAAAAAATGTTCCTCACAGATATTAATTTCTTCGTCACTGTGTAAAAATCGCTTTCAAAACTTTAGATCACATAAAAAAATATTCTTATTACTCATCATTTTTTCAAAAAAATTATGGGTCGGGAGGGCGGATTTTATTTTAACATTTTATTTTAATCTATATCCCAAACCCCTTGATTTCTGTGGAAATGTATCTTTTCTCCGATAGAAAATCAAAACTTTAATGCATATTTTGAGAGTCAAATTTGCATTTTCTCTAGCGTGAAAAATAAAAATGAAGAAAAAGAGAGAAATGGAGACACCTATTATTATTACTCACTAATCCTTTTTGTTTTTGTTATGTAAGTGTGTACATTCCTAATCTATTTTTACGTGATCGGGTAAATCTGCATTGCCAACTAACTTTGTAGTCTGAAACTAACAGAAGACCAGTCCCATTTCAGTTTTATATGCCTGTTGTATGAGTCTTCGTTTGTAGTTATACACACTAATATGTATCCTTATTTCTTAATGTTGATAAATTTAATGATATATTTACTTCCTCCAATTTGAATGTTTTGAAGTATCTGTCTGCCTTCATATACCGTGTACTTAAACTTCGAGTCAGAAGATGTGCACAATCTTGATACAATTTATACAATACTAGCCATATCTGTACTATATGTCTGGGGCCTTTCAGTATTTACGTAAAGAAGAATTTCAACAAACAGCATTTTTAGTAGACTGACAATTACCAACAGTGTGTGCATCAATTTTTTTGTAACTAATTAAAATGGATATTCCGTGAAATGAAAATAGCATAATTATATAAACTCAGTAGATCTTCTCCTTTGTCAGTCTTTGGCGGTTGCGTAGCGTTTGCTCGTCACGGCGAAGGCCAGGGTTCGATTCCAACGTGGTTACAATGCGTAAAGTCCATTTCTGGTGTCATCATATATATGCTGAAAGCGGTGAAAATCTCAAAACACTCCTTCGCCAGTCTAGGACTCGCTGAATACACATATTTACACCAAATAAAACATAATCCGTGTGTTATGGCAGACGTGAAGGTAAATAGTGCATTTCTATCGTCTGTATGACATCCTCGATAATAATTTAAATAACATTTTCATTGTACACATACATTTGCCTCTGGTCTTCGCTATTACCTACATGCACACTAACAGGAACTGAGGCGAACCATTGTAGAAAACGGTGACAACGGATTATCTACGTCGTGAAAGAACACTTCCCACACTAACAGCGAACACGACCAATGTGTAGTCCAGTTTCACGACCACTAACACAAACCCATTTCGATCCGTGAAAAATATGACGTTATTTAGGTAACATTTTCAAACAATTCTAGATTTAAGAAAAATATACAAGGTCATTTTAAATAACACGTACCAAAGAATGGTACTAGTATATATGAATCAAAGTTTATACAATGTATGTATATAACAAAGATTACAGGAGTAAGGTCCCGTAAAGTTTTAGTAATATTGTTGAAACCCGTATGTTTTGTATATATTGAAAAACTGCCTTTAATTGTAAGTAGTGTACTACCGGTACTGTGGGCGTTTTTTCCTAAAAAAATATATGAGTTGAGCTAATCCCTTTTCTGTAGGGCCTATGTAAATGTCGCGGTTGAAATAACAATCTCATTAAAAACAAATCTTAATTACAGACTGTAGTTCTCGTTACCGCGTCTAGTCTGTCTCACAGTCCCTGAACCACATTATTTTCCCTACTGCCTCCCCATCCTGCAATATGCTAAAGCCCAAAAAGAGGCAAGTCGAGATTTCCCCAGGGTCAGCCTGAATCTCCCATCTCACTGGACACCTTTACAATTTAAATGTCATTTGTTATTTCAAAATTATATATATTCAGGGACTAAGTGTTAGTCTAGCTACCGCTCAGCAAAGTCTTATTTCAACGAGAGTGTTAAATGTTTGATTGGCATTTTAGAAGATGCTATTTGATGAACATAGATACTTTTCTGGGTTTCGTGTTCTTTATATTGTTTGGTACAACGTTTCAGGGCTTGTTCTGGCCCCATCATCAGGTAGAACTGAGAGTGTTAAAATAACAACCATTAATACACAGACACGGGGTCTCGGGTGCTCCTTGGGAATAATTAAAACATGTTTCTCCAGATTTAAATGAGAGATGAGGCCGTGAAACATTGTCGATTTCTAGTCAACTATTCCTAAACACAAACTAAAACACTGCTTGCACAATCGTGTTCATCCCGCGAACACAAGGGAACGGCTTGCACAAATACATGTTCCACTTGAATAATTATCACTGTGAACACAGTTCTATTGAAGCTGAAACGTGTTTGAATGTGTTTAAGAGGCTTTGGGCTATTTTGATTAATTGCGTGTTATCTAATCCTCTTGCTATTTCCCAACGTTATGTCTACGTTCTGGTTTGAGTACGTAATCTTCAATAATACAAGTCTTTGGGGAAGTAGTATATTGCACAAAACGTAGAAACGACGATAGGCCACGTGACACCGAACTGGCTTTTGATTGGTTCTATATATGGAAACAATCAGCTGACGTAGTAACGACCACGTGCCTATATATACTGCGTGGCAACAACGTTTGCGTTCATTCGAGAAAAAATACAGAGCGAGAAGGAAGGACGTATTGGATCCTAATATTTAATCGGATCTCAGTGAACGCTATGCAGATCATAGAAGAAATGGCTGATACCGAAGAAGTTAAAATGAAGAAAACACGTAGAGGAAAGCGATGTGGTCGTCGCACAAGGCGAGGTGAGAAGAGTTGGGACGAAATGGCCCAACCTTCCTTCAGTTCAGACATGGACACGAAAAGCGTGAAAGGGAGAAAATTTTATGTGAGACCAAGGTATAGTCCCAAAGCTCCACATAATTCAACACAGTTTATAATGGACGATCAGCATCATTGTTTGGTTAACAGTGAACACATTTTCGATTTCTCAAGATGTGACGAAATGTCTATCTATTGTAACGATGAAGACGCATCAAAAGGAAGTGCCCAGGGATCTCCTAGTTCAGAATGCGATTGCACTAGCCCCCATTCATGTTCCTGGGAAAACGAACTCAATAATTTGCAGTTAAATTCATCGCAGTATATGGCAAATGACTTTGAGTCATTTTACAATCAGTTGAGAGCAGAAGAACTGTCGAAATTGTCCAAAGATGAACTTGTAGAGGAAATATTGTCCATGGAAGAGAAAGTTTCCGGTTTCGAGGAGAGGATGCAGAAAATGCAAAGGAACACCAATACGTTGTCCCCAGCAAAACATGGACCTACATCACCAGGATTGTGTAACCCAGAATTACCACGATATGTGAATGTGAAAGCACGATCTACAAACCATATGTCGAGTCTACTAAAAGAACTAGAATTGCTAAAGCAGGAAAATAGGAACCTGAAGCAGAAACAAGATTCATTATTATCATAATTAAGTCATTTCAGTGTGTTATCAATCATGTATTTTAAGATTTTGTTCTGCTTTTACGTTTGTGATATGATCATGGAAGTAACTTTATTATAAGATTGAGTACTTTCATGAATGCTTCAGAAGCATTTCATCATTTGAGAACAAAGTTTTCAGTTAGCCAAAACATTTGCAAGGAGTATGATGAAAGAAGAACTATTGCGGAACTTTTATTTTTAGACATAACTATAAATATTTTAAGATCAAACATCAACAGTGTAATAATGTATGAGACATTGGATGTTTTATGATCTTAACATCTATGTACTAAAGAATGGTTAACTTCATGGATGTGAATGCTTGTCTTGAGTCAAGCTTTGTTTTATGTATATAAAATGATGTTGGAATGAAATTATATGTTTGTCGTCATGTTCTGAACTACTTATTACTATTGAGTTTTTCCTTTTCAGCACTTGAGATACCCGGTGAGCCAGCAGCTGTTCACTGTTCCGCTATGGACATGGGTTCGAGTGACCAGCTTGGTCATTCACTCCGTGGACAGGAGGTAACACTGGTCTTGAGTGTCATTTAAGTAGCTTTAAGTTATAACTTAAGTTCAATCTGGGGTTGAATTGAAAAGTTTTCTATAGCCAATGCAGTAACTTCTCTCAAGTTAAAATTGAAGATGTTGCAAGAACATGATTTTATCAGTATTCAAATAGACTTTCTTCTGTACTGCATAGTTCACTATGAACATTTAAGACATTGTGGTAATGTTTTTTAATCTAAACACGTCTGAAGCCTTGGCCCAATCATAAAATTTTGATGCAATAAATCACACAGGAACTACACAAAAGTAGTTTTGATATGTATGGCTTTCAAGTTTGTTACGCTAGGCAACAAAACTTTTCACTTCAATCCTTTCAAATGCAGACATTTACTTCCAAGTATCTAAGGTTTTGATTAACCTGTGATATCATGTGTGCATAAACCCCTTATTCTGTTTTTATTTTATCAACAATATTTGTTGCAGCGGTTTCCAACTACAGTGAACTGTGCTGGCTGATGGTGCCAAGACATGAGTATGAGGGTATTGTCAGTTGCCCAGCAACGATGGAAAATTACCTTTTCTTTTTTTTACTATTTTTCGTTAAAGAAAAGTCTGAAGAGGTATATATGTCATAATGAGAAGAATAATCTTTATTTCATGGATGCATGAGCAAAACAGATTTAATATATATTTCATTTTGCAAGTATGTAGAGGAATGTACAATAACATGCTCATTGCTGGTATTTACATCTTGTGAGGTGTAGATAAAATAGAGGAATGCAGACTAGACTCCTGGCGTTGAAGGGACTCGTCCAGGATGCTGATGTACTCCTGGAACTTGTCTCTAGCAGACTGGCTGGCACACACTGAAAAATGGTATCAAGAGCTGACACATGCTACACATCAGTTTCATCATTACAGCGGATGTCATACATTAAGATGGGAAGGATGGATTGACCCCAACCCTTAAAGGACACACACTTGTGTGTTTGTAAAGATCCACAGCAGAAATTAACATTTCTTGATAAAGGGTCAGGTTACATATGTTAGTTTGTTCGATCAGCAGGGCTTGTTCCACAAAACATTTTCAGTACAAGGCCAATTCATGATTTCCTAGTAGCAATGGTGTACAGGTCAACCACACATTTGTTAACTTGGTGAAAACTCAATTACATGTCGTAACTGATAAAGTTACCAGTGACTATTTCCTGCACAATAACACACATACTTAACATGTTAGGACATGTGAACCGTTACCTATCATTGCATCGAATTCAATGGTTGACAGCAGAGTTACAACCGATTTTAAAAACAAAAATCAAATACATTTATGGCAGCTTATTTTCATTTCTGAAGTATGGCTGCCAAAGATCAGTGGAAGATTGACTTATTATTCACACACATTCCCTAAAGCAGATTAGGGACAGCTATACCATGTTACCAAGTGGCCAGTCCAAAGCAGATCCCCACCCCTACACTCCTATGTTACAAGGTCCATCATATTATTAGAGGTAATCTCTAACAAGGTGAGTAATCATGTATTTCTGAAGTCAAGGGAGCTGTTTCTGCCATGAATATATCATTGAATAAACAGTAATGGTACCTAAGCTGTTAACTTTGTGGTCTGTCTGTGTATCCATGGACTCCTGTCCAAGTTGTGTGTATGTGATGCGGATTTGGCTGATGCTCCTCAGCAACTGAAACGAGATCATGGGCTGCTTAGCTGGCATTAGTGTACTATGGCCAGATATTCAACAGCACATAAATGTAAAAGCTGACTGCAGACTGAAAAATTATTGTTCCCTGATTTTCAGTCCACATAAACATGGTCAACCCACCTCGTGAAACTGGTGCAGGATAGTGTATACTCTCTTGAAAGCCTTGCCAAGGCCAGTGAGGGAGGGAGGAATCTTGTTGCACCAGTGTCGCATCTCATTCTCATAGCAGTAAGTGAAACTGACCATCAGCTGGGACAACTCGGACAGCACAACAGTCAGTGTCCGACTCATAGTGTCCAGCTGGTCATTCTCTCCACCGGTCTGGTACTTGTGCTGCACATGGGAAAATCGCCAACAGTTTTCGGTAAACAATGTAGAGAAAGGAAGACATGGTAGAACCAGAGGTTCTGCATTATGAAAACATAATATTCCAACTAAATGACGTCAGTCTTTAAATATCAAGTCTGAAACGGAAAATCTAGACAAAATATGTGCAATGAACGATGCAAGCCAAATACAGTATGTAGTCTGTCAAGTCAACAAAGCTTACCACGTGATCACCGCTTACAGGGGACCTATATTCTTACCTGTAGCTGCCATATAGCTGGAATAACTCTGAGTGCAGCTTAAAACAACAAACTTCTTAACTGGAAACCCCTTAAAAGGACAGAATCTGTTTTCCTCTACTATAATTATGTGTGCAGCAGAAGGAAATACTTACATTCTGCTTGAAGTCTGTGAGTATTTCAATTTGGCGATGGAGGTCCTTGGTGACCTGAGTGGCCATGCCTATGAGGGCAAGTAGGTCAGGGGCTGGAGGACTGCAAGCACACATGGACATATACTTCATCTGATAGTGTGAAGTGAAACCCAAATGTGATACAATAAACTGTTTACAAGACAAACATGATCCACAGAAATGGTGGACTGAGAAATGATGACACATTGAAACTGACACGTGGGTGCATATACAGTGGAACCCCAATGTCTCGAACTCGGTTGAGACGAATTCTCGGTTGTGTCGAACTCATCTCTCGGTCCCTGCTGATTTCCTCATATATTACCCATCAAAAGTTTAGACTCACTAGTGTAAATATAGCCACTTTAGGCAACTGTTTTAAACTAAATTTTGCAAAATATTCCATACTGTTTAAAGATACTGTTTACACATGAACTGATGTATTGTAGAACGAATTCGTAACATTGAAAAGATTATTCATGAGTTCAATAAATGATGAAACTTTGTGAAAATTGGTGAATTCTTACAATCTTTACACCAAAACATAGCTGTTCACATGCACAATATTTGTACATGCTTTTCAACAATTTGACGAATGATTCTCTTGCAAATCATCTGCATACGGTTTGCAGATTAGTGAAACCATACATATCTACATAATCGAGTCTTAACTTTTGATGGGTAGTATATTTAACATTATTTTTACCCTGATGTCTCCAACTAGATGTGTTGAATTCCTGATCGTATCTAACTCATTTTAGGGTCCCCAAATGCCGCTTTAAGTACAAATTTACCCTTTTGTCGCAAACTATCAAAGAAGGCCTGCAACTGAAAACTTCATTCTCGCAATCAAAAGTCATGCTCTTGAATGTGCTACAAAAAGATCAGATGTGCGGAATAACAGATTCAACAATCAAGTTGCGTGTTTACACATCTACATGTAAATAGACATTGTCATCACACTTACCAACTGATTTATTACTCACACAATTAACCTTATTTAACTAGTTCATCACAGACAGATAGGAAATCTCTAAACAAACAATGGGCACGCTATTGTCACGTTGATCCCTTGTGAGTTTGTTAAATGTTCATCACAGACAGATAGGAAATCTCTAAACAAACAATGGGCACGCTATTGTCACGTGGATCCCTTGTGAGTTTGTTAAATTACATTTTTATATATTTTAATCTAAAGATCAGTACTGCAGTAAATGTTTATTGCAACGATGTATTGTTCGTATGTATAGCCTACTGTAGCAAAACGATGTAAGCACTTTGGTCGTGTTGGTACTTGGTCGTTTCTGTGCTGACGGATGAGTCAAACTTTTTCCATGGTCGTGACTAGTTCGACACAACAGGTTTGATTGTATACTCAACATATCTCTACAGATATTGCCAGTTCTGTCTACATACCTGTATAAATGATGCATGTAGTCAACATACCTATACAGGTGACGAAGGTACTGTACTGTTGACACACCTGTACAGGTAATGCAGGTACAGTCAACATGCCTGTACAGGTGATACACATACTGCCAACATCATGTCTGTACAGATGACAGGTTCTGCGACTGTCTACATTCCTGTACAGGTGACACATATTGCGACTGTCCACATACCTGTCTTTGTTGAATCCTTTCTCCACCCACTGGACATCCAGTTTACGTTGCAGGTCTAACGGCAACAGACTCGCATGGCAGTTGAACAGGACATCTGTCTTCTCCTGATTTGCCAGTCTATCCATCAGGAGACAATCAGCACCAAATTGCTCTGTCAACCCAGTGCTCGGGCTGTTTATATAAATGTCAGTTTTTATTTTTTTTATATCAGTGTTCTTTCATTATGAAAGTGAAGTACAGATATTTCCAAGTGAAACAACATATAGTATTACCAGTGCCCTTGATGTGAATGTGCAAAGTGCAAATCGTGAGATAGGATAAGTATATAGATATACAATATATAGTTAAAATTTCCAATTTTGTTGTTGCGGAGGTGTAATTCAAGGATAACTCACTGTGATATACATGTATTAGTATTTAACAGAATGGAAAAATTAAGAAATTTGTGATTATGTGACACAAAGAATCATTGAGTGAGCTGACAAAGCAAATAAATTCATTAAAAATATACTTTAAACTACAGCAAATGTAGAAAACCATATCTGTGTATTCTCGGACAAAGTTGATATTCAACACTTTGTACCTGACCACTCCTGGACTCTGCAGAGCAGCCATAGTTGTCTCCTCTGAGGCATCAATGATGCTGACCATGTCTATGAGCTGGGTCATGAAAGATGCCTGTTTGGACACGGATGTGATGCCCTGGATGGACAGAAGCATCATCGTTTTCTACATGACCACTCTGATATTCATATATGAATCTTCTTAAGATTGAATACCTACAGCTTGTGATTTGAGCCATTAGTCAGATGACTGAGTCTAGCAAATTTTATTTCTAACATTTCAACATAATAACTGCCCTTCAGTCAACAATAAAGTCAGCTTAAGCCTGCCAACATGTTTATGTAGAAAACAAAATACTATACATGAATGTATTTAGGATGCCATGTAACTGTAAATGATTGACTACTCACCCTGATGAGGTCAACATCATCGTATCTACAAAGCCCCAGCGTGCTGGCTACGTCAAGTAGTCCTAAAAGAACAGCATGACAAATGGATGTGTACTCTAGGTTCACTAACTATTCCATACATGACTTCAAAATCACATATTTCATGAATTTCAACTTTCAGCATAAGTTATATATTTCCTTTCAATTCTTAAACTCATATCAGACAGCAAATATTTCAGATCAAGTTTATTGTGGAAAGACAAAATTCTAGGAAACTTCTGACATTGTAAGGGTCAAATGTTTTTAACAATCCATCACAAAGGTGACAAACCTCAAATGTTTTTAACAATCCATCACAAAGGTGACAAACCTCAAAACATCATGGGGGCAGACTGGGTCTTGAACCCATCATCATAGACAGGGTTAACAGTTACAGTGGGCTATAACACTGTTCTGTGGGCATTAAATAGATTTACTCCACTGGGTCCATTTTTTAGAGAAACCCCACAAGTAGACATCTGTTTTCAGTATTTCTACATAACACGGTTCAGGCAACTTATAATTTGTACCTGTTCATATGATACTCTAAGTCTGTCAAACCTCCAGTAAGCTCACAATAGAGATATACATGTGTAGATTACAATAAGGGTGACCTAGAATTATTCAGTGCAGAATTTTTGTATGAAATCAGATTAATAGTATTTTCTACAAAGTACTTTCATTTGATCATGTGATAATAAAATCATTCAAAGGAAATACTTTTACATTCTATCAGCTTAGGTAGATAAATGACAGATTGCACCACAACTAACATATTTGGGGAAAATGCGGGATTAGCTTCAGGGAAAACCCTGGCTTGAGATGCTACGATTAGTATGAATACTGACTTTGTATTCTGGAGTCCATCTTGGATCCAACTGGGGCATAATCTGGATCCAGAACCTCAGCTAGCTTTGAATCAAACCTGCAACAACGTGGAAACCAGCAACAACCCTTCAAAACATGTCCAGGAAATAGTTTATGAATAACAACTTCTGTATTGTTTACAGTGATGTTTCATGGTTAGTTCTAGCAAAGGCCCCACTCATGCACTGAATTACGCCTACTAAACATATTCAGGGATCCCACTGTGGGGACAAAGCAATTTAAAATGAGGGGTTATTAACACAAACCGTTAACACAAGAAATTCTGTGGGAATTTATGAAAATGAGGGATGGATAATGTGATGACGCTATCTAACAGAATCTGTGGAATCTATCGGACTTGAGCATTTATACAGTTTTTAGTCAGTAAAGAGGCCTTCAGCCCATAAATGACAAAGGACATTGTATTTAATGTATTTCACATAATACAAAACAACAACAAAGGACATAGATTCCTAATTCTAATCATAGACAGAGCATGTGGGAGGATTACTTCAATATTTATGAAAGATAAAAATCACAGAGCAAAGCTATTTAATGTATTTTGTAAAATAACACACGTGAAGCAAACTTAGTAGAAGTGCACTTGGGTATGAATTTTCATGATATTCTGATAACAACGAGGATGCCCTTTTAAGACACAGCTTACTTTGAGAATAGCCACTGTAGCAGCCTTATTCTTGGTTCTCCAGGTTTGAAGAGAGGCTCTGTAATCCAGGTTTCATCAACACCCTCTGTGAATGGGCAGCCAAGTTGCTGGGAGAAAAAGGGAGGAAACTCATAATGAAACCACACTATTACCCTGTTATTATCACAGTCATATATATATACATATATATCTATTAGTCCCGTTAGTTGCCTCTTACGACAAGCATGGGTTACTGAAGATCAATATTCTAACCCGGACCTTCACTGGTAAATTTTCCAGTGAAAGACAATTTGACTAAATATGGTGCAAGAAACAAAAGTGAATACATATATATACTGGGAAAGAAAGATGTACCTATATTCATTTCCTATTTTCTCACACATGACTTATCCATTACTGATCACTGATTGTTTTTGGTTTTTTTCAAACAAATGATTAACACTGAAATTTGAATGTGATTTGTTTGTCTCAAAACTACACCAGCACACAGCCCAAGACTTATTTCACTGTTCTGTTTTATTGGCATTTAGAAGTTGGTGACTAATAAGAAAGCAAGATTGTTTATCGATAACAACTTCTTTATTATATATGATGCGACGTTTCGGTATGGATTCTTATACCGTTGTCAAGCAAGAGTGAAGTACTACAGCACAGAACAGACTTATATACATCAACTGGGATTAAGTAATAACAAAATGTAGGTATGAATCAAGGGGATTAACAACAACAAGAAGGCACGGTGGTAATAATGTAGTGACAGTAGGAGGAAGCCAAAGGTCCTAGAGGCAGAAACAAAATATACATGGCTGATGAGATTAATTAATGATAGCTGGAGTGGTCTTATCTGTTGTTTTTATCAGTTCATTGTATGCAGAAGGGATGAGATATCCCTGGTCTCTGTTGATTGAGGGCTTGTGTCTCCAGATTTGAACTGCTTCTGCAAGTTTTCTTTTGGTGAAGTCCTGGTGGTTTTTCAATAAGATCTCTACAATTATGTTGTGATTGGGACAGTTGATGATGTGGTCTGATATTGCTGATTTTCTGTCAGATTTAGTGGTAGATGATAAGTGTTCTTTGATTCTGATATTTATGGGCCGGGATGTTTCGCCTACATAGGCCTCGCCAGTCACAGTTGATTTGGTAGACAACACCTTTGGGTTGATGTTGTCGTTTAGAGGTGTTCCTGCCATTAGCTTTCAGTAGGGTTTTCAGTGGTGTAGAGCTGGTAAAGTAGGTATCGATGCCTGCTTGTCGCTTCAGGAGACGGCTGATGTGGTGGGAGGTCTTCCCTATGAGGTGAGGTGAAATTGGGTTTAACGTCGTGCTTGAGAATATTTCGCTCATATGACGACGTTCTTCCCTATGAAGGGGAGGGAGATACGAATGGGTGCTGGTACACCACTGAAAACCCTTTTCTGATACTTACAGCAATAATCACTCATAATCACTGTCCTACACATCAGTCATTAGTCATGTTTAACAATATATTTTGTTAAGTGTGTGTGTTCAATGTCAGTTAACGTTGTCTTAACAAGTCTTTGTCTTATGTTTTTATGACCTTGTGAAAAAGTTGGCCGAAGAGGGTAGTCCATATTTTATTTATCAAGGACAGGGACAGCAACCGTACTGTTTATTTATCTCTATTTGTTTACATACAAGACAACCAGGTAATAATACAAAGAGCTGCATATTAGGTACTGTGATTTGCAGAATAAAGATATCCATGTTTAACATGATTCGGCTTGTTTAGGCTTCCGAAAACCTATACTACGAGGATATATAAACTTAACCTTTTCGCAATGACCGAGGATAATAAAGCAAATCGTAACTATCTAAACGGTCTGGCTATCAATGCAGTTTATTAATAATTAAGTCTGTAAAAAAAGGCTCCTAAATACTTCCTGATGAAATGACCCACTGGCTATTGAACGCAGATTAATGTGGTGAATGTGTCCTAATCAATGTCCGATCACCTAATAACAGGCTAATCACTTTAATGAACTTATGCGACAACTGAGCAAATGAAAATGACATGTTTTGACAGGTCTTGATTACGCCGACGACACAAACAACATAGCTTTCTCCATTCACTTCCATCTGCACCCCGATCATTATGCACCCAAATATCACAGCCCTCACAGTCTACCAATATTATCACGGATTCCCTAAGATTATATGATAGACAACAACTAACATCAAGTTTCTCCTTGAAACATTTTCCCAACTTGGCTGCCTTCGAAGTTGCCGCCATTTTGACTCGGTTACATGTAAAATCAAAACCGGTTAGCCTAAAATATAGCTGCTGCTACTACGAAATGAGATCGATCAATGCCGAACTTTCCGATATACTAACTTAGTTGATGCGCGTCAGTAATGAGAATTATTATCCAAATAAAAAGTTGCAATGGACACTTTGATCATTAACATTTTCAAACTGTACTGCATAGGTTATATTGTACAAATGTCAAGGACCATGTGTTCGATTGCATTTGTTTGTTGTTAAACGCCTTGTACAACAATAATGCAACTATGTGCCTGGATAAGACAAACACGTGATTGGTATTACAACTTGCATGCTGTGGAATGCCCTATCTAGCATGCGATCTAAAGTCACCAAGTCTGGCCATCCTGTCCATTAAGTCGCCTCTTTCGACAAAAGCAGGTTGCCCCTACTTGCCAGGCGCGAGTATTGCGCTTATCCATGAGCCATAGTGCACAATATTCATGCTCCATTTCAAAATACCAGTCTTCACATTTGTGTACATACTTGATCGCTTCAAGGAGGATGTAATATTGTTATATATTGGTGTGTAAATATATATTGGTGGTAAATCTATTAAGTTTCAACGAACCATAAATTTGTTGGGATATTAAAAAAGAGTCATCAGAAGAAATCGTTTCCATGGAAACCGGGGAAAATAAAAATGCCAAAAATCTGCAAATAGCAAAAGGCACCACTTAAGGTTCTGTTTGATATATATCTCCCAAGTTTTGTTGAAAAATATTGAACGGTTGTTGAGTTATGCACCGGAAACGAAGCCCACCCCTCCCTTTTGGGACTAAGTCCGAATCGTTTCCATGAAAACCAGGAAACAAAAATATGCCAAAATTCTGACAAATAGCAAAAGGCACCACTTTGGCATCTGCCTCACATATCTGCCAAGTTTTGCTGAAAGATATTAAGAAGTTTTCGAGTTGTGCTCCGGAAACGAAACCCACCCCTACCTTTTGAGACTATGTCCGAATCGTTTCCATGGAAACAGAGAAAATAATAAATCACAAAAATCTGTAAATAGCAAAAGGCACCACTTAAGGTTCTGTTTGATATATCTACCAAGTTCTGTTGAAAAATATTGAACGGTTCTTGAGTTATGCTCCGGAAACGAAGCCCACCCCTCCCTTTTGGGACTAAGTCCAAAACGTTACCATGGAAACCGAGAAAAATAAAAATGAAAAAAATCTGTAAATAGCAAAAGGCACCACCTTAGGTTCTGTTTGATATATCTACCGATTTTTGTTGAAAATTATTGAACGGTTTTTGAGTTATGCTCTGGAAACAAAAGGGTTACGGACGGAGGAGGCGTAGACTATATCCCCCTGCATTACATGCCGGGTGGATAAAAATGCATCTTTCAGTTTATATCACTTTGACTATAATGCACTGACAATTTACATGTGCATGTTCATGCATGGCCCCAAAGCTGTTTTTTGCGTTTATTGGGGGCATTGTTTATACACGTGTTTTTTTCAATATGAAACGCACAAAATGAGTGTTCATATGCTGCAAACAGACGTGACGCAAGTTGAAGCTGGCAGATCCTAAATGTTCATGGAAACAATATGTTCCAAGGTGCTCCCAGTGGTGGGGTAGCCTTGTGGTTGAGCTTTTGCCCGGGTTCGATTCCCCACATGGGTACAGGTACCTGGGTGCAATGTGTGAAGCCCATTTCTGGTGTCCCCCGCGGTGATATTGCTGGAATATTGCTAAAAGCGTTGTAAAACTAAACTCACTCACTCACCCATTGTCCTGCAAGGCTTCTACAGGAGACCAGAGAAGGTATTTTCGACGCTTGCACTAAGGTTGTTAGTTTTGAGATGGAAGTGTAATGGCATGGGGAGGCAATTCATCATTTGTAATGCTAATTTAGCTGCTGGCCCCATGTCACTGGAGACCACGTTCTACACTTTGTGTAAGGATGTTCCCTCACATTGTAGAAGAATGTCCGGCCACACGTACGCTGCCATTGCTTGATATTTTGAGGCAGCAGAGCACTGCTTCACTGCAGCCTCCAGACCTCTGCCCAACATAACGTCTTTGTGTTGAGACGGTACAAGGCACACGACAGGACAAGAACCAGTTGGTATGGCTAGCTCACATGGTTAAAATTCCGTTGATACGGTGAACATCTCCCAGCCTGTTGTCAGTCATCTGGTGCCTCGCCTGCATCAACACAATGTTGGCTACACCTGATTTTGTCATGGTGATTGAGTTGTCTCTGATATAGATGTCACCCGTTACTGTAGGGGCTTTGTGAGTGAACTTGTTATGACAAAACAATGTCGATTAGACAAATGAACTAATATTCTGCTTTTACTTTCAAAAACAACATTCACACCACTTTGTAGGAAGCCCAGGATCAGACAAACCAATCAAATCAGGTACTTGTAGTGTTGTCTATATTTGATGGTTTTGGTAGTAACTGATTATTGTTATTATTGTGTTTTAAGTAAACCCAAGTATTTGATGTACTTCTTGTTGTACTCCCGTATTGGACCTGGAAGTGGATATTGATTGCCGTATGTAGGACTGTGTCTCCTGCACCACCCATAGAGACTGCATGGTCCAACTAAACTATTTGGTTCCAGCTAGCCCACCAGAAGAGCAGTTTGGCTAGTTAACAATTTCACACATCTGTGTCGCATACAATTCCAGTTTCAACTCTTTTAGTATGTTAGAGGTGAACAAAATACCCAGGATGACATTTCAAATTTTCAGTGGCAAGTCAGACCATTGTGATTTGTAAGACTCTGGTGTTAATTCTTTCGCTGGCATTTGTCTAGTGGTCAGCATTTGTCATTGTATCAGTTGTCTCCCCATGACCTTGAACTGCCTGGCAACTGATGGTCTCAAGAGTTATAATGATGAAATTTATTAAATTATAAAACAGAACAGATTCATACAACAGAGCAAGAATGGAAAGGAAAACCAACTTGACACACACATTTTAATGAACATAATATATTACTCACCCATCAATACGATGTGGTGTTACAGTATATATTTGGTGAGAAGATTGATCAAGGGAACACTCCAGGGCTCTGAGCATGTACTAGTTGCCTGGATATGTACCCTATATAAATATCCTCAAATATAAACACAAGCACAATATTGTATGACCCAAAATATTCAGAACATCAACCGTGTTTGTTGACTGGTATAAAACCCCCGATAAAATCATCTGTGAGTTAATGTGGCCTGTGGGTGGCTTCATACCAACATAGTCGGAAACACTAAAAAACGGTAAAAAAAGACAGTTGCTAAAATATCTATCTTAATAAACAGACTGTGTCAATCCTATAAGTTGGAAACGTGATTATATACATGCTGAAATGCAAGCAGGGCAATGGACAACATGTCTGGAAAAGTGTCCTACATAAAGTACATTCTGAACCCTGACAAGGAATGACAGTTACATCTGATGGACCATTTGTTGTCAGAACTGAAAGCTCTCTGGTAACAGTACTCACAAATAAGAATCTCTCTCTCTTTATATAATATATATTGCACATTTTCAAACAGAAAATACCATACTACTGCCCCACAATAACACTTTCTTGTTATTCCACTTCCTCTGTAATACTTGCTCGTAATGGCCTACTATACTTACGATTGTCATCATCAAACATTTACTGATTTTGGAAGATATTTGCTTTAGAGTTATGGCAATATGTATTGACCAGATACTTTGTTCCCGTAATATTCCTCTGATCTGATGCAATGCTGGGAGTGACAGTCATGCTGTATTCGTCATGCTAAGGTCTATGTGATCAAAATATAATCTCTTGGTCTTGCTGCAGACCTGAATATCACAAAGATGCATCTATGGGATATCAATTGATGTTGGCACTTCATGAGGTACCGTAAATGTGGTATTTCTGAAATATCTTAATGCCAAGGATAAAAATGGATTTGTCATCACATCTGTTCACGTTGAGGGTCTTCCTGAGTATCACTCCCATGTTGCCTGTTCTTCCTGAGGGCTGCGTGATCGTCGCCGTAGTCCACTGTACCAGGAGTAATGGTAGTTTCTGCAGATTTCCTTCACTTCCCGTACAAACAGTGGGAAGATGCACACCCCCGTCAGAAAGGTCTGGGGAAATACAAACACATGTAAACCTGGGCAGGCTAGGGCAAAAAATAACATTAAAATTTCTTATTTGTTCTATGGGCTTCAAGTCAGAAATATTTGAATTTTGCTTTCATATTGCATTCAAGGCAAAAATCAAATTAATTCCCTATGAAAGTAAAAGATAATGACATGTCCACCAATGGGGACTACTTCATCATGGCATCACACAATCACACTTCTGCAAATTTCATATCTTCGGTTTCTTTTCAAAATCGCAGTTTTCCAACTGTGTCTCCCAGTTGAAATGCAACTAATTTTTGCATCTGGTAACAGACTTTGTGATTTGAAACAGCTGCTCCCTCCCTGAAATAGTTGTTCTGATTTGTATTGTTGCATTTCTTCTTCTCATACCTAGATTTGATTGACGGTGCGGTGGGGGTAGCTTTGTGCTTCATTCGTCACGCGGAAGGCCCACTTTCGATTCCCCACATGGGCACATTTCTGGTGTCCCCTGCCATGATATTGCTGGAATATTGCTAAAAGCGGCGTACAACCCAACTCGCTCACCTCACTCACTCACTCACTCACTTTGATTGACATACCGAACTGTGGACAATGAACACTTGAATTAGCTACTGACCATGCCGAATCATAAATTTGCACAATAGTTTTTCAGTTCATATTTCAATGAACCGCACAAAAATACAACATTAATCATGTGATGTAAATCTAAGCACTAAAGCTTGTTCCTCTACTCTTGTACTGCCAATAACTATACAATGATTAATTCCAATTTGAGAATGTTTCAAGTCATGTGCTGCCGACTTATCGACCTTTGATTATTTCTGGATAAACCCTGTTCTACACACTCATTGTTCTACTTTCTCTAGCTATATCAGTTAATGCAGCTAGATAGGGATGGTGCCACTTACACAAACCATGAAGAGGTAGAAGACAGCTTGCCAGCCGAGAGCTTTCTGTATCACAGGCACCAGGATCTGGAGCAGAAGATATCAGTAATACAGGCCCACATTATTGATGGAGGCACAGTAAATTCTTTCAATTTAAAGAATACAGTGTACAAAACAGGAAAGACCATATCAACTTTTAGTAGAAGAAGAGATCAAAACTTGTTTTAGGGATTTTACTTACGTAGTAAGACAGAAAAGATTTATCATAGTGCGTTTCTGTATGATAAATATATTTAGTCTACTGTTACACACGCACGCACGCACGCGCACACACACATATGTATTAAAACTGTATTATATAAACCTGTGTCGTTATAATATATGAAGGCATATAATTGTTGTTTAAGACGTACTTTCACGCAGATCTTGAGTGAACAGCCCAATTTCCCATACAATGCCCGGCACCTGATGACTTGCAGCCAAGTTCATCACTATATTTCGGTCAGTAAGTACTGCCAAAAAGGTATTACATTGACAAATGGAGAAAGCAGTTCCTGTAGGCAACTTCATTTGCATATTTTTGTATCATGATACCATTTTCAGGTTAATCTGACTGGCGTAAGGAAATGAAGACATATGCTTTTATATCATGAAATGCATTATTGTTGCTATTTTATTTTAACTTTTGATTAGAATGAAAAATCTATCCTACCACCTCAAACATAAATGCTAGGTGATTAAATAATGAAAATAGAAAACACAAGCAGGAATATTGGCAAAGAGAGAAACATGGCTCGGAATTAATCCTAAACATACTTTAGCAGATGTACTTAATAAGACCATCATGTAACCCATTGTACGTATTGCCTACCTGTCCAATGGCCGCCCCAAGACTTCCTGTTCCGTCTATGATGCCGGTGACAGTTGCCAGGGCCTCGGTGTTGCCTTGTATTGGGCCCTGGTTGCCTGCAGTGCATGGAATATTGAATAAACTAACACACAGCACACTCTCATGGCACATGCATGACATTAACAACAAAAGTAAATTAACATCTCTTATGCTGATGTCGAAAATATAGCTCATATGTGTGTACACAACACACCTTTGTCAAGACAGACTACAGACTCATGGTTCAAAGATTTTGAAGGCGTTGTTAACCTTAAGCCCTTTACAAAGGTCGCCTTGAGGTTCTCCAGTACTTGAGATATCGGCTTCATAGGTGATATCATATTGGAGTCGAAGTCATCAGTTATTTGCAGTACGTCTCTGTTGGGTTGGAGTGAGTGAGTGAACGACAATACCCGCAGGCCACCTGCTACCCGGTATAAGACCTCAGCATCCGTATAGATGAAGGGAATCCTTTCATCAAGTAGGTTGTCGTCCGAAACTGAACCTATACAGATATAAGGTCTGTGGAAGGTTGTAGAGTTATGCAGGCTGTAAACTGTAGATATCGCACATGGTGTAGATTTTTTTGTTGAGTTATAAACTCTGACAAAACCATCCGTCTTCATCATTGCTTCGTTTTATTCAGCAGTATGGTAATAGAGTCGATGTCAACATCCTGCCTGTTGATCTAAGGGTTCGTTAACCCTAGGGTTCGCGAACCCTGTAGATGTCTGCGTTGCTGATATATGCCTATAGATCTGAGAGTTCGTGAACCTTGGAGATGTCTGCATTACTGATATCTGCTTGTTGATCTGAGGGTTCGGGAATCCTCAGGTTCATGATCCTTGTAGATGTCTACATAACTGGTATCTGCTTGTTGATCTGAGGGTTCGCAAACCTTGTAGATGTCTGCATTGTTGATATCTGCCTGATGATCTGAGGGTTCGCAAACCCCTTGGGTTCACGAACCTTGTAGATGCCTGCGTTGCTAATATCGCCTGTTGATGCTCCCCTCTGTGATGTAGAAGAAGACAACGTCTTTTTCTTACTTTGATAGCTGAGCCGGTGTCAACTGGCGCTTTAGCCGCATTTCTTCTTGGCCCCGCTCGAAGGATGGACAGAGACTCAGGCGACTGCCCCTGCAGCGCACTCAACATAGCACCAGTATTATGAATTTCAGCAGTAGCAAAAAGGATATAATGCTGTATACAGGACTCCAGTGCTTTTTAATCCGCTTTACATATAAAAAAGGGAAGAGTGACAAGTATGGCTGGTCACATGACTGTTTACCCTGGAAAAGGGAGGTAACTCGTGGGTGAGTGTATTTTTGAGTCCGCTTCAGGAACTTCAAGGGATTCAAGTGTTCCACTACCATTAGCAAGGGAAAGGGAGATAAGCAAAAGATCATGAGTCCGGATAAGAAAAAATTATGTTATTTGACACATCACATTAATATCGAACATCATGATATAATCGCTGAAGAATCTGGACACAATTTGATTTTCAGTATGGCTGTCATGGTTGAGATGTTGAAGACGTAGCGCTGTGAGCAGGCAATATGTCTGGATATGAGTGCCATATAAGCGGACTATTACTATTACTAAGACAGATCATCCATGGTCAATCCACTACAGCAACACATTACTTGTTTGACAGTCAGATGAGCTGGATACTGCTAGGTAATACTTAAATTTGAAATTTTGAATTTCAGTGTCTACATATCTACACCCTGGCACAAAATAAAAAAGTAATCTTTCATACTGTTGCAACAAAGAACATGTACTGAAGAATGTAAAAACTGATGTATTTTTGGACGACACTTAGTCATATTCCTGCTATATGGCGGTCTGTACCAGGCAATCCAATGATCAACAGCATGAGCATGAATCTGGGCAATGGGGATATGGTGACATGTGTCAACAAACTCAGTGTTTTTGACTACCCAATCCTACTAGTCGCCTCTTACAACAAGCATTGGTTGCTGAAGACCAAATCTAACCTGGATTTTCCCGGGTGTAGGAAATGTAATATGTAAAAGCAGTTTTCCTACCTAGATCTGCAGCTACAGCAGCACTGATGAGGTTGGCAACTCCGCCGATGAAGAATCCCGCCACAGACATCAGGAATGAATTGATTGTCAAATTGGCAGGAGAATCTGGGGAAAATAGTACCACATGATACAGTAATTGCCGAAAACACTTCTCCAACCAAGGCTTGACTGAAACTGTGTCAGTTAAACATTGTATAATGGCAAAGAAACAAGCCTGCTTCTATCATTATTATCAGAGCTTTAGATTTCTTGATTACATATCAGCATATGTAGGAGGTTACTTACAGGTCATTGCTGTCTAACACTGAAACCCACATACAGTGCATTGTTTGAAATTAAAATGTCTGAACACTGATGTGAATGCATCCACTTTTTTGAATGGCTTTTTTCTTTTTTTTCCATATTTCATGTACAGGCAAACATGTATAGATAACTTTCTGAATAATACAATGGTATATGTATACATGTATGAAAATGTACAGTTGGCTGAAAAAGTATAATTGGCTGGATTATCTTCCAAGTAATAGATGTAATGATGACCAATATTGAAAAAACAATTGTTCAGTTCCCGCAGATAAGTAAACATATCTTGACATATCATAGTGACGGACAATTTCATTTTTTAAATATTCTAACTTTGGTTTGAAACCATTTATGCTGCATCTGTAGATATAATGTTTGACAACTGAAATGATTTCATTAATCGGATTATTGTTTTTTCCTTTCATTCCCAATATAACGATTTTATTTGTAAGTTCCAGTTGTAACTGTACCGAGTTCAACCATGATTCTATTTCTTTCCATAATTTAAAAACAAATTCACATTCCCATAACATATGGTTGATAGTTTCTCTTTCTTGTTCACAAAATGGACATATTGGTGAGGATGTGTATCCCATTTTATAAAGAACTGTAGTTGTTTTGTTGGGAGGATATTGTGGATAATTCTATATTGCAACCATTTCAAGTCTGTGCTTCGCGAACATTTATTCGCAATAATGTTAAAGATTTTCCAGTCGTTTTCAGTAAAATCACTCTTTAGAACTCTTTCCCATTTTGAAAAACTTGGCAACCAAACAAATTTTGAGTTCAAGAGGGAGGCGTATAGTTTTTTACTCCCAATTATGATGTCAATTTTTGAGATATTAAAAGGATAGATTGGTTCGCTTAATTTCCTTTTAAATTGCTTTATATTCAGTGTTCGAGCATATGTTATAATTGCTTTTTTCACCGATTCATACGTTAAGAAATTGGTTTTTATTGAAAACGTTTCGGAAAATTCTTTATATGTGAGCAGTCTGCCTTCTTCATGTATTAAATCGTTCACAAAAACGACACCTTTTTTTGTACCACTCACGATACAGAAAGGGGTGGCTATCAATTCTGATATTGTCGTTATTCCATAAGGATTGGCATTGTATTTCTTCTTCATTTACAATTTCTCTTTTACACATGGATATAAAGTTCGACCATTCTAGAAGTATGTCTCTCCAAAAGGAGTTAGTTGAAGAGGGAATTATTTCATTTTGTATATGGTAGCTATCCGTAAGTAAAAATTGTGTCCTGATTTTAAATTGACTGGTGAAGAGAAGCGTCCATTTGAGGTCATGACCGCTGATTCTCTTTATCCATTTTAGTTTTTGTGATGATATAATTTTTCTAATATTTGGAGTTTTTATCCCCCCATGCTCTGGGTTTAACATCATTACATCTCTTTTAATCTTGTCAGGTTTGTTTCTCCATATGAAATTAAAATACTTTTTTTGAAGTCTTTCAATGACACATTTTTTTGGGATTTGGTAGAGCTGAGAATAGGTGGTTAAGCTTAGGTAGTAGAAGTGATTTTAGAACAGTATTTCTTCCGTACGGGGTTAAGGTACAAGCTGACCATGTGTTCATTTGCCTTTCAATCTGAGCTAGTTTTTCGTTGTAGTTTATTTCAACCATATTATCAAGATCAATATCGAAATGTATTCCCAAGAGCGTGAAGTCTGTTTGTGACCAGTCAAAATTCCATTCTTTACACATCTTATATCGGGATCTCTTTTTGGAGCCTATCCATATTAGTTTAGTTTTATCTACGTTGACTTTCAAACCTGAAAAACGGGCAAATAGTTCTAATGTACTCAAAACTGCATAGAGGCATTTCTCTGATCCGTCTAATGAAAGTGTTGTATCATCTGCAAACTGTGATAAAAGATATGTTATACTTCCAAGTTTAATCCCCTTTATATTTTTGTTGTTTCGTATCATGATACCCAGGATTTCTACACACAACAGAAAGATGTACGGCGCTAGCGGGTCCCCCTGGCGGCATCCCCGACCTATTTTAAAAGGAATTGACGCAAATCCATTTACCAAGACTCTCGATTCAATATCATTATAGAATGTTTCTATCCAATGTGAGATACTGGGTCCAAAATTAAAAAACTTTAATGCGTTACAGACATAGTGTCTATCTACTGAATCGAAAGCTTTTTCGAAATCAATAAGAAGAAGTAGGCCAGGTATCTGGCAAGTTTCAGTGTATTCCATTAGGTCATAAATAAATCTGGTTACCTCGCCAATATATCTTCCCTTGACAAAACCCTTTTGGTCTTCATTAATAATACTAGGTAGTACCTTTTTAATTCTGTTTGCAATTGCTGCAGCTCCAGCTTTGTATGAGGTATTTAGTAGGGAGATAGGGCGCCAATTTTTCAGAAATTTCTTTGGTTTATTAGCTTTAGGTATACATGTTAACAATCCCTGTTTTTGAGAGATCGATAACTTTCCATTTTTATAACCACAGTTTAGTGAATTAAGAAGGAATTCTCCTAAATCTTTCCAAAAGAATTTAAGAAATTCTGTAGAAAAACGATTAGGCCCTGGGCTTTTTTCATTTTTCATGTTTTTAAGAGCGTATGAAAGCTCGTTCATTTTTAATTCACATTCCAGGTTACATTTATCATGGTCATTTATAACAGGTACGTTTTCGCTTTCAAATAGTTTGACCAGATTAACATCGGACTGGCCCTGTGCAGTGTATAATTTTTCATAAAAGAGTTTTGTTTCTTGAAGTAATTGTTTACTTTCTGTTATAGTTGTTCCATCATTCCTTTCCAAAACAGTTATAGACTTATTCAGGAAATTTCTTGATTCTAACTTTATAAAGTATTTTGTTGGTTTTTCACCTTTTTCGACCCAAGTTGCTTTAGATCTTATAAGCATTCCGTTTATTTTATGGTTGGAAATTTCATCTAGCTCATGTTTTAAAACATTTATTTCATTTAGTAGAGTTTGCTTAGTGTCACCATCCTCATTAAGGTCTAGTTTCTTTTCTAGTTCATCTAGCCTAGTTTCTAAGTTCTTTTCTTTTTCACCAATATAAAAAAGATAATGAACCAAACAAATACTCTATTGATGATCAACTACTCTGGGAAACATTACTCCTCATGATCAGGGGTAAAACAATTTACTAAGATTCATCTTGTCAACTACAGTTGGGAATAGCATCAAACATCAAAGGGGCATAACTCTGTATCTAGATCAACAATGCTGAACTGTGGCGCACACATTGGAGATAAACAAAAGTAGACAGTTGCCAGTTCCTGTTGTGTACTTACTCCCATATATAAACAGTGATGGAATGGCAAGGCCTAACATCGGAATGACAACTATAGCTCTCCTCTGAAACCGGTCCTGTAATCAGAAACAGAAATTAGAAGCAAAATCATATAATCAAAGTGCGGCCATTTTGCAAAGTTCTATAATCTTGGCACCTGGAGAATTATTGGTTTTACAAGTTGAAACATGTCAGTGATGCTCTGATGCCCACCATATCAACATTGAAGAAGGAAACTCAGTTATCCTATTGTTCATACTTACTGATATAAAACCACCTATAGTTCCCCCTGTAACAGAAAGGTTGGCCTATTAACAGGGATAAGGTATCAAACTGATATTGTTCAGGATAGAATTGGCTGACTGATAAATTAGGGAATGGGCTGCATACATTAGTTAATCATACACACTTAGAATTAACACTCAGTGAATGTGATGATATTTTTGAGACAATGTGCTGAGACCATAGAGAGGGAGCAAGGAGAAACTGGATAGTGTTTGGTGAGACTAGAGAGAGCGTGGTGAGACTAGAGAGAGTGTGGTGAGACTAGAGAGAGTGTGGTGAGACTAGAGAGAGTGTGGTGAGACTAGAGTGAAAGTAAGGTGAAACTGGAGAGTGTTTGGTGAGACTAGAGAGAGTGTGGTGAGACTAGAGAGAGTGTGGTGACACTAGAGTGAAAGTAAGGTGAAACTGGAGAGTGTTTGGTGAGACTAGAGAGAGTGTGGTGAGACTAGAGAGAGTGTGGTGAGACTGGAGAGAGCGTAAGGTGAGACTAGAGAATGAGGGTGTATGGTAAAACTGACCTTAAGTAAAGTGAGACTAGAGGGAGTGTGGTGAGACTAAAGAGAGTGTGGTGAGACTAGAGAGAAAGTAAGGTGAGGCTGGAGAATGTAAGGTGAGACTAGAGAATAAGGGTGTATGGTAAAACTGCCCTAAAGTAAAGTGAGACTAGAGGTAGTGTGGTGAGACTGGAGAGAAAGTAAGGTGAGACCAGAGTATGAGGGTGTATGGTAAAACTGCCCTAAAGTAAAGTGAGACTAGAGGGAGTGTGGTGAGACTGGAGAGAGAATGGTGAGATTGGAGAGAGTGTAAGGTGAGACCAGAGTATGAGGGGGTATGGTAAAACTAGTAAAGTGAGACTAGAGGGAGCGTGGGGAGACAGGAGACAGAGATGTAGAGGTTGGTGAGAAAGTGTTGTGGGACTGGCTAACAGCATGTGTTGTGGGACTGGCTAACAGCATGTGTTGTGGGACTGGCTAACAGCATGTGTTGTGGGACTGGCTAACAGCATGTGTTGTGGGACTGGCTAACAGCATGTGTTGTGGGACTGGCTAACAGCATGTGTTGCTAACAGCATGTGTTGTGGGACTGGCTAACAGCACGTTGTGGGACTGGCTGCAAGTGACTGGCTAACAGCATGTGTTGTGGGACTGGCTAACAGCATGTGTTGTGGGAGGCTAACAGCATGTGTTGTGGGACTGGCTAACAGCACTGATGTGACTGGCTAACAGCGTGTTGTGGGGCTAACAGCATGTGTTGTGGGACTGGCTAACAGCATGTGTTGTGGGACTGGCTAACAGCATGTGTTGTGGGACTGGCTAACAGCATGTGTTTGAGAGACAGTGTGATGAGACTGAGGAGAACGTTTGTTTGTGATGGGACTGACCTGCCGCATGTGTTTGAGACTGACATCTGCTACAATGCCGCCGACATCGTACCAGATGGAGATGGAATCTGCTACTGTCTCCTTCCAGTGGTAGGCATTGGCTAGGTAGTATGGCAGCCAGAAGAAGAAGGAGTAGTTGACCAACTTCAGGAAGGCATAGGAGAGGGAGTACTGTCAACATACATTGGTGCATCACTCATTAACTGGCAGGAGGACATGGTATGTGATTTAAACATATTTTTATTCATGAAGATGAATTGGGACTGGTGAACAAGCATTACTGCTTATATTAACACTGCTCCTATGCAACATATAATACAACATGAAAATGGAGGATTTGACGTCATTGATACTGACCATTGCATAAATATAATATTTTTAAAATGTATAAATATATACAGATTACATGAAATACAACTATTCTCTAAGTAGTCATAAGTTAGAGAGTTACAGCTGTGTGTGTCTCACAAGCCATTGTAGAAATATAAATCAATCATGAGAAGGTTGTTGAGTAAATTTAATTATTTTCCTGAGAAAATTTAAAGCGTTGTGTCTCGGTTATATAATCGTGGACGGATTCAACTATTTTCTGGTTTACACAGGGAGTAAGTTCTTTGTTTCCCTTAAGAATGGTATCCAGGTTATAACCGGTAGTGTAAAAATTCATATTAAGTCTTATCCGAGTATAGTTACGGCAAGTGAGGAAATAGTGTAGGGCGTTTTCACTCTGATGTCCACAAGAACAACAAGGGCTGTCTATTAAATGTCTGTTATACTTATCGGCGTTTTTGGTGGTATGTAACTCATCCAGTGTGCGAAATAGTTTCCAAATTTTGCTGAATGTTACTCACCCACAACATAATTCACTAGCCTGAAATTTGAATGTGGAAACTAAGTAAAAGATTACAAATACAGATGAGAATAAGATATTGTCATCATTACACCGGTTTCATCATGAAGCTGCTGATATGATGAACATTTTATAAGGTCACAGTCTTGCATGATGTAAAAGTGTATTATAACTTAACAAGTCGGAGAGAGTGATATAATTACAAAATGACCCCATGAAAATTCACTAGCCAGTCAGGCCAGTGACTCTGGTGATTTACTGGCCCAGCTAGATTTTTACTAGCCATGGGCTAGAGGGTCAGTGGTTATTTTGCATGCTGAACTTACTAGCAGAGGAAATGAGGTGTAACTCACCAGTATGACACCAAGCAGAGGAAATGAGGTGTAACTCACCAGTATGACACCAAGCAGAGGAAATGAGGTGTAACTCACCAGTATGACACCAAGCAGAGGAAATGAGGTGTAACTCACCAGTATGACATTAGACAAGAGGAGATGAGGTGTAACTCACCAGTATGACACCAAGCAGAGGAAATGAGGTGTAACTCACCAGTATGACACCAAGCAGAGGAAATGAGGTGTAACTCACCAGTATGACACCAAACAGAGAGGAAATGAGGTGTAACTCACCAGTATGACATTAGACAAGAGGAGATGAGGTGTAACTCACCAGTATGACACCAAGCAGAGGAAATGAGGTGTAACTCACCAGTATGACACCAAGCAGAGGAAATGAGGTGTAACTCACCAGTATGACACCAAACAGAGGAAATGAGGTGTAACTCACCAGTATGACATTAGACAAGAGGAGATGGGGTGTAACTCACCAGTATGACACCAAGCAGAGGAAATGAGGTGTAACTCACCAGTATGACACCAAGCAGAGGAAATGAGGTGTAACTCAACAGTATGACACCAGGCAGAGGAAATGAGGTGTAACTCACCAGTATGACACCAAGCAGAGGAAATGAGGTGTAACTCAACAGTATGACACCAAGTAGAGGAAATGAGGTGCAACTCACCAGTATGACACCAAGTAGAGGAAATGAGGTGTAACTCACCAGTATGACACCAAGCAGAGGAAATGAGGTGTAACTCACCAGTATGACACCAAGCAGAGGAAATGAGGTGTAACTCACCAGTATGACACCAAGCAGAGGAAATGAGGTGCAACTCACCAGTATGACACCAAGCAGAGGAAATGAGGTGTAACTCAACAGTATGACACCAAGCAGAGGGAATGAGGTGCAACTCACCAGTATGACACCAAGCAGAGGAAATGAGGTGTGACTCACCAGTATGACACCAAGCAGAGGAAATGAGGTGTGACTCACCAGTATGACATTAGACAGGAGGAGATGGGGTGTAACTCACCAGTATGACACCAAGCAGAGGAAATGAGTTCCAACTCACCAGTATGACACCAGGCAGGAGGAGAGCTGTACAGAAGCTGATAGCAGTAGGTCTGAGGTCACCAGACACTTTAACACTTGGTTGTGCATCATCATCACTTTCTTCAGAGACACTCAACAGAGCTTCTGTAAACACAAACCAGAGTTGAATACCTGTTTCAGGCTGCAGTCAGCAAAGATCTGATTTAAGTTTATACTACCCACACCGAAAACCATTCATTTGTAACAGAACATGTCCTGTGTGATAAGTGATCATAGGGCCATAAATACTCCTGGCCCCAATTTCTCGAAACAAACTTAAGTGTTTACTCAAATTTCAAACTGAGTTTGACAATTTGAAACAGCTGAATTTTTAATCAGCTGCATTTTTAAAATTAAAAAGCCGAAACATCTTAAGTATTCTATTCACCAAACTCAAATTGTCTACTATGTTTGAGTTTAATATCAATTTCAGTTGAACATGGGAAATGAGTTTTCTCAAATTTGAGTAAAAATTCGAACTTAAGTCAAAACTCAGACTTAAGTTTGTTTTGAGAAATCGGGGCCAGATCCCCAGCCCCACAAAGTGTTTGTAGGATTCAAAATATATCCAACAACTGCTTCTCTGGCTTCAGGAGAGTGGAAGTTTCAGCTCTGAAGCTCACTTCACCCATCTACATGCATTTATTACTTAGAAGGTAGCTTGACACTGTGTGGCACCAGTGTTATATCTACACCATTCAAATGTCATGTTTCCATGATGCACTTGACCACAATATAAAATGATGTCACAAATAAGAAATGTGATTTCAGTGACGTCACATAACAACCTGCTATTAGGGAAATGAGGGATGTTATCAACTTACATGGGGCCTTGGATTTCTGATTTCATGCTGGCAAGTTAATGAAAATTTTATCCATTTTAGGCTAATATATATGTAGGCTAATATACCTTCCTATAGAACATAGAACAATATACCGACAATCTGTTGTGCAAATGTCATGTAGAGACATTCAGTCTGCTATCTGTCAATATCTGGGTACATTAGTCTAGGGACCCCTCTCCCTTCAAAGCATTACCCTCATCAAGCAAGTCGTCAATCAGGGGTTGGGTAGGAGAGTTGAAAGGCGTGTCTCTATATCTACCTCGGTCACCTGCAGCAGCCGTACTCCTGGCATCCTCGTCGGCCACACTGAGACCTGAACAGAGCAATCATGATACACACAAAGTCACATTGAGAACTCAACAGTGGAAACATGATACTCCCAAGGGAGTTGAGATTGATAATACGATGTGCCGTTGAGATTGACATCCAATGATCGAGGGAAAAATACCAGCGCCTTGAGCATGCACTAGTTGCCTGGATATGTGCGCTATATAAATATCCTATAATAATAAACAAGAAGCCAGTCATCAATATCCCCTGCAATGGCAAAACACTCTTCATGATTATGTCTACGAGTTATGATTATGTCAAATATTTAGGTGTGTATATAGAAAAGTGGAAGGAGAGTATTGAAAGGTTTTTAAAGTTCTGCTCCGGAAAGGAGCACTATCACCAATTTCAGTCTATGTCAAACTTGTTGCCATGGAAATGACAGAAACATTTTATTCAGAAAACCAAAACTACCAAAAAGGAACCAGTACACCACCAGACCAATCTATGTGCCATGTTTGGTGAAGAAATAGTGAACGGTTTTAGAGTTCATTTCCGAAAAAGAGCACTACCACCAATTTCAGACTAAGTCAAACTTGTTGCCACGGAAACGCCAAAAATATTTTATTCAGAATTCCAAAACTACCAAAAGGAACCAGTACCCCACCAGATCTATCTATGTGCCATGTTTGGTGAAGAAATAGTGAACGGTTTTAGAGTTCTGCTCCGGAAAAGACAAATGTGCATGGACGAACGGACGCACGCACGGACGGAGTCCATTTTAATATCCCCCGCAAAACGCGTTGCATGGGATAAAAAATACACACAACTGTCTAACTGAGACCTGAACAGAGCAAACATGATACACACAACTGTCTAACTGAGACCTGAACAGTGGAAACATGATACACACGACTGTCTAACTGAGACCTGAACAGAGCAAACATGATACACACGACTGTCTAACTGAGACCTGAACAGTGGAAACATGATACACACAACTGTCTAACTGAGACCTGAACAGAGCAAACATGATACACACGACTGTCTAACTGAGACCTGAACAGAGCAAACATGATACACACGACTGTCTAACTGAGACCTGAACAGAGCAAACATGATACACACAACTGTCTAACTGAGACCTGAACAGAGCAAACATGATACACACGACTGTCTAACTGAGACCTGAACAGAGCAAACATGATACACACGACTGTCTAACTGAGACCTGAACAGAGCAAACATGATACACACAACTGTCTAACAGAGACCTGAACAGTGGAAACATGATACACACAACTGTCTAACTGAGACCTGAACAGTGGAAACAGGATACACACGACTGTCTAACTGAGACCTGAACAGAGCAAACATGATACACACAACTGTCTAACAGAGACCTGAACAGTGGAAACATGATACACACGACTGTCTAACTGAGACCTGAACAGTTGAAACATGATACACACGACTGTCTAACTGAGACCTGAACAGTGGAAACATGATACACACGACTGTCTAACAGAGACCTGAACAGAGCAAACATGATACTCACGACTGTCTAACTGAGACCTGAACAGTGGAAACATGATACACACGAGTGTCTAACTGAGACCTGAACAGTGGAAACATGATACACACGACTGTCTAACTGAGACCTGAACAGTGGAAACATGATACACACGAGTGTCTAACTGAGACCTGAACAGTGGAAACATGATACACACAACTGTCTAACTGAGACCTGAACAGTGGAAACATGATACACACAACTGTCTAACTGAGACCTGAACAGTGGAAACATGATACACACGACTGTCTAACTGAGACCTGAACAGTGGAAACATGATACACACGACTGTCTAACTGAGACCTGAACAGTGGAAACATGATACACACGAGTGTCTAACTGAGACCTGAACAGAGCAAACATGATACACACGACTGTCTTAGTGATGTAAAAACATGAAACATTCTGCAAATAACAGTCAAAACATGGTACAGCCTGTATACAACATGGCCACATGATCAGCCACAGGTAGTTGTGAGGGGATCCAGATACTTCCCACCAGGTTAACCAACTTACCCATTTGTGTTTACCATCTGACAGAACAAGCTGTATTTATATTATTGCTAACAGTACACCTAGTGTGTGAACAATACACAACTTTATGAGACTTTATAATTTTTCAGTCAGATTAGGAAAGATTCGTCAATATTTTCGCAAATTGTTTTGCCATTTGTTGTTGAAGTAGCCAGATGCCGTGTCCGTGTACGTGCCAGATACAACAGGTGTCCTCCAGAACCCACCATCTTACCTAACTCTCTAGGACTTGTGACCAGTCCGAAGAAGTTGATGACCCCTCCCGCAAATAACATGGCTGAGGTGAAGAGGAAGGCATACTGAAACAGCAGAAGTGGAGCAAGGTGATGTGGGTAACATCAGATACACAGCTTTACCTTAATTGTACCTCTGTACTTGAGATGTTTTACATCTATTTGCCTCCACCTTATAATAGATATTGAGTCCTGAACAAAGAACAACAACCAGGGACATCATTCAGCATGGTAATGAAAGACAAGCTCTCCCTTTCTTTTATTAATCATTGAGGAAAGTATTTTACTTGCATATACAGTCAAATCCCGATGAGTCGAATGCCGGTGTCTCGAATATTATGCATAACCCGAAGTACCTGTCGGTCCCGACCATGCCCTGTTATAGTTGTCATCATTTGATTTCCGGTTACACGAAATTCGTCTCATAAATACACACGATGACTCGAGAAGGAAATTTGGTCCCATGAGATTCAAACAACACCAATCTTGAATACATAAGCTGAAGTCAGTCCATGAGAAGTTGATTGGTGTAGCAAACTGATCCAATTAACAAACCAGCTCGGCTCACACCTTTCCGCCATTGACGGGTGAGTTCAAAAGGCAGATTAGTGATTTTATGGAAATCACTGTCTGTGCTAATCAGACTGGAACTGATAAGGTGCCCCTATTAGTGATATGAAAATCATTAGACAAACAAATGCTTAGGCGGAGGAATTAGGACTGGATCATCTTTTTTTCTACCCTCATAGACATACATATGTCTCGAATACATCGATAAGTCGAATTTAGTACTTGGTCCCCAGCGATTCGACTCATCGGGATTTGACTGTATGTTATTTAAACACAGAATGGATTGCATGGTTAACCAACAAATGTTATGAACTCACTGGAATTGTTGTATTACCTGGTAACCATAGTCTAACACTGCAGACACCATGAGGGCTCCGAGAATGTTGCCGACAGACGCACAGGCACTCCACAACCCGAACACCAGTCCGCGGCTGTACAAATACATGCAGTAGGTAATGTTGAAACAGAGGTCGAGGACAAAGGCAGTATGACTGATAACAAGTATACATTCAAGAACACGATTCAACTGTTTATTTGTTTCTACGTGAGACTCAGCACTATTAGACTATTCTGACATACATCCACAAGGTCAGCAGGACTGACACCCCGACCAGCATTGGCTGTTGCAGACCGATTCTAACCTTGATCTCCATAGTGGGTATGGTGGGGTTATGGAACATTAAAGGGAAGTGAGTGAAAGGTTGCTGCATGAGATTGATTGTTTGTTGTTTAATGCAGCACTCAGCAATATTCCAGTTCCAGCAGAACTTGTTGAACATAGACAGGAACACCTACCTTGTAAAATAGCCTTCATCTAAGTTAATTTTGTCAACAAGTTTACATTCCTGTCATATGATGCGAAGTACTCTGATACATCCACTGGCCTAGATGCAGACATATGGAATTGATAAAAAGTCAGGTCTGATAATTCGTTCCACTCTTTAATTTGAACATTGTGTGTTCATGAGTGGTATTACCTAGATTTTCCAAACCAGTTGCCCATGACGGCTACAACAGTCGGCCAGCCAGTAGACTGCAGCAGGCCGTTGATGATCCACAGGAAGACGTAGAGGTACTTGTTGTAAAGATGTACCCACTCAAGAACACACCCAAACAGGAACACCTGGAACAGCACCACTTGGTAAGGAGAACATCAATATGAGTGAGTTTAGTTTTAGGCCGCTTTTAAGCAATATTCCAGCAATATCACGGCGGGGGACACCAGAAATGTGCTTCACACATTGTACCCATGTAGGAAATCGAACCCGGGTCTTCGGCGTTACGAACGAACACTTTAACCACTAGGCTACCCAACCGCCCCTCGTCAATATGATGATACTTGTTGTGTAATACCTGGCTCAGCAATATGTGACCTGATGGTGTAGCAGAGATTAATATTGTGAGCACCATCTTCCACTGTGATGCACAAAAATTATACAAACCTGTAGAGGTTATGAATTCTTTGAAGAAAATCCTCCTTGGGGTACATCTAAGCATTTAAATGTCCATTTAAATTCCCACGACAGTTGTAACTATATTTTTTAATAAAATATTTACAAAACAAAAACTCATGAGACCACCCCTACAGCCAAGAGCAGGTAACTCTAGCCGTCAACCTCGCACCTCACTTTTCATGCTGAACATATCAGACAGAATGAGGGGAGGCGGATGGCCGTACCCCAAGGAGGACTTTCTTCAAAGAATTCATAACCTCTACAGGTTTGTATAGTTCTGTTTGTATAGTTCTTTTTCAGAAGAAGTCCTCCTTGGGGTACATATAAGCATTAAACAGACTCCCAAAGACAAAGGAGCCGGGAGTGGTATTCTGTCTCACAAAGTGATCCATAGATAGTAATAATATACAACCGTACGGAAATAGAGAAAATTACACTCACCTAGTCACCTGACCGTTGATGTCAATCAAGGTGGGGCGAGACTAAGGCGTGGACCCCTACTGTCATAGCCTATATGCCGATTGGCTGATCGGATATTACATCCCCAGTCAAACCCCACCCCCCGACCTAAGTTACGGAGGGGTGTAAACACCAGGAACTCGCCAAACCAAACTACTGTCCATAGCGCACAGCTCGCCAAGCTTGGAAAATGGAAATTAAAAGTAAGGCACCGATACGCCAACGGATAGCGGGACTAAAAACCTGGAAAGTATCTGGAAAGCTCAATCGGCTTGAGAGGTGTTACTCTGTCCACTGCGGAGAACCGTCTGGCCAAACGGTTAGTGTTACCAGACGACGCAGGAAGCGTGAAGGCGGGAAGATCTATAGGTGCCGTAATATGAAACGCACTATCGATCTTAGGGCGGTAAGAATCTGGTAAGCGGATACTTACATGATCCTTATGAAACACGGTAAGCTCCGGGTCCGAAGACATAGCATGTATGTCACCGACCCTCTCTACCCGATGTAACCGCTACTAAAAATGCCGTCTTCCAACTTAGTAGCTGGAGAGACAAATTTACCAAATCATAAAAGAGAGGACTGGACATCCAATCTAAAATGAGAGACAAGTCCCATGTGGGACTGGACCGACGGATGACCAGACGCAGTCTGTCCACGCCTGCTAGGAAGCGCTGCACCAGAGGGCACTAACAGGGCACCATCTATGGGAATGTGGAAGGCTGAAATAGCCGTGGAGTAGCCTCGGATAGTAGACGCAGCTAAGACGGACTCTAACCGAGACTGTAAAAACTCTAACACCTCGACTACAGTCGAAGAAAAGGGATCGAGAATCCCTCTGTTTCGACACCAGTGCGCATAACAGGCCCACCTATCCTCATACTGTACGTTAGTCAAATCCCTCCGCGGAGCCAGAATTGTGTCTGCAACTGGTGCAGGAAATCCGCTCGCTTGGAGGCGATTCAGGACAGAGGTCAAGCCACCTACTGAAACCTGGGATTCAGGGTGTGGCGCGCCTTCCTGGGATAGTAGGTCCTGATCCAGGAAGCGTTCAAACACCAACCGGACTGCTCTCAATTCCAGCACATTGATGTGCAGGGTTGCCTCGTTCACGGACCAAAGGCCTGAAGCTGTGAGGTCGCCTAGGACATCCCCCCACCCTGTGAAGGAGGCATCCGTCTGAATTGTGAGCTTCGGCACCGGGGTCTCCAACGGTAAACCCTTGGATAGATTCCCGGTGTCGGTCCACCACCGTAAGTGAGGAATGAGCCACTTCGGAGTTACCAGAATCTTCTCGTAACTCCCTGAGTGAGACCACAGCTGCGCTAGCTCTTGCTGAACAGGTCGCATCCTCAGGCGTGCATGCCAAACTATGTCCACTGTCGCCGCCATGTTGCCTAGCAACTGAAGCCAAGTTCGAGCTGAGGCCCTGGGGGGACTGGAGGAATTGAAACACAATCCTCTGGACTTTGGGAATGCGGTCCCGAGATGGAGAGACTATGCCCTGTTTTGTCTCGAATCTCGCCCCCAAGAAAACCAGATCCTGGGTGGGAACCAGTTCTGATTTCTTGAGGTTGATAATCCAACCAAACTTGGTGAAAGTATCCATCACTGACTGTGTGGAATCCTGACTCAAGTGGGTAGCGAGTGCCCTGAGAAGCCAGTCGTCCAGGTACAGGTAACAAATGTTGCCCTGTGCCCTGGCGACCTGAGCTGGCACTAGCATGAGTTTGGTGAACACCCTTGGTGCCGTGGAGATGCCGAAGGGGAGCACCGGAGTGCAATGAATGCCGGAGAAAGGAGGAGGGCCTTGCTTCCACTGCGGCATGTGGCCATCCCTGAGTGTGGACAGGACCCAGGGATTTGAGGTGACTTTCTCCCATTCCTGAAGGAAGAGAGGCAGTCGGGTAACAGGCAGTGAATCCCGATGGTAGGCAGTGTACCAACTGCTTGCGCCCGGACCACCAAGGGCTCTGGAGGATAGCTTACTGGGAAGCCGGGGCCGACTTCCCCTTCCTCTGAAAAGGCTGCTGAGCGGAAGCAGCCTTGCCCTTGCCTTTGTGTGCCTGAAGTGGAGCAGTCCACTTAGGCGCCTCCTTCCCAAAGAGGTAGGATATGCAGCGGCAAGGACGGAAGGCCGGGCGCGAGAGGTTGTTCAAGTAACTGTCGGATGTTTCATGAGCTTCTAGAATTTTGTTTCAGTTGGGAAATTTTTAACTAACAACCTCAATCATGCACAATCTTGTCACTTTTGGTAATGTGCTGTGATCAATTTTTCTTATTTCTCTGGGAGGGGCGGTGGGGTAGCCTTGTAATTAAAGTGTTTGCTCATCACAGTTCGCTTGTCACAGTGAGTGAGTGAGTGAGTGAGTGAGTTTTTACACTGCTTTTAGCAGTTTTCCAGCAATATAACTGTGGGGGACACCACAAATGGGCTTCACACATTGTACCCATGTGGGGAATCGAACCCCGGTCTTCGGCGTGACAGGAAAATACTTTAACCACCTGACTAACCTACCACCCCTAATGAGCCAACAGCCTTTCCAACATGTCTACCTGTATTTATTGACAAAGGCACATTTACTGATCGAGTGCTCACATACATAATCACTAAAATGCACTTTGTCTCAGTTATTGTTAATTAAACATGTACGACACTGTGGTGAGTTAAAATAAGTTGCATGGTTCCAGAAAAATGTTTGAGTGATTGAATATGTACTCACGCTATTGTCCACAATGTGTATTGAAAGTCTTTGTTGGGTGTTCAGTATATTTTACTGTCTTGGGTTCAGTTACATGGATATTTTACACCAATGTGGAGACATAAGTTTTCTTAAATTCTGCTCGGAAATGCTGTTCCTGGTGACATCTAATTAGTATCGGTTTCTTTGTTGACCCAAATGTGGAACTTGTCTTGCTCATAAGACTAATGAAATATTTTATTCCAAAGTTTTGTTGAGTCTGAAATGTTTTTCTGGAGCCCTGTCACAACTTGGCGTTGATGAGCTACTGGACGTGAAACAGTGTGAAACAGAACTGGTCGATGACTTACCGTCAGTGCTGTTGAACACATGCCGAACACCAGGACATACCTCATGTTCAGTCTGTAGACAGAAGGAAGAAAACATACAACACAGTCTCATCGAAACATTGCCAGCTTCATAAATATACAACATTTGAATATATATATATACATATATATATATATATATATATAATATATTGGTATAAAACTGTTACAAAACCTTGTGGTTAGTCCTGTATAAACTACATTTTACTGTGTCTTATACATTCTCAGTGAGTGAGTGAATTAGTGGGTGAATCGAGAGACTGAGTGATTGAATGTGTGGATGAGTCAAGCAGTGTGCAAAATAGTTTCCAAATTTTGCTAGCCATTCAGGCTAGCTATGCCTGAAAGTTACTAGCCCACAACATAATTCACTAGCCAGAAATTTGAATGTAGCTATAGAAACTAAGCAAAAGATTACAAAAATAGATGAGAATAAGATATTGTCGGCATGACATGGGTTTCATCATTAAGCTGCTAATATAATATAACATTTTGATCAGGCCATAATCTTGCATGATTTAAAAGTGTATTATAACTTAACAAGTCGGAGAGAGTGATATATTTACAAAATGACCCCATGAAAATTCTCTAGCCAGTCGGGCCAGTGACTGTAGTGATTTACTGGCCTGACTGGATTTTTACTAGCTACAGGCTAGCGGGCCAGTGGCTATTTCGCACACTGGAGTCAAGACACACTGAGTGAATGAACTGATTGATGAATGGAGAGACTGAGTGAGTGAATGTGAGGGTGTATAATGTTTAACATGACAGTCAGTCTGAGCAATATCATATTTGCTGGTACAGAAGGGACATCTGGCTAAATGTGGCTGATAGGGTAACACAAACTTACCTATCTCCAACAATCCCACTGATGAACAGTCCCTGGAACATAACAAAACACCAGCCACAGTTCAAACAGACAGACAGACAGACAGACAGACAGACCAGGGTTTGTTAGGGCTGGCTATCAATATAGATTATAGAGATCAATAATCATTAACTAAATATTGATCGATTATTGATAAATATCAGAGTAAAGTAACTGTGAGCAAAAATGCCCAAAAATGTCTGAAAGATATGAATATATTTCACACCACTGGCGAGAGGTGACATGTTTTTGCATGGGTTACTAAGTAAACAAACCAGCATCTTGAACATCATTTAGAAGCAGCCCATGATAAAAACCTACCTTTGTGTATTGTTTGAGTAAATTAAAACTTTATTCTATTACAAAAGTTTATGTTTATTTTCAGATCGTTAATCATTAATAATTTTACCTATCGACAATATTTTTGATTATCGATCTATTTTGCCATCCATACAGATTATCAGTCACCAAAAATAAGGCCTTATATGGCTTTTCCAGGCCCAATCAAAAAATTTAACGAACTATAGGAAGACACATAACACAGAAGTTGTTGAATATACACAAGGTTGGTCAAATGTTGGGCTGACTATCAGAGGGAAATTTTTACTTTGTTATGGAGATTAATTAACACTGTCAGGCTTTTTCAAGCCCCTGCAAACCCTGAACACAGACACACAAGGAGGGAGACAGGGAGGGGGAGAGACAGGGAGGAGGGAGAGACTGGGAGGGAGGGAGAAACCGGGAGGGAGGGAGGGGCCATTTTAACTTGCAATCCCCACCAAGTCTAATCAACTGGAAGGTACATAGTATTGAAACTGACCACTCCATAGGAGATCATGAAGGCAGCGTCCAGTATTCCCAGGTATGGCTCCACATCAGACGGGGAGGAAAACATGTTCCGTGTATTCCAGATCTGGAGATGTACAACAATAACCATGGTTACATTAAAAGAACCAATGAAAACCCCACAATTAATGAGTTGTCTCACTGGCATTGTTGACTGATTCTCACCGAGTGTCAGCTGACACAGACACATTTAATCAGAAACTATGGGATAAAGTTACAGTTGCTGAAACAGATGTATTCATTTTCTTGATCATTGCATTTAATTTATTATGCATACAACAAGGTTTGTTGAAACTGATTAATATCATCAACAATTGCTTTCAACCAAGAATTTTATTGTAAAATCTGTGATGTGTTATTTCCCTGTTACATGTATAATAGTTGTTTTTTTGTACAGTTCATTAATCTAATGAATTAATAATCAGTGTTCTATAACTTTTTGAGTGATTGAGTATTCAATCATGCTATTATTTACAGTGGGTTATAACACCTTTCTTTGGGGTGAGTGAGTTTGGTTTTAAATCGCTTTTAGCAATATTCCAGTAATATCATGGTAGGGGACACCAGAAATTGGCATCACACACTGTACCCATGTGGGGGTTCAAACCCGAGTCTTCAGTGTGATGAGCCATTGCTTTAACCACTTGCCTTACCAAACCCCTTGATTTGTACAGAATAATAAAAAGCCTAAAAAAATGTTGTGGTTCCGATTACCTGACCGACCCTTGAATTCTGGTGCCGACCCTATTTTTTTTAAGCGGGCTGAATAAAATAAGCTTTCAGATGCCATTGTTTTTCCGAGCTCCGACAGATATCGGTCATTCTAATAGAGAAAGTCGGTATGATGGTCGCAAGCTTGATTGACTAAACAAGTACACATTGATACATGTGTCATTAGTTTGTACTTTCCTTCTAAAAGAAATGTAAAAAAAAAACTCCTACGTACCTACCCTAAATTTTAAAGAGGTGTAATGAGAACCACAGGGGGATCACTTTCTTTGTACTTCTCCATAAAAATCATCATCGCCCCTCAGCTGTAAATTATGAACGGCCCCTAAAACAATACAGATCTACAAGATAAAAGGGAAGTGTGCATAAGCAAAAAAAAAAACAACTTTGGTGCCTTCTTGTGTTACTAACTTACTATGGAGTGGAATAAGTTGACTAATTGGTCAGTGGAATATTGAAGACTCCTATTGCTGGTTCTGCCAAAGGTTTCTGGATTGAAGTTTTCATAGAAATAATGCAGCTCTTCACCTTAAATGCAGACCTGCTTAGTAATTAAATCTTCTATTTAAACCTCCACGGTGATCTGTACTTACATAATCTGGTTTTGTTTCACAGACAGTGGCATTGTGAAAGCTTGGTGTCCACTCTTCAGAGATTGTAGTTTTCACATTGCTGAATGTTTTCCTGGACATGTGGAAGAAGGCATAGCTGAAATAACAGAGCAACATGTAGATAGACACACATCGTACAGACGAAATGTGATAATCTGATGAAAAAAATATAGACAAGGAGGACAATATTTTACCAGATTTTCTTCTGAATCTCAACAGTGATTTAAGCCATACTCTGCTACACAAATTGTTTTTATTATTATTATCAAAACATGATGTGCAATATCTGCTTGACACTCAGGAGCCATCTGGATGAAATCAATGACATTTCATTGAGATCACTTTGATCCTGCACCCATAAACTGTATTTAGAATTTTTTCAAAATCTTTTAAGTTATGATAATTCACATACATTTTCAAGATTTATACTTCGCGGATCGGACTTAACCCAACAAAAGTCCTAGAATCAGTACTTTAATGAGAAAGTGTAATCCGAAATATAACATGTGTTACATTTTACCCCGTTTCTAAACGGCATTGTGTAACCAATACTAATTATTGTCAAAACACATGATAACAGAAACAAAATTATATATATTAGAACACTGTATCACAATGAATATGCTGCTTTACGAGAGTGTATAATCATGGTAATTAAGGCAGTCAGAAATGCATGGGGTGTCATATTAAACTGAAGAATTCGCCGATTATGAAAATCTACTGTCACTGGCACAGATACTGCCACACTAGATATGCCTGTCCCAGCATAAAATATGTTTTATTTCTGTATCCATTTTCAAAACGTATACGCTTTGTAATAGCGTAGTATATAATTACTACGATAATAGAAAAGCTTAAAGGCTCATGTTACCGGATATATAATATATCAACCAGTTATTAACCAGACGTAAATGTGGGAGACAGATGCTTGATTGGAACACTTCGCTAAACCAAAACGGCGCAAATTATGAATTGCGATGTTGCTGTACACGTCACCATGGACATATTCCTCATTCATGACATACTCAAATGATAATAGTGCAGAAAATGAGAGTCAGCAAATGAACCACACCTGAAGAAAGTGAGGACGAAGATCACCGGGTGATAGAGGGTGAACTTTCTTGTCTCCAACTCTCTGGAGTTGGCATTTGGTGTTGATTTAGATGTTTCCGGGTTTGCCATTATCTGATTCTGGATAAGGCTAGCCTAGATGTAAGCTTGGGGCAACGTGCAATATGATTTCTAATCAAACTCTCTGGGTGGATGTTGTTGCTATTAAGTAACGAGTGAGATATTTGTTACTCCAGTATAGGCGTTGATAAGAGCCGTACGCCTTGTTTTGTTTTTAATGTTTTCATGCCATCACATTAACAAGGGAGATTACTCTAAAAGACGCTGTTTTATGGCAGACCACGAGCAAGTACAGAGTCATACGCACACTGGCTCTGAACGAAGACTGCTGAACATGCGCAATAAGAACGAGGACTAAATTGATAATCAAATTAACATAAATAGATAACAAAATTCGAAGACAACAGAACGGTTATCGCCCAGTGCAATACTGAATAAATCCCTGTTTAACCAGTCGGGATTATCAGAAATGTTAAATGTTTTTGAAATTCTTCAAAGGCATTTAAAAGTTGATGTAGTAATACAAGACACATCTTATGGATAACAACCTCTTGATTTATTTCTCACAACGTCCCTGGGCTAGTTCTTGCCCCTTCGTCAGGTGGATAATGATCATAGTGAACAATACAGTATATATATATATTGATGTGAGAAATAAATCAAGAAGTTGTTATCCATAAGCTTTGTCTTGTATTAAATGTTTTTGTGTGAATACTGACTTAAGAAACGTGCGTGATAATCATATGATTTGTATCTAATGGTAATAATCACTTCGTACGACAGACACTTATCAGTTAATCTCAAGGTTTTTTTAAAAATCAGTTCATAAACAGCAGTTATTCAAATAGACAAAAGCTACTGCCAATAAATCAGAACTTGGCCTATCAGAAGCAGTCAGGACTAACATGCACGCACGTAACTGTTTAAGTGAGATATATTCTTGAACCCCATATACCTTACCTCACTTCAAAAAGATTAGAAATATTTACCTTTTACATATCTTCTCTATTTGCATAGAATCAAATTTGCTCAGACAAAAGGAGCTATTTATTCATCTTCCATGTATAATTAAAGGAGAACTAGCCACAAAATAATTAACAAGGAAAAGTCTATCCTGACAAATATTGGCGTGTTTGAAATATATTTTGTTACCTACGTTAGACTCATGCCAAACATACACGGTCAAACTATCTAATTGCTTATCAATTCAGAACATTATTCAAATGATAAAATCAGTTATTTCAAGATTTAAGATTTTCGAGATTCTTTATTCAGTATCAAAGGCCTCCAGCCCAGAGTACATGTATATATACAGTGTATGTGCAGTCACAATGTTTATCATTAGCATTTATATAATGGTTAAGTTTTCCCATCACCAGAAGTAATTGAAGCGTTGGTAAAATTGTCAGTTGTCTTCGCTAACTGTTAACATACAGCTCTCTGACTTGTGTGCACTTTAGACTTAGTTTACAGTGCTAAAGATTCTGACATATCTGTCATAACTTGTACAAACACATACAAATAAAAACTTGTTTCTAATCTTTTTATACAGATGGCATTCGGTGAATTTGAGAGAATCAGTCATTTAATTTTCCGCCAAAAGAACGTCAAGTTCTGACTGACGTACCGAGATTCTTATACTTTGAACGGAAATATTAGGTGGGATATACTATAACAAACCAGTGTCGTCTTTCTCTGACGTTGCAAAACACATTAAACAAGCCATGACGTCAACTAAATTTGCGTATTTTTGTCCTTCATTACATTTGAAAATACGGCTAGTACTGTGTTAATAAAGGTACAAAATTAGTCGAAATATATCTTCACGCAGAAGAGAATAAGAACTAACTACATTGTACATGCACATGCATAGGGCAATCCGTTTGGCTATTATGTGGTTCCTCATACCATATAACTTCAAAATTTCTTGTAATTTGCGATACTACCAAAACGTATCTGACAACAATGTGGATCTGTGTATTTGGATAGTTTGGTTCATCTTGAACGAAACCTCACGAAAATCTAGTGTCCGTATCAATAGCAAATTCTCTCCAAGTGACCTGAGTTACAAAATAATATGACCTTGTGTAAAGTGGAGTTGTGCTCACTCGACTTTATCCGTGTGTGACCTCCCTGTCGCCGTTTGACGTAGTAGAAGAAAATCGGTTTTCGCCATTTATGACCAGCCGTTTTTAGTATTGAATCTATAACATTATTCATTAACTCACACATCCATTGCAATACACTTATGTCGTTATCAGGCAGTATTTTGTAAACATGCCAAATATAGAAAATCGTCGCGTAATGCTTTAATCGGTGTACGGTAAAAAGCGGTGAAATTTACAGGTTTTTTAAAGGCATAACATAATTTCGGACAACACCTGAAATTTAATAGTCTACGTTTCTGTGTAATGTTATAGCCGTAGGTAGAGCCAGGGTCACGCGAGAGCAATTCTCGCCCAACGTTCACTTTTCAGGCTTTATGAAAATGAGCGTCTCTAGTAAGGATTGCCACTAAGTATCCTTCCAACGTCAGGTTGACCAAAGGTAGCTTTGAGCAACAGGGTTAACTTACTGTTAAGGTTACCTGAAGGCAAATCTTAGTCACTAAGTTCAACCTTAGTAAAGGTTGTTTTTTACGCTTGCCTAAGCAGGTGAAGCGGCAGTAAAATATGTTATCAATGCCGCTATTTTTTAACCGTGTATAGTCCAGAGAAAACAAAAGCGAACTTATTACTTGAATATTGCAATTATTTATGTGTACATTTATCATGCCGTGTCGTTGCATCAGGACGTAACATCTGATGACAATGAAGTTTCACATCATGCATGAACAGTCGTGTGCACGTGCAAACACATGGACCTTCCTGTGTATCTGTAGGGAAAACTCACAATCACAAATATGTTAAGCGCAAACTTAAGCATCCCAGCGAACGAGACAAAAGGGTGAATTTTTGGTTGTACGGCCCAACTTGCCCGAATGTTTGGCAAAACAGTAGGAGTAATTTCTCGACTATCTACTGTGAGACGAACTTAAGAATAATGCCGACCTGTCATTTGAACCCGTGAATCTGAATAGCGGTGCAGTCCATTTGGTATGTTCTCATTTCGCCTACATCCCATTTCGCCTACAGTCTTAAAACAACATGTCATGGTCTGTTGACTGTTGATTACGCAATGGTGAACTAGTGGCACCCCTATGATCTAAAATGGACTCTTCTCGTTGAAGTAGTTGAAGGACAAAAATAATTTATTTCTGATCACAATGAAATGATAATTTATTTATCTTATATCACATCATATCATCACATCATCTTCTACTTGAAGTAGTTGCACTATAGAAGGGGAGAGATTGGCACCGACAGTTGTAAGCACAATATCCTTTAAGTGAGTAAACAGTCTGACATATGTGTCACGGGATTTGCTGGGAAGTAGGGAAAAGGCAGCTGGATACATCTGGTCCTGTACAAGGCAGTGCAAAACATACACTTGGGTCCAGAGACTAGGGCACACATAACATGTTCCATCCATGTACACTGTTTCGGCCACAGCAAGGATATCCATCATCTCTGCGGTTGTGAAGATTAGAATCCTGTTGTCATCACCGTCGTCTACCACCAGGAACTGCCGGCCGTCTGAAGTCTCTGTCTTAAAAGCTTAAATTTTGTCTCTATTTGTTTGTAATTATTTTAAAAAACACAATCATGCCCAAGTCTTGAGGTCTAATCCTCTTTACTCAACTACATATCCTTATAACAACAGTCGATCAAGACTCAGTGAGTCAGGGTCATTACAAGAGTAGGGGTGCATTCTCTAATCCCAATTCGCCTACATTGTTTTTGTAGGCGAATTGAGATGTAGGCGAATTGAGATGTAGGCGAATAGAGACTAAACCGTCCATTTTACCATTAAGGGGCGGAGGGTATGTAAAGCGATAAACTGATGTGAAGCGTGTCAAGTCTACTCTCGGCTCTTCTGGAACGGGTTCTATTTGCTATTTTGCGGTTGACGATTTCCATACACAGCCCAATACAACACTCGAATTTTTGTGTGTTTAACGATAAAAACAAAAAATACCAAAAGGTAATTTCTGTCCTAGCCTAGGTTCTCTGTGTGTGAATATTTTATGGATAATACGTTTGTGCTGTCCTCGAGGGGAATGAAATAACGTTATGTAAATTCAACACGGGGTACTAATAAATAAAACAAACAAAACTTAGTAACTTGATCGCTCAGTGGTAGTTTATCTGCTATTTGCTACATGTACGTCTCTTGAATCTGCTACTCGTCATCAATATCACTGATATCACTGTCATCAGTATCGACGCCAAGTTCGATGACAAGTTTTTCGATTTCATCCTCTAGGGCAATTTCTCGATGCCAGTAACGATCCTCAATTTCCATCACATGTTTGCAACAGTCTTCTGGCCAATAGATGACAATTGTTCTTCGCAAGCCCTCTGTACAGAAGCCATTTTGAAATCTAAATTCTGGGACCCAATCCAATTTTTCAAATTCGCCCAAATTAATTCTATGGCATTGAAATATGCGTGATAAGGAGGTAATAGGAGAACAGTATGCCCATGGGTTTTCAGAATTTCATCGACATGATATACTGGCCGCGCGGACGTGATTTCACAAGTGCAAGCAATTCAGCCTTCAACATTGAATGTGTAAAAGGTATATCATGCCTTTGTAGCCACGATTTGATTTCATCTTTCCGATTGGCAGTTGTTGGAGCTTTGTCTATTTGTTTGCTATGGTAAGGGGCATTGTCCATTATAACTACTGAGTTTTGGGGCAGTTTTTCTTGCAACCACTTAGAGAAATTGTTGAAATTTCGTCATGGTAATCCCCGTTCTTTTGTTTGGCTTTAAATATCAAAGAAGCATTAGCAATGAACCCCTCACATGTACCAGCATGGACTATAATTAATCTTGGACCTGTCCCCGATGGTACCCGAATACCGCCAACTGCTCCCTCCTCATTAGTTTGCCAACATTTTGATACTGTGTGATGGGCGTGTATCCATGTTTCGTCGATGTACACGATTGGACGGTTTTCTTTACGGTACTGGCGAATCATTCTGAGATATCTCAAACGTCATGCAACCATGTCTTTTCGCTCCATTAGGACCTGTCTGTCTGAACGAGTTTTCCGCCATTTGAAACCATTTTTTCTTGACTCCCTGTATATCCCAAATCATCAGTAGCCATTTTCATAATGCTT